TTACAAACCACCTCTCGACCCTGTCACTTCAAATCGAACAAACACGGATCGCACTCTGTCATGCCCCCAGTGGACACGAACACGTGTTACCCAATATAAAATGTCATCCCGTGACCGACGACGACACGCGCACGCGTTCACATTGACCGACAACGGGGTTAAACAAAAACAACCAAAAAAATAATGTTTCTGCGAGACGCGACTTGTGGGGTTCCTGGGCGTTTAAATAAAGGGGCCTTTTTTTCCCCGTGGGTAAATGGTCGACCGTCAGAATGTTGTGTCGGGGGTCGGCCGAGGGAGAGAGAGAGGCGGGGGGGGGGTACGAACTGTGTGTGTGTGGGGGGGGGTACGAACTGTGTGTGTGGGGGGGGGGGGTTACGTACTGTGTGTGTGGGGGGGGGGGTTACTGTGTGTGTGTGTGGGGGGTTACGTACTGTGTGTGTGTGGGGGGGGGGGTGTACAAACTGTGTGTGTGTGGGGGGTTACGAACTGTGTGTGTGGGGGGGGTTACGTACTGTGTGTGTGTGGGGGGGGGTACGAACTGTGTGTGTGTGTGGGGGGGGGTACGAACTGTGTGTGTGTGTGGGGGGGGGTACGAACTGTGTGTGTGGGGGGGGTACGTACTGTGTGTGGGGGGGGGGGGGGGTTACGTACTGTGTGTGTGGGGGGGGGTGTTACGAACTGTGTGTGTGTGTGGGGGGTACGTACTGTGTGTGGGGGGGGGTGTTACGTACTGTGTGTGTGTGGGGGGGGGGGGGGTACGAACTGTGTGTGTGTGTGGGGGGAGGGTTATGTAGGTAGCCGCTCGCTCATCGCTGCACCTGAGCCAGCTGCAGGCCGGCGTGCGCGCGAGTCACCAATCCCTCCTCCCTCGGCAGTCGCAGCTCGACTGACGGATGCTGCCAGCGCAAAGTGTAACCACATCATCAGCGCCCTGCCTGCGTGAGACGCGCCTTTAGTTAACCAGGTGAGACCCCCCCCCGCCAGCCCCCCACCCCCCCCCCCCCACACTTTTATTCGGATTTATTACACGTATGGTGGTTTTTTTGTTGTAACAGTGACGGGCATTGTTTTTATTTATTGATATTTTTGTATCGCGGGGAATTCTGGAGAGATTGGATGTGGGCTATGACGTGCAATGGTTTGGTCAGCTCTTGCGAACGATGCCACACAGGGTGTTTAACGTCTGCTTTGCCATGCACATCACGTAGCATACACTAAGCGTATAAAGATCTGCCATAAATCACCATGTAGACGGTTTGGGCGAGCGCCGATAGCGGAGCAACTCGTGAAGGCCGCACGTTCGGGGCAGGTGTGCCCAGCGCCACACCTGGTCGCTTTTTCTTGTTAAATCTCCCAAGTGTTGATGTTTACACACTGCACCAGGTACTCGTTTAAGGCCGAGTCTACCTAGGCGATGCCCAGCACCGATTGAGACGTACATTTGTACACGTAAAACACACGCGTGTAACCGCATGTAGCAACAGACTCATTTGTATGGTCATGTCAGTGTCTATTGCATGTCCGATGATTGGCTCGTAATGCAATGAAGATATACAGCATGTAGAATAGTTAAGATCACAAAAATAATAACTCATTATTTTTCCTGTTTGTGAACTGGATTTGGAACACCGTGCGAACATTATTCTCAAGGTCATATGCGTCTGCCGACAAAGACTATAGTCCACGTTTTCCAAATTGCGAACAAAAATTGTATAGGCTGAATACAAATATAACATCCTGCAGTATTTGTCTGTGATTTGAGCTGGAATCCAACCTCAAAAAAGGGATGCGGTGAATGTCCAAAAAAGATCTATGGATAAGAATTACAATTAAACTATGGGTTCATTAATCAGACAGACTACAGCCCCAACGTCAATGCATCTCAGCCATGCGGTATCCACTGCTGGATGAAAACCTACCCAAGTCATTACCATCGCTCATCTTTTAAAGGAAGCGACAATCCACTTAGCCGATGTCATTGCTTCATTTTTACGGTGGGAATCCTTTCGACCTTCATGCCTCCATTGGCTGCCACTTCTTTATTAGTCTCGACCACCCATCACCATAATCCCCACTAGCGATGTTCCTACCTATGGCCTCTGACTTCACTTGACTCTCAATACGATGTCTCTAAGTTGGTATGTTCTCCTGTGCATGTGTTCCTCTCCGTGTCTCGGCGTATTTCCAGCCACGCACCTCTCCACGCTTCTTTGCGCGCTTATTGCAGATGTCTGTGTAGTAGAGCAGTGGTTCTTTTCTTCTTAACCTGTGGTGCGCGCACCCCCTGGGGGTGCGAGATGTCCTCTCTGTGGCCGTATATTTTTTTAGAAGGTAAATCACCGAAACACAAATGAAGCACGGGCACATATGCAACTAATTTGTGTCATCAAACCTGTTAACATGATACATTTTTTTTATCATTGAGAACCAATGGGGTGCAAGGCTACAGTAAAGGTTAAGAACCACTGTGTAAGATCAGTGCTGTGGTCGGTCATAGTCACTGATTAAATACTTTCTTCCTTAGCCAGTGGTAAGTTGGGTTTTTAATCGCCAGTTCGGTAATATGAAATCACTCCAACTTTCTCTGACCCGTCTTTTCAGTTAACAGTTTTGATCCTTGTCCGCCTTCAATAAGTGCTATGGGTATATGGTACATACTCTGAGGTGGGTGTTTTTTTGACAGTTGTGTCCCTCTAACAGACGTTGTCATTTATTTAGTAAACCTGTTGCACGTGACTTTATTTTGGTCGAAATTACCTGAAAACTTTACAGCCTTCTTTATCACAATTGTAACATAATTTCCTCTTATTAAACAGTTTCGTTACTATCACAGTCATCAGAAAATCTGAGGCGGTGTATATATTTTGTCTAGTTAATGTCCACCCCCTTCCCCGAGTCCTCCCCCTGCTATGTATGTTTTGTTCCACTCATCATGCGGTCTCAGTGAAGCTCTTCCATTGTTGTAAAAAAAAATATATATCGTTTCTAAAACATGATTTTTCATAGGCCTCGGTTTGTGAGTTTGGATGACTCCATCAGTAGCCACCGAATCAACCACAAAAACCACGACAACGTAGAGGAGATATCAAAGTAGACAAATATGCAATTTAGAATGAAAACACAGAACGCTGTAAATTGATGAGGGAAATGGTGAGGAAGTTCATCATAGAACACAACACGAAATATAAATGAGGACATCATAGAAATAGGAGCATGAATGCAGCATAAAGTATGATTGGTAACTTACAAATGGTATCCCTCAGGGAGAAAGATGTAACCATAACACACGCTAAAGAAATCATTTTAATGTCAGTGGAGGAATTTCACGTAGAACTCTATAGCAAAATAATTGTATATCCCAGGAACCAAACCACTTTTTTAAATGAAGAATTTCCAGATATCACATTGGAAAAATGCTCTTCAGAGTGTGCAAAAAAGGGAAAACTCCTGGACTGAAAGTAATAACTGTGGATGTCACCAAGGCCGTAGGACCAGAACAAAATTACCAGACAATTACTGAACGTTTACGTAACGGGAATATGCCTCGATCATGTTTCTATTAAAAGAGGGTGGTGAAACGGACTTGGATTATTAGAACCATTAGTCTTTTATGTTCCATTTTACAAATACCATTGGAAACAGATTGATAGAAAATTTGAGGCCTAACCAAAAATACGAGCGAGCTGGGTTTCGTAAAGGTTGCTCTATCACCGAAAATTTTACATAGTCGTAATCAGATTCGGAAAGAGAAAACAAATATCGAAAACCATTGCCTGGATGTTGTAGAATATTTACCTCAATGCAAGAGGCTAGAATTTTGGCATCCAATCCCACACACAATCATACGGCTTAATTGATTGGAACAGTGTCCCCACAGGTAAAATATTTCCTACACATTGATGTCCATCATCGAATTGAACCGCAATAGAAATTGAACTAGCCAAAAAGCCAAAATTTGTGTATTTGCGGTGTTATCTTTGGTAACACAGCTGGTTTAATTAAGCATGAGATATGCGAGTGCAATGTACCAACACAGACTCGAGTACACAGCTTCGTGGCTTGAGGCCAGGATCCCAGCTAAGAAAGTCTTTGTCCAGACTGAGACCGTCAAAACTCACGACACATTTGGAATCTCGTTCACCGTACAACGCGGGTAGGAGGCCAGGATTCAAACCCAGAATTTCAGCGTTAGCGGCTCATTGGTTCCGACATGCTCAGTGGCTACAACAGGCGACGTCAAACTTGGGGTATTATGAAATATTCAGTTTGATCGCTTGACACGTGTTTTTAAACACGAGCTACAGCGCATCATGCGAATAACTTTCTATTACACGTTGACAATAAAAACCCACCCCCAAAAAAACTAACACCACAAAAAAAAGTGCCCCTCTCCCTACCTTTCGACATGGATACAATGTCCCCCACTCGTATCAATTATGCAATGGCTCATTCAAGAGCGATAGCGGGGCGAGCGTGGCGGGCGGGGGGGGGGGCGCGGAGGGGGGGGGATCATCGGCGCAGGCAATTAGCTTGATGGGAGCATGGGGGCCACGTGCGAGCCCTGCCGTGGCTACTTTATTCCTCGTTCCACCGGAGACTTCGGCGAAAGGGTCTTTATAAAAGCGTTCCCGTCGTGGCTCGTTTTCGCCGCGACGATCACTGACGGACGACGATTACCGCCGGGGAATCGCGCGCGCGGGGCTTTTCGCAGTTAGGTCTACAACGCGCGTGCATGCGCGTGCACGCGCTTGCACGCGCGCCCTACCTGAGCGCACTTAAGGCTCACCTTGCTAGCTATACTCGGCGGGGATGGGTGTTTTATTTTTAATCATACTTTCGGGCGGCTTTATTCGTGAGCCAAGTGAATTCCAACATGACAACAACGAGCCGCATTTTGAACATTCTCGCCGTGCAGCGCCTTTTTTTTCCAATGTAACTAATATGGGATTGCTTACTCTTTTTTGATTCATTAATTAAACAGATGTTCTCCCAACTGCGGCGCTGTGATGATCGGCTCCGTTCGACCTGGACCAGCAGCAAGTCGTCGACGTGACGAGATGCGAACCCGGCTATTTCTCCTCGCTGTCCTCGTTCTCCCCGTTGGCTCCTCTTCCTCCTCCTCCTCCTCCACCTCCTCCTCCTCCTCCAAGGAAAGTGACAACATTGACCTTCATCTCTCCGGAGGCCGGGTGATCCCATTCGGAGACTCCAGGAGGTCCTCGGTGCAGACAGAGAAGCCCGGCTTGGCGCTCATATTGGACCAAAGACACAAGTATCAGAAATGTTTGAGTCAACAATTCGATCAGCAGCAGCAGCATCAGCAGCATCAGCAGCAGTTGCCGATGCCACAGCAATCAGTGAAGCGACATCAGCAACAAGCGCCGGTTAACGGGCAGCGAGAGCACCAGCTGAAGCAGCAGCAGCAGCAACTCTATCAGCAGCGACAGCACGAGCGGAAACAGCATCGATTGAAGCAGGAGAATCAGAACTTAAACCAGCAGCAGCAACAACAACAACAATTAAAGCAACGGGGGGAGCGACAGCCGAAGCGGCAGCAGTGGCAGCTGCCGCAGCCTCTGAGGAGCAGCGATCGAGGAGCCTCGCCCAGGCCTCGCAGGGTCGTTCTGTCCACTCGGGCCCCACGGGACTTGCGGCCACAGTCCTCGCTGGAGGGCCACGAGGAGGCAAATGACAACGGGGAGGTAGAAAAACACCGGCAGGAGGAGGAGACAGGAGGGGATGAAGACGTGGAGATGCGGGGCCTGATTGAGAAGGGCAACGATGAAGAGGATGATGATCGAGAAGATGACACCGAGGACGGGTTGGACGAGGTCAAGGAGGCACAGCATAAGGCGATGGAAGAGGAGGAGGAGGAGGAGCCGGTGGCAGTGCTGGATGAGGTGGACGGCCAGAAGACAACCATAAAGGATTTGGTAGACGAGGCAGCGGTGGACAAGAAGGCGGTGAGCAAGGAGGTAGACCAGGAAGAGGCTAACAAGGTGGTTGACACTAATGCGCTGTTGGAGCAGGAGGGCGTGATGTTTGACAAGGGCGGCAAGGAGGCGGCAGTGGCCCCGGGGGCAGGCGGGGAAACGAACCGCGGGGCGAGCGGCAAGGAGGCTGCGGACAGACATTACGCAGCGGCCGATCACGAGGAACCTGCAAAGAACAGCGGTGAGCCGGAGACCGAGAAAGTGCTGGGGCCATTTGAACGCGAAGCCCTTTCGAACGCGCCGAGTACCCGACGAGCGAGCGGCATGAGTAAGGGCAATGCCAGGAGGAGAAGTCGGAGCGCCGCACCACAGCAACAGCAGAAGCAACAGAAGCAGCAGCAGCAGCCCCCACGACGTCCCCACCGAGGGGAGTACCCTGCCTGTGACAGCGAGAGCCGCTGGGTGTCCGATCGCGACACGGCCTTCGACATCACCGGGATGCGAGTCCGTGTACTGGGAGAGCTGTCCTTAAGTTCTTCTTCTGCATCATCATCATCATCATCGTCGTCGTCGTCATCATCCCAGTCTTCTTCGACGTCGGTCAAGCAGTATTTCTACGAGACGCGCTGCAAGCCGGCGGCGGCGGCGGGCGCGGCGCGGGCCGCCGGGAGTCGGACCAGAGAGGCGCCCTCCAGGTTCGCCTCCGGAACGGGGACCGGCGCCGCGTGCCGTGGAGCCGACGAGCTCCGTTGGAGGTCGCAGTGCAAGACGACGCAGTCGTTCGTGCGCGCGCTCACCGAGGACGCGCGTGGCCGCCTGGCGTGGAGGTGGATCCGGCTGGACACGGCGTGCGTGTGCACGCTCACGCGGCGCTACGGAGGCGCGTGAGACGTGCCGCGGAACACTCACACGCTCACCCCACACCCCCCCCCCCCCCCCCCCAGCGGTGTTGCCTTCGTGCGGATGAAGTATACGCACTCGTGCACGGTACACAGTTTTAAGTTTCATTTATTTGGTAGAGCCCTGTGAGCCATGCGGTTCTTGAATCGGGTGCGACCGCAACAAACAAAAACACGAACAAGAAAACATCTTAAAGTGACTATGCGCAACAGAAAAATTCCAGGGAAAAAAACACAGCAAAATCTTCCAGAAAAAGCACCGCGTATCGACGCTGTGTGCAAAAATCCCAGTGGGATGCAAGTCACAGAAGTGTCTTCCTTCAACAGCAAAAAATGTGAATGGATGCTCTCCGGCATGCTTTGCGTTTCAAGACGACGGGGGCCGTTCGTGCGTGCGTGCTGCACACAGCCTCGCGGTCGTCACCAGCTCCACAGAGCCGAGAAAGCAAATCGTGTACCGGTTTTCAGCATTGCTCTTCAGCGCAGTATTGACATCGTTGGCCTGCTGCTGCCACGTGTACCCCGAGGTGCTTCATGTGGGTTCACCAGCCCCTTTCCTGCACTGCCCAAGCCGTGAGATCGCGACTTGGTTTCAAATAACGGCAAGCGTCGAATCGTCACCCTCCACCACCGGCTTCGAGGCCGCGTGACTCTGAGCAACGAAGAGGGACGTGGAGCATCCTCCGTTGGCTCGAGGACATCATCAGCGGTAACGGGCTCCGTCCAATGCTCGTGTGAGCAGGACACACTTTGACAAAGAGAGACCTGAAGGATTCCTTTATTTACTCTCGTATTGGCGACGTGAATGCTGGCGTAACTGGGCGTGTGAATGCACGCACGTGAACACGCAACAATAAACAGGTGCGCATTCACGAAGTACGGTCGTATTTTAAACGACGCCAGCAAAGTAAATGGCGAGCGTGAATTTTTAATGAGTTAAGATTAATAACAGGATCGCAGTCAGTTAGGGTCGTGGGTTACAGTAGAGTTATAGGGTTATGTGTAGGGACTCCTATTAATTTTGGCAAATGGTTAGACTTTTGGAAAAGAATACTGTATATGGCAAAGGCTTAGGAGGTAAGGATGTTAGGATTTGCGCTTGACTATTGTAGTGCTAGGAGCTATGCTAATGAGTAGCGGGGATTAGGTATAGGTTGGTTCCAGGTTGGTTCTAGTTAGGTTAGCAGCATGATGACAAGTTGTAATTTTGTGGCTTTGTTTAGATTCGCTATTGATCATTCGTGGTTAAACAAAGCTCACCTCCGTGCACTGCCACATCGGTTCTGCAACGACATTTTAAGACGTTTTCACACTCGCCTACCGTCGTGGGGAAAAGTTTTGATAGTGGGGCAAGCCATACGCTCTGCCCTCCTCATGGACCCTAGGGACTCTTGACTCCTCTACATGGTCACATGACCCCACCGCCCCCCTATAAGCTTCCATATGTTACTACCCCCCCCCCCACAACTTCTAAATCATTCCCACACGATGTCACCTTCTTAAATATGAACGGACTTTCAAGCTAATTTAAATCGTCATCATCGTCATAAGGTCGTGATTCTAGCCACGGCTGGATGAAGGCATTCCACAACTTTTAAGAATTGAAAACTCATTTCTTTAGAACGGTTTTTTTGCGTTTTAGTTTTGCTGTACTACCCCCGCACCCTCCAGATTAGCACGGTTGGCTACGCACGGTGCGAAAGAAGTTCAACATTCACACGAACGTCCCTCATGGTCTCGAGATCCAATAATTCACCCAGCTCCTGCACCCGCGGTAGGCCTCCCTTCGGAGGCGTTTCCCCCATTTGGTGTGAAATTGAACTCAGGTGTTGGAGGGGTATAAAGTTTTACTCTGAGATGACCCGGTTCATCATCCCAATTCATCGAAGGGGTGGGGAATGACGGAGCGATACTTTTGCAGCATGAGAAGCTGAGAGATTTTCGCAGCAAATAAAAAAGTGACATTCATCTAAACCCTAGAAAATGTTCTCGTTAGAGATTATGGGGATGAAAGTATTTTTTTGCCCTTTACATCACAGCTGGATTCAACTTTTTTAACTCATATAAATTGTGGAATAATTGGCTTGGAATCCAGTCACTTGTTTTGCCTCTAAGCTCTTTCACCAAACTAACACGAACTTAACCAACCCAAGACTTTGAACACTAACATCGCTCAAACACTGAATGATCGAATCCTATTGCCAACACTGCACTACTTACAACACTCACACTTACCACACTGAACTTTAACCCCATTTCTTACCTCAACAATATCCACAACTTTTTTTGTAACCTTAATCATAGCTCTTACATTACTGTATTCTCTTGTAACCTATAACCACAGCTTTACTTGCAAGCCTATCCTAGCTATTACACTTAGTAAATCCTGAACGCGAACAGTTGCAGTATTGTTGATGTAAATATTGTATCGTTAATAGGTAGGTGAATGTTTAAGATTTCTTATATAGAGTTTGGGACAAGTCTTGCACGAGGAGACTAGGTAAGCACGTGTGTACATAACATATTCGGGTTAGATATCTGACTGAGGACACATCAAATGTAATTATTACATCTATGAGGTTTTTACAGCAATAAGATATTGGGTTAGGACCAATATTATGCACACGGAATTATTGTACTGTACTTTAATGTGATGTCGTGGGATGATGTGCTTGTCAGAGTGTGTGCCTTGCACAAACTCAATGAACAACCGAGTATATGGTGTACATCATATTAAAAGGTAACGTACTTACGAGCTTATTTTCAATGAAAAGAAAACAAATTACAGCTTGTATATATAAGAAGAAAAGAATCCCATGGCACAAGTGTGTTGTGTTGTTACATTTATACTACTCTCGTAATGTGCACAAGGCAAGCAACGAGCACCACGTGAGTACTTGGCTTACATTTACAATGAAGCCCTGCGTAATGATGAACCTGAGAGGTACCCGCGTAGCGCATCGATGATACCCCAATGGACCCCACCCACGAGTCTACGCGGTGACCCAACTGCGCAGCGAATTTGTGCGTGCAAGAGCACTCACTGGTGGTTCTCACCCCGTAAACAATACGGAGGTCGCCAGGAAGAACCTGGTGAATGTTTAATATCAACATCTTCCTTTCGACCGAAATATTTTTCCTACTGCAAAGTTGCTGGGTTTTTTTGTACATTTTGTAATGATTTGTGTAAAGCAATGCATGATGTACAATTAAATAAATAAGTAGTATTGTCACGAATTGTGGTCAAATGTTGACTTATTGGAAATAGTGCGTGGGAAATGATCACACAATATATACACAATGGATTTATTTTAATACTGCGGCAAGAGTGGACGTTCAGAAATTGTTTCGTAAAAAAAATATGGATAATTAAGGCTTCCAAAAATTATGGTTTGGCCAGGGACAAGTCCCAGTTTCATAATATCTGTCGCGGTATCCCAAATCTACAGCAAGACTCTCGACTATCCGAGCTCATGATGGGGAGGACGGCCGTAGATCATTCAAAATCGTGGATAATCTAAAAATATAAATTTACTCTCGGATCTCTGGAATAAAAACCACTAATATGGGTATAAATCACGTTAAAGTGAAGAGTTCTAAGTGGATCGCAGAGCCACGCCCAACAAAAATCAAACTCCACCCACTTAAGTGAAGATATGCAACTCCTGTACTGTTGAGGTGATCACGTGGATTTCGGATTTACCGAAGCAACATATTTGTTCGGTTTAAGCACGTGATTTATCATGAACATTTCCAAGATCAACAATGCTATAACTCTTTTTAGATGATTAATTTGGGCTTATGGGAAAATCCACGAGTTATTCATTGATATCAAAATCTCAGGCGCGCGGTTAATCCGCCAATCGGATAAACCATAAGCGGATAATCGAGTCTACTGGATAGTAGAACCCTTCTCAACAATGTTAATTGGTTCCAACGAAACCGATCGTTTCGTGATTTGGTCATTAAGCGGGTATAATAATTATGTTAGTCTTAATGCGTTCTGATAGCATCGACAGTTATCCTTTTTCACCCAAAAAAAAGTACTTTTTAAAATTTTAACAATGGTTATCAATACATAATGATACTAACAACATTGTAGAGACATGTTTAAAGAAACATGGTTAATCAATGCATTAATTAACATTTACTGTACCCACAACAACCCGTCGTTAACAGGGGATTGGTCGGTAAGTGAACACTTTGGGCTCTATGGAAGCCCGGTCGTTAAGCGATTAGTCGTTAACAGGGGTTCTACTCTCCTAGATCAGAAGTTTGGTGCGTTTATAGGCACGCGTTGACTACAAATTGTTTAATGTTTTAATATTGAGGCGGACACACTATTATATATATTTTGTAATTTATCAGGTAAGGCCCACTGAGCTATAAGAGCTCTTTGTCAGAAGCAACCCTGGCCACAAATGATAGCTCAACGAAAATGGGCTTATCATTATCACGTGCAAATTCATAGGCAGACAAAAATGCTCTAAACGCGTGTTGTTGCTGATTCTAAAATGTCGAGGTAACAACCGAAGGACCCGGAGAAAAATCCACGCGACCACGGGAAGAGAGAAACACCGCAAACTCCAAATGTACAGCAGGGGCAGTCCAGGGGTCGGGATCGAACCCAGGGACGTCTGTATACGCCAGCGGAACGTCGTGAAGAATGATTCTCGCCTGTACAGTACACGCTTGCTCGCAGCTGAGATAACATGAGCAGCGATCACTCGTGTCAAATACATATGCGAGCAAAGTCTTAAATGGTTAGTTCTGCAGCACAGAACTCGAGTACAGTATGTAGGCGTTCATAGCATAGTAGACCTCAAACTATCACTGAACCTCAAACGAAGTATTTGAATACATTGAATTAACTTTAGTAGTTAAGAAAACAAGAAAAATGACCTTTGTTGAGCACGAAACATCCGGTATAAAATTGCTTGAGCGTAGTGTTGGAACTGACCGCAGGTGCAAGACACGTTATTATTGGAGGCCTAGCAGCCAATGGATTTGAACCTGTTGAGGGCACTTTTAGGGCAGTTGGTGACTCTTCTTCCCATATACCACAAGAGTTTAACTTTCTTATCCGTTGTTTTTTTTTGTTATTTGAAACTTCAGTTCTCCCAAAGGACTCAAACCTATTCTCAAAACACTTCACAGTAGACTTGTCTTCATTATGGTCCGCTTTCAGTAACTGCCCCTTTCTATGAGATCCTGGGCCGAAAACTGATAAGCAGCTCGTGATTAAATTGGGTTCTCAAGTGTAATGAGTGGATGGTCTCCACTGCGTCACCGTTGACTGCACTTTATTTGTATACATTCTAGGTTTTGAGAATTTTAAATGTTAGGTTGATGCGTGCCACTAACACGTGTCTAAGTAGCAGGGCGCGTGGGGGAAGTGCTGCCCCTAGTGTGGACGAGGTGGCTTGAAGATATCTCAAGAAGCCGTTCTGTGACATCCGCCGTCTGTGCAAAGTTCTCCAACGGCTCTACAACCCTAATCCGAATGGTTTCTTCATCTCATTCCATGATTCCCATCGCACCATCGGGATAACATTGAGGATACGAAAACAAATACAAAATTCACAAATACAGACGTGAGCGTCAACCACTTTTTTAAATGTTTTTTTTTTATTTACGATCTGTAGCTTTGCATCAAAATGTGAAAAACGTGAAGAAAATCAAGGTTATTAAACAACACTCTTAAGATATTAAGGAGAGATGGTCAAACATTTGTAAAGCCCCAATTGCATTCGGAAGAACCTAATGGTTGTTCTTTTCTTAGCGCATATATACACATCCATTGAAACATATTTACAGAATACAAAAAAAATCAGTCGACAGCTCTGCTTCTTTCTAGAGTTGACAATATAAAGTTTACGATGAAAATTGCGTTCAACTTAGAAATACATATATTTTTTACACAAGCTTTGACCTATCCATGATGTAAGTCATCTAATCCTATGTAAGCTCTTCAAACTTGATCACTCTTGAGAATGGACACACCAATGTTAGTGGCAAATTGGCAATTCATTAAATGGCTACAAATGTTATTTATTATATTACACATTCATTGCATCTCTATTACAATCACTGCGAATTGTAAATGTACGTACATAAAGATGCATATGGAAATACTTTAAATATCTAGTTCACAAAACATTTTGACCGCCGCTGTCTTTCATGCAAGGCATTGTGCAATTATGTCAAACATGAAGTTTTACATTTAAATGTACAGATTGTATTCAGCTATATTTTAGCAATACTGTACTCTTTGGTTCTTTCGGTAAGTCACGTAGGTACGGAAAGAACCAAAGAGTATGGATTCCTGCAGTCACGAAAGCTTCAAATCAATATTTTAGCAATGTTTCAAGAAACTCTAGTTTTGGAAGTTATTATTTCATAAAACAATACCATTAAATTTGTACACATTTCCCAATCCATATATCTCACAAAGGTCCAGATGTAGATTTTATTTTTTTAATCTCTGTATCTGGTAACTCAGCTAGACTGCAAACACCAAGCAATTGTTTCACTTCTGCTGTAAGTGGAGACCACAATCATCTGAAAATTGTACCATAATTATGCAATCAACAATCAATTTCCATTACTCTGCTACGTTGAATATTGACGCTTCGGGTCATATATGATGGCCAACACTGTCATACAAAGAAGCAATTACCTATTGAGTTTCACATATACCTTTAGTGTTCGCATTACAGCAGACATTGCACTCTAACAGAAATGCCGCCACAGATTTTGACAGCCACAAGGAGGATCACCAACACCGATGAGCGGAAGAGTGACGCGCTGCTCTCTACGCCAAAAAACAAATGGTCAATGATGTGCTGACAGATGGAAGCTTTTTTTGTGAGCACTATCGCATGCCGTATTTGGGACTCAAGTGGCAACTGCAGCAAAGCTATTTAGAAAACAGAACCCCTCGCACTCCCCCCCCACAAGATAACACTTGACTATCAGTCCTGGCAATACGTTCACAACTCCACACTTCACATGGATCACTCTACCAACAATACCCACCAGCCCAGTTTACCATGCCTGGCCAACTGTGGACACACTCAGCGGTCAATGCAAAACAGACGTAGAGCCATGTACGTACAATTTTCCACTCAATGCAACATTTTCGTTTTACTGTTGACAGTGAACTAAGGCGTTCTATAAATATAAAATAACATAGCCACCTATAAACAATGGAGATCATATTCTTAAGTCAACAATGGAGACTTGCTCCTCTGCAAGATCGCAAGCAAGATTTCCGTGATTTGCTTTGGAATTACTTTACACGTGGTCCTTTGTGGCCTTAAGTCCGTTTTGGTTTGCATCTAGCATTTCCCTGTGACCAGTGTTATAGTTTTGATATCTCTGCTTGAAACTATTTAGTTCTTGAGCAAGGCCAACTGGTTTTGAACTGTTGAAATTATCATTACACTTCTCATCTCCCCAGGGTTAACAAGATCAACTTGACCTGGAAAGTACATGCCACTTGATGCCAGGAAGTAACCACTGGTTAAGAAGGTAATGGATTCCATTTTGTACTTGGAATTGTATCCACTTGCTGAGAACCATAAATGGACATGGATGGTCAAGGGAGATGGTGACACTGAGTTTACATTTGCTTAAGTAACTTGTTGTTGAACAGATTTTTTTGTTTGTTGCAGACATGTAATGTATTAACATTACAACGGCATCAATACCAACATTGATGTCCAGAGAAGACTACCATGTCAGCAGACAAATCACAGATTTCAAAAACCACAGCACTACAATAAATCCGTAAAAACGTCGACACTTCACACAATTCAGGGCAATGAGATGTTTCAACTTCCAGCCTTTATAAGCGTCACTTTTGAACTTTTATGGTTGCAAGTCATACCGAGGCTGGCAACGTAAAATACATTTGGCTGCTGTGCATTTGCAAGGCAATGCAAGTGCCACCTGGTTTCATGAGCTTTTCCTATGATGTCTGATAGCCTTATTTATTTACACCGGTGTGTAATTTGACAATGAGACGTTAATGGTGAACAACACATTTTGGGCATACATTCAAAATACAACCAATAGGCAGTCGGGAAACGTTGTGTCGAGACGTAAATAGATTGCATATCGTTGAACAAGGTTTTGAAGGTTGCCACGTATAAAATTGCACTTTAAAAGCATGGAATCCCAAAAGTTTGCGAAAATTGCCATCTCAAGCTCGTAACGTCGCTAAAAATGTGTGAAGGAAAACATTCTCGTAAAAAAAAAACGATACTCATATGATCCACAAACAACATTACCGCACCTTTATAACCTAGATGACATCTTTGCAGCTTCAATAGGTATCCACGCTTATGTTGAAGTTATACGACAGATTTACTTCACGTGCAACTTCTAGCAGAACCTGTGCTACGTTGTTGTATTGGTGCATGGTGCATCGCACAATAGACTAAAACATTGTCGTTAGGATCAAAAGCACCAGAGAATCTCATTCATTCATGCCAGGAGTTGAACTGAGGGTGAAATGCAAATTTCTAAATAGAGCTGTCTTTTCCTTTTAAATTCTTTACAATACTAATATACACAGCAGTCACGATGGTGGTCACCGATACGACGCTACCAAACTCATAAGTACCAACTACGAATTCATATTTTTTTATATCAAAAATACATTTACTTAACAAAATGCAAGTTGGCAATTGTGCAGTTTCGTACCGATTGGAAACAAAAATATACGATGGTGAACAACGGTGTGATTCAGTTTGAAAAGTGATGGGAACAAAACATTCAACAATTGTCCACTTCTTAACATGGGCATGGATTCAAACGAGCGATTGTTGCCAATAAATCAGGTTAACACAGCAAAAGGATAATCTTGTATGGATAAAACAATTTTTGATTGGGGTAGAACCTGGGGTTAAAGTATGGATCGTGGGTCGTACTCGAATCGGGTTTTGGTCTAGAATGAGTGTTTTAACAAGAACTAGAATTAACTCTCTGGTTATAATTGGGTTCAGGGTTCGGGATATTTAATGGTTTTGGATTAAGGAAAATGTTTGTTCAGGTTGTGGCACAGATTAGGATTTACACTAAGATCATGGTTTGGTGAAGAGTTAATGTGCAGACTGTAGACGGATAGGAATACATTCCAGAGTTATACATAGGTCTAACTTTAAAATATTCCATGTGTCAGTGTTGGTCTTTACTGCATAACATGGGGTCATCATTGGAATCTTCACTGCGAGATCACTCGTTCATAACATAACCATTAATCTAGATTTGAAGCTTTCGTGACTGCAGGAATCCATACTCTCTGGTTCTTTCGGTTGTCACGTAGGTAGAAAATAAAAATAACTTGTGTTGCAATCGAAACGTCGTGAGTTTTTATTTTATACCTACGTGACTTTACCGAAAGAACCAGAGAATATAGAGTCATTAATTTCAGTGCCAATCGCAGCTAAGTGCGTCATTGACATTCCAGATGCACCAGCTCCTTATAGCATGAGAAGTCTGCACATTTTCTCTATGCAAACTAACAACACATTGATGAGTGTGCTCACCACCAGGCCCGCCCCCCACTGGAAGCATATACAAGATAATAAAACTAAATTCAGCCCATAACAAGTTACCCTATACACAGGACAGTGTAAGTTTTTGAGGGTGTGCTGTATAGGGTTTATCGCGTGTTGTTCGGCATGAGGTTCGATGTTTCACCCACGTGATAGGAAGCTTCTTGATGAACTTCAGGAATGGAGGACGCTCCCAACACGTGGAGCAAAACATTGGACATCATGCCGAACAAAACACAATACAACCTAAAGCATATCGAGTATGGTGGTCTCAGCTATTGACTATAATACAAAAAAAACACGAGTCGTTTGGGTTACATTTATTTCACTACACATGCATAGATTGCATATTGGACATGAAACACAACTTAAAAACAACGTGGAGTGCTAAATCATAAAAAAAACTTTTGCCAAAATTTTTAAAATAAATGCATTTATCTGCAGCTCAAGTCTGTTTTTGCATTGCTTCGTAGAACTGAATTTGTACATTTTTTGTGCTATTTACAACAAAGTACCTGTGTTGTGTGGGATGCAGACATTCCAGCTAAACCCACTTACATCAGGAATTCAGAAATTTGACTTTGCACCAAAAAATATAGAGGTCACCCGACAGAAAATGAGTATAAATACTGTGGATTAATGTTAGCTGGGTCTGTCCAGGTCTGTGACCCAGAAAATATTTTCACACCCGGCACTCCACATCCAAGTATACCGCTCCCTATGGCTGTTGCTACTAGTCACGTGGCTCACGCCGACTTCAGAAAATATTCAGTGCGTAATTAATCTATAATCAATACACACATGACTGTATAACAGAACATAAAGATGGGTATACATTAAATTTATGGATATGGTAAACGAAATATAACGTCTTTATTTGTTTTGGGAGCCTCAATAGCTCCGTTTCCACCTACATGTTACATTAGGTAAAACCAGCTGTGCTCTAAGTATTTCCAAATCAATGCAAATCAGGATCTAAATCTGCTTTTTCTGAAGAGGTGGTTCATGAATGATGTGCACTGGCAAAGAAAGGTTTGACGGAAATGCAGTAGGTCACATTGGGGCGTTTCCGACTGGTTTTTATAAATAATCTACCCTATGCCCAAGTTGATTGATTTTACTTTCCCTGCAGTCTTGTGGTCTCGGGCAGGCCCAGCAACTACGGGAAATGTCAATGATTTTCATACATTTATAAATCTGTCATCATGTGGCTTATTGACATGGGCATAAGCAATGATGTGAAATTAAATCAGCCAACCAGGGAGCATGGGTCAACTCATCTCATCATCCCTGCAGGATTGATAAGGTACCACTGTATGGGAAGAAAACAGTGGTTGTCCTATAGGTATAGATTATTTAGCCCTGCCATAGGAATATGGAATTTATATAAATGGCCCATGGCCACCCATACTGATAGATGAGTGCTACCCCAATGTTTGTTTGGGTAGAAAGACCGTTTGATTTGGCAATTACAGAGCACAATGGGAGGTTGCATTTGGAACATTTCCGAGTAAATCCAGTCCTCATGACGTTTCAGTAAAAGGGGGCTGAAAAAAACTCACGATTTTACATCGATTAAATTTAATCAAATTTTGCTGCAAATAACATCAATGCACCACTCTTTGGATAGCAACAAGTACCTTAATGCACTGTCATGTGCTATTACTCGGATAGAAACGTGGCCGATGAGGTTGTTGGAGGACTCAACTCTGGAATGTTACGTCAAAAGCTTTTTGCGTATTTTTTTTGGCGGACGGGAGTAAACTGGGGTGGACAGGGAAAACGCCCCCACACGTAAGTGCCGCACTCATATTCTACTGCACAGACAGGATAACGAATTGTTGTGTGGCATTCTACAGGCTCCACCACATTGTCCCGCAGGTGGGCGGCATGATCCGCAGCTCCGAATAACACGGTTGGCCATGTACGGCGCTAATGAAGTTCAACGTACATACGGACACGATCCACCAATCCCTAATTCAAGTGACTGTAATTACACTGGCGCGCCATCACTACCACACAGCTGACAAAATAAGGCATCCAAGTAGTTTCGGTGGGCTCATAATGCCCTTGGAGCAAAAAAGAAGAAAGCAAGTACCATTGCCATGATGGTTTTAACACCCTATCTCCTGGCTCTTGTCTTTAAACAGGATCACACAAATGTCTGATGCCACTGCGTGGGTTTTCACGGTTGCGCCGTTTAACTCTCCAGTGTGTTTTCGGGCCGTGCCATGTGTTGTTCAGCCAAGTTCTGCATTTCCGTTTCTGAAGACGCTCCCAGCATGTGGAGAAAAAACGTCGGACATCATGCCGCACAACACACGGGGGAAAAAAAACAACAACCCAAAAAACACATTGGTGAGCGGTCAAGTTTGATGGCCCCAGCAACAAAAACAATCAGCTGTTTACGTTACATTTATTTCAAGACACTTTGCATCTATTGACTATCAAACGGATGAAAAATCCGCACTCGGCGACAACAACATGACGGTGGGGCCGTTTTTGTGGCTATGGCGGGCGGGGCAATGGAGAGACGCATGCTTCTGCCGTTTTCCTTTTCTGCCTTGGAAAAAGTCACCAAACGCATAACGATTACGTGCGTCGGGGTCAACGCAGGCACTGGGCAAGCATGAGGCTGAGCATGCAGGGAACTGGCTGCATGGCTCCACCACGGGCTGATGTCAACCACTGCAAATTGGTGTGCACCGACATCACTTGCCTTAGCAATTTATCCAGGTTAAAAGTTGGGATATTCGCACATGATGATGGCATACATTAGTGGGGAGCACTTTCAAACTGAGCCAAGCTGTCCTGCGTCGCGATTTTTAAATTGACAATGGGTGTGTGAGAACGTGCTGCGGGATTAATGTTAAACCCAACTCATCCAATACAGATTCATCTCATGAGGAAGCCACCTTGACGCGCAAAGTCAATGCAGAATGATTCCAAATAATAATAATAAAAATTGCTATAAACCATACAAATAACACCCGCTGAATATTGTATTCTTGTACATCTAACGATTATCCAGTAATCAATGATTTACAACGACAACCGAGCTTAAGCGGAATGCTCGATTAGCTGTTAGTTGCATTTCTATAGTGTACATCTATTAATTCGGATATCTCGCTGTGTGTCTGCAGTATAGTAATAGTGGCTATGCCTGAGCACCTAGTATCTGTGTATGCTTTGTGCGTGTGCACAAATGTTAACAAAATCACCCCTTAGTCGTGAGTGAATATGTTACGGTTAGCACTGTGCGTTACAAATCCAGTAAAGCCGGCTTGATTCCTGTTAATGCATGGGTCTCCCCTATGTCAACTCAGATTGAAAGAAATTACTACCATGAACATTAAGTACTGTGTTTGAGACAAACCCCCAGGTGTGAATGGGATTTACCCCACAATCTCATGTGCCGTACAGTCCTCAATGTTCTAATTTAAAAGCCTTCGTCCCGACGTACACATACGTACATCTGTTTCAATGTGCATTCATGACCGACATCCGTGTATGTCACAAATAGGTACACGATCATGGTTTTGGTCACACCATCCACCCACAGACTTGTGCTAATCAGGATTACATAGGTGCTTGCTGATATCACTTGTCCCGAAAAAGTCTATTGGGCTGAACAGGGCACCGTAGACAAAATGTGTGGGTGTGCTCGTCCATGTTAGGGCTCCGTGTCACCAGCTTGTTGTTGCTGCTGCTGCTGCTGTTGGGAGGCCTCGGAGTGGCTGAACGGCCACGGCGTCACGGCCTCGGGCACCGCTTCCGTATCCCGAATCACGTGCACGGCGTCGCCGCTCACGTTGATCAGGCACTGGGCCTGCGAGGAGGAGGATGAGGAGGATGATGAGGATGAGGAAACGGGCGGCAAGCTGACAAACAGCCTCACGCCACTCAGGCACGTTCCGTTCACGAGGCAGGTGGCATGGAGGCGCACGACACTCGCACGCACTTTATGTAAAAGGTATTTCTCTGAGCAATTGTTGATGATGACAACAAACAACTTTTTGTACGCTGAAACAAAACATGAAGCCACACGACCGCTCTCTGCTGTATACTGTTGTTTTGTTTTATTCGCTCGATCGTGTTTGCTTTGTCTGGCCCCTATCTCTCCTAAAATTACCTCATTCGTGCTCTTTTGTTAACAAAATGTTGATGTTTGTTCTTTAAGCACTTATTTTGCCTGCACCTCTGACACGTTGTTACATTGCTGCCTGTTCCTCCGTACTAATCACTCTGATGGGAGTTGTTCTTGTTCTGTGCCGATGCGCCACCCATCTCCCTTGGAAGCTATCTGGGTAACTGTCTAAACAGGACATTCTGTGTAACAAATAAATATTGATCGATTGCTTTTCAGGGTGTACCACAATACAATCTGTCCGCAAGACAGCTATAGAGCATCACGTGCTTTCAGATAGGCTTCTGCGGCCATCTGAAATGCTCTTCCTTCCAATATTAGGAAGCCACTGGAGCTATGTACTTTGAAAAACTAATTTTTTTAGAGCTGCTTTTTGCGTTTAGCTTCTTGTCCTTCCCCCACACCTCCAATTAGCACGGTTAGCTACGTACGGTGCGAAAGAAGTTCTACATGCATACATACAACACGACTGGGAAAAAAACCTCCATAGTAGCCTTTATTCAGACTTTAAACTGGCTGGTGTGTGTATAAGCAGAGGTTTATCTCGATTTCATTAACAACCAACCAACCCACCCTGACCACCTCCCCACCACGCCGAAGGAACTGTCGTCTCGTACAGGTGCGCTGTATTCTACAAGCCTGCCAGGTGGAACAAACAGTGGGCAGGTGGAGGGGGGGGGGGGGTCGCCCCGCCTGCACGCACCTGGTTCTTGTTGGGGTTCTCCGAGAAGACACACTCGCGCATGCGGTACGAGACCACGGCGTTTCCGCCCAGCGAGGCCACGTGCGCGCGCACCATGGCGAACACCTCGGCGATGAACGTGTGCAGGAAGCCGCTCGCCCCTCCCTCCTGCGTCGGTCGGGACCGTCCGGGGTTTACCGGGAATGTCCAAGAGAGATGGGGACAAAGGAGACTGACGTGAGTGCTGACCGATGGCTATCATCAGGCAGTGACAGACGTTTGCGTAATCGTGACGTTTACACATCGGAGAGTGACAGGGGACGTGTCCAAGTGAGCGAGTAAATCTCGACAGGAGTGGTGGCGGGGTGGTTAGCACACTGTGCTATGAACCCGGCGAACCGATTTTCGATGCCCAGCCGTGGCTCACGTCAGTGGCGAGAGTGACATCTGAGCGCGATATCTGAACCAGTCCTTGACCCCTCCCCCTCACCGCGGTCAAAAACCCCCTGATCAAAAAGACGTGGGGGAGGTCGTAATCCAGCAGCGGACTGACAAAAGGCTGCAAAACTTATTATTATTTTTTAATTATTGATAAGACAGTCACATGTGTATACACGACACTGGATGCTCAAGGCATAGAGGCTACTTAAACAGCCATTGTGTAAGCCTGACATTGCAGGGTTCAAATTCCATGCCGCCCCAGCTTTCCATCTCAGGAACACCTGGGGCGGCGTGTCCTTACTGAACGCAGCACCAAATGGGACATTTAGACCTCTGTCAAAAATGTCAAAATACGCAATTCCATGAGATGTGGTATTCCTTAAACCTTGAAGCCTAACCTTACGACTTGACCAACTCATTATGAACTTGGTTTCATACTTAAATGCAACTTGAATTATAATGTGTAATTTTAGCGCTTTTTACTGAATAGAAATTAAAAAAAGTCTAACTAGAACCAATCATGGTAAAGGCAAAAGATGTGGATTGGCACATTTTTAGCGGTGAGGGATTTATAAGGGATGTTTTTGGAAGGAAAGTTGTTGGAAAAGAGACCTTGAGAGGCAGATAAAGGAAACATGCTGCTTAACAATTTGTAGGAAGGAGGCCATAAAGTAAAATTAAGAAGAAGGCTTAACATCGGATATAACGGTGGAAGTTTGAGCCAAAGAGATGCCATTTAGCAGATAAGTAAAGGAGATACATTTTTTAAAATCGAGTTTCAAATCTCGAGCAAGGGCCTACAGCAAGTGAGGGAAACAGCAGGAGTCAAAGGGTCAAGGTTTATAAATCCCCTGCCAACCTCGCGGAGCGACGTCGTCTCGCGGATGAAGAACACGTTGATGATGCCCAGGTACTTGGTGATGCGGCAGCCAGGCAGGAAGGAGAGCGGCGTCATCTCCACCAGCGGGTGGGCCAAGGCACGCGACCCCGAGCGGTGGCGCCCCTCGCCGTACGGGCTCACCCTCTCGCCACCTGCCGCTGTTGGACAACGAGCACCGAGAGGTTGGGTGGGCAGTGGGCAGCGCAGGTGTCGAGGAGGATACAGAATGAGTGAAAGGATTTTAGGGTTAATCAGAAAGAAGTGGAAGCAGTGGGGGGGGGGGGGTCAAATTGAGGATTTGGTGTGTGTGGGGGGGAGATAGCAATTGCGGAGAAGAGTGGATGTCGGGAATATCGTTGCATGAATTGAGAAATGAAAAGACTGGGAACGACATGAAAGGGAAATAGAAGGCCAAATGTGGTGTGGCACAGTGCAGGGGAGCAGGCTTACAGAAGAACTGGATCGTTGAGGGGGTTGGGTTGGTGGCTATGGGAGGAGTAGTGGCATTCAAATTGAATGCAACACTCAAATGTGGAATTATCAGCATTCTGTTCCCAACTGAAATATACCGATAAACCCGTCCACAGAGCTTGACGTTTCCCCCGGTTGCTTTGTTGTACCAGTTTCAGCCTCATTTAGGATAATCAGCACTCTGTGGTGCACGCTTTTCCTATGTCCATTAACAATTAACGCCATCAGTTCGTGGGCCTTTGCCTTGGGTTAAGGATTTCTCATTAGCATTGGTGTATTGAAGAACATTCTCACTAAATAGATCTCGGTGAGCACATGGACTACGCATCAATTTGCATTCAATTAGGTGGCTCCGTAGAGCCACCTAATTGAACTAGCACTCCGCACATTTGCTGCTGACGAAGTTTAAATATGCTTGGTGAGATAATCCCGATCAAGTCAACACAGCATGTATTTTTTGAGGCATTCATATTGTGAAAGTGTGCGGTCTACTCTAAAGTGTATAGTTACGATCTTGAGGCATTATTTACAAAAAGACGAGCTACCATATGCCAGATTCATAGGCCAAATCACCAAGGTCATCAATGATCAGTAACTAAATTGTGAGGAAAGATTTTGTTCCGAAAACAGTGAACCATAATGGGCTCTCCACCTGCTGAACACAATACAATGTGGCCACATCTGAAGGCGCTGCATAGAAATAGTGGGCGTATCTATTTTTTGTAGAGAGGGCGTCAGTAGTAAACAGAGGACAGGAGCAGGGGAGTCAATAGCATGGATGGCTGGGTAGAAGGGAGCTCGAAACCGCACAAGCGGCAAGATGACGAAGATGACGAATCACTTGTCTGTCGAAACCACAACATACCAATCTCTAAAGTGAAGATCAATTGCAGCCGATGGGAGTAACAAATAGCCACTAGCAAGGTTAAAACAGCTCCAGAGCTGTGAATTAACACGCACTAGGCGACAATCCTCACACACTTCACTTACAGCTGCTAGTTTAAAGGGCCAACATATAACTACCCTACCACCACTGGTGTCTAACGGTGTGTTCACAGCTCTCCTGAAATGTTCAACAGCACAAACGCTCACCCTACCGTGGAGACAACCGCTCGCAAAGAAACCCAAAATGTTTGCCCCCAATTAAGTGCAGACTCTCTTACTCAAATAATGGTACAATGAAACAATATGCGTATATAAAAGCAACATGGAAAAAAAACCCTCACAAAGCATGGGTAATACCCCAGCCTACGGTGGTGGGATGGTAATGGAACACATGGCCACCCTGCTTGGTGAGTGTAGGAAAAGGTGAGTGAACGAGTGTTGGAGTTGACAGCTGTAGAGGTCAACCTTAAAGAGAGCACACGTGCACAGGACAGGGTGGCAGCCAGGGCAAGGACGACCGAGAGAAGGGGGGGGGGGGAAGATGCATGCGTGCAATCGCACCTGCCCATATATTCAAACACGTGTGCACAGGAACACACTTGCAACCACTCTTTAACAGACAACGCACACAAACTCGCGCACACATTCATGCACGCACGTGGACGTTCAAGATTCTCTGATGTTAGTTCCAAGAGTAGGCATTATGTGTTTTTGGCGGATGGGTCCACATTTGCAAAATAAAAAAAAATTACCCACAATTAGCAATTACTGTCGTCTGTTTGCAGACTCGTGACCCAGGCCCGCTGTTGCAAATGAGATTATCTTGATATCGAGTTCTCACGTGATCAAATAAAAAAATGAACTAGAACATTTACAAACATGCGTGCAAATGCTCATGTATGCAGGCACATTTTCATATGTACACTTAGATGCATAAAAAAATACACGCTCGCAAAAGCACGCACATGCAGACTCCACAGTGTGTGCGCCGAGCCCTGTGGGAGAGAAAAAAAAAATAACGAAAACAGAAAACAATGTTTGGGCTTTTGAAGGCGACTGCTCCCCGAGAATTAAGGCTTGGTTGGAGAAAAATAGTATCGCGCACGTGCACTGTATATCAAGTAGAATTAACACCACGCGTTTGAGAGGATTAAAACACAGAGGGAGATGCGAGAACTAAGGATGGGATTGTTTTGGTGATATACTGTTGGGCAGCAAGATGTGAGGTTTCTGTGCTGAGTGGGAGGGATGAGTAGGGGATGGTTTCAGGCACACAAAATAGTGTGAAGGTTCCAAGCCTCACTTGAAAATCATTGCGGCTTGCCACGGATGTTTCACCACAAAGATGTTTAGCTGTTAAACCACATGTTCACCAAGACAGTCGCAGACTGTTCAAATTGGTATTGCAGGGTAATGATCAAGTCGTATTTATGTCAATTGTTTGTTCAGGGATGTTTCTATAAACAGTTTTATTCCCAAAAGGTCCTGGATTGTGCAAACCAGAGTACCTGGAGAAATCGAACGTGTATGAGGGGATGGATAAATATCAACAAGTTCACAGAGATTATTTTATACTCATTTCCTGTTACTGCCACCTTCATGTCATCTCAAAGCCCCGGGGGGGGTGGGCTTAGAAGTTTCACAAATTTGGATAATCCACCAAGCCTTGCCTCCAAACGTGCTGGATTAAAGTAACGTGTCACCACGCCCGGCATGAACTTATCAATAAAATATTGTATTCTTTTATCATGAGAAAAATGGCTAAAAACTAAAAACCGATATTTTTACATGCAAATGTAAATTTTCATTCAATGGAAGCATTGTAAATTTTCATTCAACGGAAGCGTTATTGGTAAAACGATTCCTGCAATGCCAGAATAAAATTTAAGGGACTAACGAGAATCACCGTGGAGACGTCCCCTTATATCTCACGTAGACATGCACATGAGATAAAAAGAGTAGACTTCATGCCCAAGTGATGTAAAATATTGCAGAGAAAAGTAAATAATTATACCCACCCTCCAATTAATTCGGCCTAAATATGATAAATAATCCAGTATATCATACGACTGACATGTGTACTATTTGTAGACCATGAAGGAGCAATGTCTCTCCAGAGCAGTGGTTCCCAACCTGGGGTGTGCGGACCATTGATATTCCACAAGGCCGTGAAGAGCGGCCCGCATAAATGTTGTAGCTACGATTGCCTTATTGTATGCTGGTCCGCCAAAATGTTGAGGGTTGACTGTTGTCTAAAGGTGAAGAAATGTTGGGAACCATTGGTCTCGCATAAGAAAGGCCTGTTGCAGTGACCCCAGAAGACATTTTCTGGAGCTATTTGTTCATATGACATCAGAAGTCCAACCACATGCAATAAAAACAAACTCGAACAGGCGGAAAAGAAAAAAAACCCAAGGAGAACCAATAAGAGGGAAGGTGAAGACGGTGGACGTGTGCAGGTGGCTCCATCACCGGGAACTGAGCAGGGGATGCAACATTCACCCGAGACGGTGGAGGAAAGGGGGGGGGGGGTTATTTAGGGTTGCAGAGGCAAGGGGTTATATAGAGAGCTAGGCTGGCAGCAACATCCACTGCCACCGACCAGGGGGAGACACTGATGCCAACACGCAAAGCGGTGCATACTTGTCCTCATGGATCCACGGCGAGCAGTCTGAGCCTTGCTCTTCAGGAGCTCAATCCAGCTACTGCAGCGGTCTGCAAAGGAACTGTAATCGAGCGAGGCCACTGGGATGGAGACAAGAGACAGAGAGATGGGGGGGGGGGGGGTGGCAAGGAAAATAAAGCAGAAAAAATGGTAAGAGCGATACTAATGATGGCAGTAACCTTACCAATTATTACAACGCCAATAGGTGTAAGAGCATTGCCAGCAGTGTTATCCAGGCGCGAAAACAAAATCGGTTAGCTCTTCAAAATGCGGGAATGAAAATTGTTTTATCCGTGTGAGAAGTGAGACGTGAACATCTGTTATTTTGAAATGGTTTGTGGGCAGTTTTGTTCCCATTAAACTTGACAGTGAGATGTGTCTTGCTGTTAACGAGAAAGTACTGCACATCCATTCACTCGTGAAACTTAAATATGAATGGTAAAAAAAAACAAATTACCAGAAAGAAAAATAAATAAACATAATTACGGATTTTCTTTTTCTCAAAACAGAAAAAAAATTTCCTTCCGTTTTTGTCATTTAGATCCAAAAGAGCAACTATAGATGAAAGCGCAATTTCCTTGGAGTGCGATTCGATTCCCACCAACCACCTCCTCCATACACAGACACGTGGTCTCGTTCGACCAGGGAATAAAGAATAGGGGGAACGTGGGGGAAACCAGTTCCCCTCCACACATCTTCATTGTACACATCCATGAAAACACACGGGCAGACGCACACGCGTCCCATCAAGTGGACTGGTTAACCGTTCGTATGAAAAAGCTCGGCTTACTCAACTATGATTGCGAGAGGTTTTACGATATAATGGTATTGAAAAATATAGACTCAATCTAAATGACAATTGACTTCATTTATTGACGTGAATCTAACTATAGGTTCCATGGTAAACTCACCAGCTCGTGAAAAACCATACCTCGCCACTTCCCTGCAGCCTCTTCAATCAATCCAGCCCATCGCTTACCAGTCTACCACAGCAGTTAATTTCATATATTGCATTGCAATGATTACTGTAACATATCTTTTGTTGGTGCCATCACACACTGCGACGGCTCTGTAAGCACGGCATGGATGGAAGATGCGTCATACGGCATTACTCAACTCATATGGGTCTTGTAGTAGAGTACAAAGGAAAGAATCATGCTGACCTCTCATTTGGAGACACTGGTCAGGGTCGAGTCTGGATGGTTAGGATAGGAGAGAGGAGGGAAAGGAAAGGTGGTGGTACGAGTGGTGTTGCAAGGGGGTAGCAACTAAGGTTAAGGTCGTAAGATTAGGAGGTGAGGACCCAGAGTGATGCGTGAAACAGGAGGGAGGTTGCCCTCACCTCTGTCGGGAGATGTGGGATGATTGCAGAGCTCCTCTCCATTGCCTGTTAGTTACAACAAATAAATAAAAGCCAAGAGAGCTCAGAACAAGGTTGCTAACAATCCAAAAACTTGCAGTCAGTTAAAGAGAATCAAACAAAGGTTACCCTTACAGAGATCCGTGCACCTGCCAGAACGTGCAATTTTCACCAATGGATCAGGACTGCCACCGGTTATGAACGAACGATGCCCACTCGCTTTCTTTGTAAATCCGTGAAATAAAATAGGTGTCCTTCATATTTAAATGTGAAACAGACTGCGGTGGTATCGCAATGCCAGAAGAATGCAACCAAACAGGAATCCAGAAAAAGCAAGAGGGACACTAGTAGAAGGCAAAAGAGGGAGAGGATGATGCAAAAAAAAAAGATGGACCGATAGTGGAGAGAAGGAGGCACTAGAATGGAGAGGAAACACATGGAAACATCAGCCACAGATGGTACATGAGAATTATCGCCAAAAACGGAGGACTGCTGCTGGAAGTTCATGAAACCAGCGGGGCAAGATGGGAGAAAGAAAGAGAGATAAATCCATAATTAAATCAAAATCCATCACTGGAAGCTGGTGGATATGCACAGCTGTAAACCAGCACTTTGGAGGCAAGGGTTGGTGGCTCAAAGTCATAAAACTCGCTGTCCGTGGGTGTCAATGCCGCCATCTCCTGGCTTGCCGGGGTATAGCAGCAATTCATTTCCATGCGTGCGGGGATTGAGTGTTACTTGCTCGCATGCGTGCGTTTTTTTCCGGGTCCACCGGTTTTCTCCCACGTATATCTTAACACGAATTGATGAAGGTGACCAAACATCCCAATATTGAACCGCAGAGCTTGGGCAACTGCTGGCGCTGGTTTAGGCCACATTCCCGTCTTGTCTGTGGGTTCCCGCGTCTCTTGACTCAAAAGTCTCTCCGAGTGAACGAAAGCTTTACAAATCCTAGATGATTGTTAGCGTAGTGTATTGTTTATTGTACCTGTGGGGTTGGATGGGGTGACGAGGCGCTGCACGTCCGAGCTGAGATCCATAGAGAACTGCAGCTGTTCGTCCGCATCCAAAGAGCCTGCGGATCGCATTCCTCCTTTGTTAAAACTACACCGTGTGTTTAACTGGGAACAGCACAACAACGATCACCAAGTCCTACATAACGAGCATCGTGATATCGCGTCATTCATGCAACCTGCACATCACAACGCTGCCTCAATCCGCAAACAGGAAATATGCATTCATATCAAGACGTTTTCAGCCAACTAATGAATGAGATTTTATCCCCTGTGGGAGGTAACGGGAGCACCGCGAGTAAACAAACCTGCACCTGCAAGGGGGCAACGGGAGGCGAGAGGACCGGGAGTGTAGTAGAGTAAGCAAGGTAGCGAGGTCACGTGGTTAAAATAGACGAGCCCATTGTGAGGCTAGCACGACACAGGCAGCCTGTGCGCGCGCCGGCGTAATGACGCATGCTGGACGCCACTCCGGCACACGCTACTGTGTTGAAAAGGCGGTGGCGGTTGAAATGATGGGGATTTAAATGTCACCATTTGGAATGGGCATTTATGTTATGTTGTTTTTTAAACAAAAATGTATCTCAATACCATGACATTTTCCTTTAAAACGTTACCTTGTTGGCTGAACGTGTCTTGGTATTTGTGGATGAAAATAACACCACGTAGTTTGTAACTACAGAGAGGGAAAAAAGTATTTGATCCCCTGCTGATGTTGTACATTTGCCCACTGACAAAGAAATGATCAGTCTATAATTTTAATGGTAGGTTTATTTGAACAGTGAGAGACAGAATAACAACAAGAAAATCCAGAAAAACGTATGTCAAAAATGTTATAAACTGATTTGCATTTTAATGAGGGAAACAAGTATTTGACCCCCTCTCAATCAGAAAGATTTCTGGCTCCCAGGTGTCTTTTATACAGGTAACGAGCTGAGATTAGGAGCACACTCTTAAAGGGAGTGCTCCTAATTTCAGCTTGTTACCTGTATAAAAGACACTTGTCCACAGAAGCAATCAATCAATCAGATTCCAAACTCTCCACCATGGCCAAGACCAAAGAGCTCTCCAAGGATGTCAGGGACAAGATTGTAGACCTACACAAGGCTGGAATGAGCTACAGGACCATTGCCAAGCAGCTTGGTGAGAAGGTGACAACAGTTGGTGCGATTATTCGAAAATGGAAGAAACACAAAATAACTGTCAATCTCCCTCGGCCTGGGGCTCCATGCAAGATCTCACCCCGTGGAGTTGCAATGATCATGAGAACGGCGAGGAATTAGCCCAGAACTACACGGGAGGATCTTGTCAATGATCTCAAGGCAGCTGGGATCATAGTCACCAAGAAAACAATTGGTAACACACTACGCCGTGAAGGACTGAAATCCTGCAGCACCCGCAAGGTCCCCCTGCTCAAGAAAGCACATATACATACCCGTCTGAAGTTTGCCAATGAACATCTGAATGATTCAGAGGACAACTGGGTGAAAGTGTTGTGGTCAGATGAGACCAAAATGGAGCTCTTTGGCATCAACTCATCTCGCCGTGTTTGGAGGAGGAGGAATGTTGCCTATGACCCCAAGAACACCATCCCCACCGTCAAACATGGAGGTGGAAACATTATGCTTTGGGGGTGTTTTTCTGCTAAGGGGACAGGACAACTTCACCGCATCAAAGGGACGATGGACGGGGCCATGTACCGTCAAATCTTGGGTGAGAACCTCCTTCCCTCAGCCAGGGCATTGAAAATGGGTCGTGGATGGGTATTCCCAGCATGACAATGACCCAAAACACAGGGCCAAGGCAACAAAGGAGTGGCTCAAGAAGATGCACATTAAGGTCCTGGAGTGGCCTAGCCAGTCTCCAGACCTTAATCCCATAGAAAATCTGTGGAGGGAGATGAAGGTTTGAGTTGCCAAACGTCAGCCTCGAAGCCTTAATGACTTGGAGAAGATCTGCAAAGAGGAGTGGGACAAAATCCCTCCTGAGATGTGTGCAAACCTGGTGGCAACTACAAGAAACGTCTGACCTCTGTGATTGCCAACAAGGGTTTTGCCACCAAGTACTAAGTCATGTTTTGCAGAGGGGTTAAATATTTGTTTCCCTCATTAAAATGCAAATCAATTTATAACATTTTTGACATGCGTTTTTCTGGATTTTGTTGTTGTTATTCTGTCTCTCACTGTTCAAATAAACCTACCATTAAAATTAAAGGCTGATCATTTCTTCGTCAGTGGGCAAACGTACAAAATCAGCAGGGGATCAAATACTTTTTTCACTCACTGTATTTCCATGCTCGCTGCGCTGTTGGTAACTATTTCATATATATGCCGCAAGCTTCACTCTGAACCTTCTCGCTCCACCAACCCTCGGAATGCACCGACCTCTCTGAAGCATCCTCTCCAATGGCCTGGGTGTGTCGGGCAGGAAAGAGACCGCAAGTGCCGTCACCGTAACCTGAGGAAGGGCGTGCAGGAAAAAAAAAGCGTCAGCAAGATGTCAAAACGCACGGTGACCGGCTGCCCTTGCAAAACGTTTTCACACCTGTACGAAGACACCGAAGTGAGCTTTCCACCTGTACAAGTCACCCACCTGTATGAGCTCGTCCTCAGGCAGAGACACGGAGAAGTTGACGTGGCACAGGCAGCACGGCATCATGGATCTGAGCTTGAAGTAAAGGCTCTGTAAGGGGGCCACAACGTGAGAAGAGGACGACTTATCCAAAATCATTGACAGTAAAAATTTACGTTTTTGCGGTTGATTGGGTGCATTGGGATCTGCGGAGGATATGCACCTTACAAATGTCAAATTATTATTATTTGTATTATTATAGCTAAACATATTTCTGTGGGTAATTATTATTATTACTAATAAAGTGCACAAATTGCTGTAATAGTGCACATTAATGACCCTGCAATGCCATCATTCACATAAAGCACTTCCACAAATGACAGGAAACTCAAAATAGCCAAGTCAGGAATTAAAGCAAGAAATTACACTGACAAGTCATATTTCAAGCGCAAGTGGATGGTGTGCTCACGAAGAACTAAGAGCACTAAAGCCCACTGTACCCTGGGTTTGGCTGATGCCAGACTCTGGCTCAAGTGAGCTGGATCAAAACCATGACTAACTAGAGCCGGCTGTGACCACGGTCTCAGCTTTGCTCAAGATTTTGGTTGAGCTGAGCCCGAGCCAAGCCTTGGACGAGCCACTCATGCAACTTTGAAAACCGAGTGGCTCAAACCTTAACCGAGCCGTGTTGGATCCAAGCCTAAGTTGACCCGTGACTAAGAATAAGGTTCGACGATTGTGGCAAGCGCACCTTGAGCATGCTCTCGCACATGTCGTTGAAGGCTTTGTTGCGGTGCTGAGAGGTCATGGCACCCTCCTGCATGCGGTAGACTCGCACCGCCGAAAACATCTGCGCACAAGAGAAGAATTAATGTGTGCAGGCACACACGTACGCAAGTACGGGTAGACACACCGCATGCATATATGCCGGCACTAATCCAGGTATGCATAGTTACCTAAAGCCACATTCCCACAAAGAGGTGGAGTCGTGGTGCATTGGGGTAGCACAGTGGTGCGCTATGAACCCAGTGACCAGAGTTCAATTCCTGGCCACGGCTACCATCAGTGGCAAGGGATATCTGCACCGATCCCGAGCACCCCAACAAGCATGGGCCTGCACGGTGAAGTATAGTCAAACAACTCCCATGGCTGACACGGAGTGGGGGAGGCCTTCATCAAGCAGCATTGGACTGACAAAGCGCTGTGAATTATCACAAATTGACATGCTCACATGAAGAGGAATGCAAACAAGCACACAGGCAAGTATCGATGTAACTGTTAAAAGGCCGCTTTCGCTGCCTAACTTGGTAGCAGAGCCTCTACACTCGGGCGATGTCTGCTCCGGTTTACGTCCCTCTGGACGATGGCACTGACAAACAAATATGAATTATTATTTATTGTTATAAAAAGGAATGTGAGCAAACGAGAGGACGCATTTGCATGTCACACGTGCACGCAAAATTAAACACATGCAGGAATGCACACACATATAAATGGAAAATAATTTGCAACGTCATCCCTGTACCACTCACCTGCAGGTCAGATGTGAGAGAAATAACACCTGGAACGGTCTCCGTATTACAGATGTAAAAACCTGAAGCACAGGCAGTTGATAAAATATTCATCAAATAGGACACTGGAAACATTTTGATATTATACATAACAATGAGCCATGATACTAGCTGTACAATTTTCAGGATTATTTCAAGATTAAAGGCTGACAAGCCATGAAGGTAAATTGAATTGATGCAACCAGATCCCGTAACAATTTCAGAGAGGATATCCGATATCCATGGTCTTCCCTTTTGGTGTTCCGATGTGATCTGACTTTAGGCCTTTGCCTTGGCCTTAGACCTCCTGGTTGTCACTCAAAAGCCCGTCTTGGTGACCTCTTCTACTCAAACATGCACACGTGTCCCAAAATCGCAATGTTATTGCCACCCCTGCCAATTTAAGATGCCATGCTCCCACCACCCTGCAAGCTGTACCAGACGGAGTGGGGGTGTCGGTGAGCAGTGCCTGTATGTCCTCTTCCGCATCTGCGTCGTCGATCTGCGGCACATGGATGTGGGGACACAAAAATGTGAGGCTCGTGAGATAAACCTGCGGGCATGGGACAACGCTAATTGCAAGTTATTTGGCATGCCAGGGAATACTGTGCTACTGACATGAATGACACGGGTGTCTTGGTTTTTGATATCAGGGTTCCTCCGCAAAATTGCCTGCTATGACGTATGGAACAAAAACATGGGCATTGAAGAATGGAACAAAAAACGATCGGTGTGCAAAGGAGCATGGAGTGATGTATGTTTGGAATTACATTGAGAAACGAAAAGAGAAACATATTGAATACATGGCATATACGCAGGTTAAAGACATCATTTTGACTGTCAAGATAAGTAAAGAGAACACGTCACTTGCAGAGATGAGTGCCGACGGATGATACCCGTGTTAGTGGTAGCAGCAAATGGAGCGAGCAAGCCAGAGAGGATGTCCGCCAACACCACGCTGGTGGCGTTTGCCGTGAGGATGGCGCTATCACCTCGAGCACGAAGGCATCCTTCTTGCCATGGGACAGGTCGAGGTCCAACGTTTCATCCGAGCTCTCCGACTGCGAGCGGAAGACACGATACCTTCGGACCTCCAGCATCGGCCAGTCAGGGGGGTCCTCCATCTCCACCTATGACCAGAGAGCGCCGGACCATGATGGTGTTTCGCCGATAGCACAATCATCATGTACGTTTGGGAATAAGACACAGCAAATAGCCAAATGACAATCACGAGGCTGATGCACAGACACAATCGTCACTTCTCATGCAGGCGCGGCGGGTGGGAGGGGGTATGCACGGGGAGTCACTCACAGGTGTTTTGATCTCGTAGAGCTCCTTGTTTCGGGCGATGACCTCGTTGATCCTCTTCTGCACGCCACTCACGTAGCCGTCGAGCCCGGGCTCTGGGCTCTTCCCTGCCACATGGAGGCCACCAGGGGGCGGCAGCGCTGCCACAAACACAGCCGTGGCCGACTGCACGCGCGCGCGCGCGCACGCACACACACAGCGAGTGGGATGGGCACATGGCGAAAACTCGACAACCATACAGTAAAGCTTTCAATTAATAATAACTTATCGTGGCTTTTGTAAACACCATATATGTGATTTAAAGCTTTCGTGACTGCAGGGATTCATATTCTTGGTTCTTTCGGTAAAGTCACGTAGAAGGGAAACAATAAAATAAAAAAATATAAAAATTAATTGTTGCACATTTTTTATTTATTAATAAAAATATAAAATATATATTTTTGTATGTTTTTATTATTTATTAATGAAAAATATATTTTTTATATTTTTATTAATAAAAATATAAAAAATATATTGTTTAATATTTTTATTATTTATTAATAAAAATATATTGTTTTATATTTTTATTATTTTATTGTTTCCCTTCTACGTGACTTTACCAAAAGAACCAAGAATACCATATATATGCTTAAGTGCTTTAACAAGCTACCGACATTTTTTTTAATGTACAGCCCTTTGTCAATCAAATGCTGGATGAAGGTCTCTCCATGGCATCGGTCATGATGTTTTTATTATCATACTTCACTCCATTTGGGTTGTGTGGGTTGGCAAAGAGTGAAGGCAGGACAGGTTCAGATATAGCTCACCACTGATGTTAGCCGGAACTGGGAATGGAACTCGGATCGTCGGGTTCAAAAAGCAGTGTGCTAGCCACCGAGAACCTGCTCCACTACCAATCAATTTAGTCAAGGTAAAATACCCATTTAAAAACGACGACTGTTCGTTCAAGAGGATTGAGGGGAAATCGACTTACGGCAATGCCGACCAGCATGGTCTCCCCGATGGAGATGCGCACACACAGGCCGAACAGAGCGTTCATGCCGCGCAGCTTCAGCTTGTTCATGAGCTGCGTGTGCAGCTCGTACTCCATGAAGGGCAGCAGGTTGCTGATGCTCGTTGCATTCACCTCGCCTTGCGCCTTCTTTTTCTGACGGCACAGCCTGGCCGGGTAACACCACCATCATCATCAACATCACTTGTCATCGGTAGCTTAACCACAATTTCCATCATCATCATCACCACAAGCAGTCGCGATCAAATAACAGCTGGATGGAGGCCTCCCCGAGTTGCCCCAAACTCTCACGGTCCTGCGATGTCGCAATCTATCTAGCAACTGCAGACATGATGAATTAATTGCTCCATCTCCAAGGTGAATATACTCTTGCGTGTTTTTCCGTTATTCTTGATCTTTGACCATCATACCTTCTAGCAATGTGTCCTGCCCAAGCACACTTACTTTGTGAACAGTAAAAATCTCTACAACTCATCAATGTTTTCTACCCATGTTGCAGAATATGAATTAAATTATGAAATAAAGGAAGTGGGTCAAATTGCTCTGAGAATCGTCATACGTGTTCATCATCAAAAGAATCATGAACATCGTAACCATTATCAAAATCAAACTCATTATTACTTCTAGCAACAGTAAATTCATCTATTTATTATCATCAAGATATAAAATAAACATCAATAACAATACAAGCCCTCACCACTGGTCTGTTTTAAGCTGCAGTGGAAACAATAGAGCAACATTTCTAAATTCCCCCAGACTCTCTCCATCAGGCAGTAAAAATAGGTACACCGCATCATTAGACCTCCTTTGCCAGTACCAAAATGTAATAATAGGGTTTTTCCCCTTTTTTCTGGCAACAAAACTGAAACCTTTTTACAAGGATTCATGTCTGCATTAACCACAATACCTGCAGTCAAAATGCAAACAAAAAACATACTATGATAATATATGCCTTTTGGCGTCATCTGGTCGAGCACCAATTGGGTCGAGGCTCAAAAGAAAGCCGTCCCTTGGTGTGGACCAATCAGTTTCAAGGACAATGCATATATTATCATAGTATGTTTTTTGTTTGCATTTTGACTGCAGGTATTGTGGTTAATGCAGTAACATGAATCCTTGTAAAAAGGTTTCAGTTTTGTTGCCAGAAAAAAGGGGAAAAACCCTATTATTATAGGTACACCGCAGTTAGTCGATCGGTAGGCCGGTGTGGAAAAGTTGGCCAAAGACCCCGTCGGGGGGTTCTCTAGAGTTCAGTGGAGGCCCTTCCACCAGCAGTGCACTAAGTAATTGCAGGAATCCACGTTTACACCTTCACTACCGACAGTCTCGATCAGTGCTCACCTGGCCTGCACAAGACAGCCCTTGCCAATTATGGGCAGCTCAGAGGGAGGGTCCACAGTGGTGAAGAGGAAGTCGGGCACTTTGTGGCGCTTGCAGCAGCCACACGGCCCCAGCTGCGTTGGGAACGGCAGGTTCAGCTCGTCGTATGGCACGTGGCAGAAGCTGCAGCTTGACTCGTCCAGGCTGCGAAAGGAGGACACGGCATACAAAGAAGATCCCCCGTCTATCCTCAACAAACTGTTGGGGCAAGTGCTGTTGGCGAGCACCTATAAAGGCCGGCACAACACACGAGGGGGTGGGTGGCCAATACCAAGCCCGGCCGCCTTTGTCTCCCTAGTGGCGATGCTCACACATCACACCAGGTACTCATATGAGGGGGAGTCGACCTAGGGGAGGCTCAGGACCGGTTCAGATAATCGTCACAGGTGATGGCCGTGAGCAGGAATCACACCCGGGTCGCCAGGTTCGTAGTGCAGCGCGCTAAACGCTACACTACCGCTCCCCATGGCATACACACGCGGTCGCACGTGCAGACATGAAATCACAAAATGCTTAAACGAAGGTTGTTTTTCCACTGCAGAGGCCGACCCCGTGCCGCACTGAATGAGTCGCTCAACTCGCTCCTGGTCCTGCCTTCATGTCTCATGAGGGCCAGAGTTTCATTGTCTACTTTCGACTTGGCTCGGCAACTGGCAATGTAAAACCATCCGTACAATGGCGCGGCTCGGACAAGTAAACATGCACGCGTGTACGTGCGTAACCAAAATAGGCACTGGCGCTTGAATGCTGATGTCGACCACTGCTGACATCCGATAAAGCGCTACTCAATTTACTAACAGAGGGTTGAGTCGACCCAAAACACAACAACACTGACTACAATTCATTCACTCCAACCACTGCACCAACCAGTTGGGTATTTCACTTTGGCCCTACCTACTCCTCTGCCAAACCCGCCTGCTACCCGCGTAGCAGCTGAGATTCCCCATTACCCATGCAGGGTGGTGGCGGCATCGCGGCTGGTTTGCCGAGAGTGGTGCTCCATGTCCCTCCGCCCGTCGTTGGCGCCCATGCCAGCCTGCCACGAGAGGCGCGCCGCCTCTGCGGGGGGCACGGCGGTGGCCGCCCCCAGTGCCGGCGGCGCGCGGCCCCCGTTGTCCTGTACCAGCCGGGGGCTGAGTACGGCTGCAGTGCCGCACGCTGACAGGATGCACACCTCCTCGCTGCACGGGAACGCGCGCACACACACACACGCAGTGTCACGTGGAAGACTGCTGTGACGCATTGCCTCATGTACAACAGACCATGGTTACGCAGGTATTTAGTTGGGTTAGTAAATCCGTTAAGTGAGTATCCTCTCAATACTGTATTATAACAGCACTGGGATTTCGCTGGAAGCAGAGCGGTGGCCCAGTGGTTCGCGCACTGCGGGAACCACTGCGCTATGAACCAATCGACCTGAAACCACTTTCGATATCACACGAGTGGACGAGTGATATCGAAAGCGGTCTCAGTTGCCCACGCTTTCAGCAACTAACAATGGTAAAGTATTATCAGCAAATCTCAAAGACTGACACTGTAGCGGATTGAGAAAGTTGCTGCGAAAAGCAATTAATTAATTCATTACGTCCATTGCTCAATAAGTCTTAGCAGTAAAATAAATAAATAAATAGCTTATGCCCGTTGCTCAGCAAGTCCTAGCAGACCCTGAAGGTAGTGTGTTGTCCATGTTATAGTTGCAAGATCCACCATAATGAATACAACAATATTGACATTTGGTGGCATAAACAATATTTATTGGCTCTGATGACCTTTCAAAAACCAAATGCAAATTATGACAAACTGGTGACCTTTCTTAATCCATCAACTCCACGACTTGCCAGAACCTGGTTTCACATTTTACAATACAAAGCTCAACTGTCTGAAACCTATATTTTCCGAATGTTGCTGGTTCTAATCCACAATCAAAGAGACATGAACACAGAAGCACACACAGCATATTTGGGCTCAAGTTTTTTATGTCATGGTTGGCGACAATCAGCTCATAAACACTCACCATATGCTGGTACATTCGCTGTACCCCACTACAGCGTGACAGCCTAGGGCCTTGGCGTGAGACTTAATCTCTTGCCGGATCTCGGCCCACCAGGCGTCCCGTGTCTCAGGTTCCTCTACCGGATGGGTGGGCGAGCAGGTACACACACACACACATTAACGTAAGCAACAGTACGCGCCTAAAAACAAGTGTATAAACAATCAAGTGCGCATACACGAGCACAGAAACACATGAGCATAATGCAAACAGTGAAGAAGCATGCGCTTCCACATGAACGTGCACACACATACAAGGGCACACGTGCATCCAAACATGCATCCTCACTTATACGCGCACACACAACAAAGCACGCGCACACACACACAAGTGTATGCACACGAGCAGATGTGAAGATGCAGCACATCGAACAAACACGCGCAGAGGTAAACAGATGTGCAATAATTGACGAATGCATCAACTCACAAAAGCACAGAGGCAGTATGTGTGCATGACCGTGCCACACATATGCATGGACAAGCATGTACAACAATAGCTGGCGTTTGCAGGTGTGAAAAAAAACAAGTGGGCACAGGCCTATGATCACGTACATCGCATTGGGGTAAATTCAAATGCTCACAGTATGAAGTCAAACAGTGCCCGTTAAGTAGTTGACAGTCCCGTTAAGTAGTTGACAGTCCCATTAAATTTGAAACCTCTTTTGCATGAGAGGCCCTGTTAACTACAGGTACATAAGGACGTTTAATGTACCATTTATTTAAGTGCAATTGCTATACCAAACGTTGCATCGTACTGTGACATCCTAGCATACAATAATGATGTAGTTTTGAGAAGAGCAAAAGTTACCGCAGATAGCACAGTTTGCGTTTTTAAGTGAACGTAGTACGGAAAAAGTATAAAATTGCCTGCAAAAAGTTTCACCTGCTTGATATCCTCACGAGTGAATGTAGCCCACATTGTTATATCAATGAGCTTACTGGAATGCATTATGAATATAAAGCTTGATAAGTTAGATTTGACGTTCATGGCAATTCCACAAACATTTTATGTCTGTTACAGCAAAATGACGGTACATATACAGTGAGGGAAAAAAGTATTTGATCCCCTGCTGATTTTGTACGTTTGCCCACTGACAAATAAATGATCAGTCTATGATTTTAATGGTAGGTTTATTTGAACAGTGAGAGACAGAATAATAACAAAAAAAATCCAGAAAAACGCATGTCAAAAATGTTATAAATTGATTTGCATTTTAATGAGGGAAATAAGTATTTGACCCCCTCTCAATCAGAAAGGTTTCTGGCTCCCAGGTGTCTTTTATACAGGTAACGAGCTGAGATTAGGAGCACACTCTTAAAGGGAGTGCTCCTAATCTCAGCTTGATACCTGTTTAAAAGACACCTGTCCACAGAAGCAATCAATCAATCAGATTCCAAACTCTCCACCATGGCCAAGACCAAAGAGCTCTCCAAGGATGTCAGGGACAAGATTGTAGACAAACACAAGGCTGGAATAGGCTACAAGACCATTGCCAAGCAGCTTGGTGAGAAGGTGACAACAGTTGGTGCGATTATTCGCAAATGGAAGAACCACAAAAGAACTGTCAATCTCCCTCGGCCTGGGGCTCCATGCAAGATCTCACCTCGTGGAGGTGCAATGATCATGAGAACGGTGAGGAATCAGCCCAGAACTACACGGGAGGATCTTGTCAATGATCTCAAGGCAGCTGGGACCATAGTCACCAAGAAAACAATTGGTAACACACTACGCCGTGAAGGACTGAAATCCTGCAGCGCCCGCAAGGTCCCCCTGCTCAAGAAAGCACATATACATGCCCGTCTGAAGTTTGCCAATGGACATCTGAATGATTCAGAGGACTACTGGGTGAAAGTGTTGTGGTCAGATGAGACCAAAATGGAGCTCTCTGGCATCAACTCAACTCGCCGTGTTTGGAGGAGGAGGAATGCTGCCTATGACCCCAAGAATACCATCCCCACCGTCAAACATGGAGGTGGAAACATTATGCTTTGGGGGTGTTTTTCTGCTAAGGGGACAGGACAACTTCACCGCATCAAAGGGACGATGGACGGGGCCATGTACCGTCAAATCTTGGGTGAGAACCTCCTTCCCTCAGCCAGAGCATTGAAAATGGGTCGTGGATGGGTATTCCAGCATGACAATGACCCAAAACACACGGCCAAGGCAACAAAGGAGTGGCTCAAGAAGATGCAGATTAAGGTCCTGGAGTGGCCTAGCCAGTCTCCAGACCTTAATCCCATAGAAAATCTGTGGAGGGAGCTGAAGGTTAGAGTTGCCAAACGTCAGCTTCGAAACCTTAATGACTTGGAGAAGATCTGCAAAGAGGAGTGGGACAAAATCCCTCCTGAGATGTGTGCAAACCTGGTGGCCAACTACAAGAAACGTCTGACCTCTGTGATTGCCAACAAGGTTTTGCCACTAAGTACTAAGTCATGTTTTGCAGAGGGGTCAAATACTTATTTCCCTCATTAAAATGCAAATCAATTTATAACATTTTTGACATGCGTTTTTCTGGATTTTGTTGTTGTTATTCTGTCTCTCACTGTTCAAATAAACCTACCATTAAAAGTATTGATTGATCATTTCTTTGTCAGTGGGCAAACGTACAAAATCAGCAGGGGATCAAATACTTTATGAGACCTCCTTTGCCAGTAGCAAGATATAGTAATGGGTTTTTACCCTTTTATCTGGCACCAAAACTGACACCTTTATACAAGGGATCATGTTTGCAATAACCACAACACAAGCAGTCAAAATGCAAATAAAAAGAGACAACTCTGATAATGATATGCACTGTCCTTGAAATTGATTGGTCCACACCCGAGACGGCTTTTCTTAGAGCCTAGTCTCCACTGGTGTTGGACCAGATGACGCCACAAGGCGTACAACTCAAAAACAGCGCACTATCAGAGTATTGAGAGCTAGCTCTCAGCACACTATCAGAGTATTGAGAGCTAGCTCCCTTTCATCTGAGCTAGCTCTCAATACTCTGATAGTGCGCTGTTTTTGAGTTGTACGCCTTTTGGCGTCATCTGGTCCAACACCAGTGGAGACTAGGCTCTAAGAAAAGCCGTCTCGGGTGTGGACCAATCAATTTCAAGGACAGTGCATATCAATATCAGAGTTGTCTCTTTTTGTTTGCATTTTGACTGCTTGTGTTGTGGTTATTGCAAACATGATCCCTTGTATAAAGGTGTCAGTTTTGGTTCCAGATAAAAGGGTAAAAAACAATTACTAGATCAATTACTTTTTTCCCTCACTGTAGCTTCATTTCATTATATAGATAAAACAATTACGATTGAGTCGATACAGCTTTGGTAAACATAAAAAGCACAAATACTTTGACAAGATAACAGTATGTGCAAGTGTTTCTGCCATAACTGACCTAACATGGTTGTGGATAATGTCCATTAATGCCGTTATTACTAATGTGTGAATTCCAACAAAATGTGTTGTTTGTTAAACGTACAAATGTATATGCGCTAGCTTGAAAACTGTGCCATTTCGAAAATGTGAAAAGCCATAGATTGTAAACAACCGACACATTTAAATAAATATGCAAATCAGTTTGTGGACAATTGTGGCACGTTATTTATTGTGCGACAAACTCTGTGTCCTGCACGCATCAACACCTGTGCAATTTCACCTATTACAAAATCATAAAGTATTGCCGCTAAATATTTCAAAATCTTTTTATTTTCATTTTAGCCCCCCCCCCCTCCCGCCCCCCACCATTGAAATACAGCAGAGTCCGATTTTGCTATCTAATATTTTGAAGGTCTTTGACAGATATCTCTGAAAGGTCTCCCCTTCGGAGGCATAATTCTCTCAAGATATGTCAACGAGTTCCCGGTTCACTCAGCACGTGTTTGTCAAGTAACCCCTCAGAGCTGGGCTGTATCTCATCAAAAAGCAACAAAAGCTGGTGATTGGTCTGCGTTCATAAACATTGGGAGCATGATTTTATCAGGGATGAATGCGAGTCTGGGATTCTAAGCCAGCCATGAGATCTCAGTGGTGGCAGCTCAGTGCTGGAAGTTTGGGCATTCGCATATCATCATCAGTAAAGTGAGCCACTCCGTCCGCCTGGGGTTATGTTTAAGAACAGAAAGCAAACGAGCATAACGGACGTGGCGAATGCGCACGCAACTGGACCATCGAAAGTGTCACGTCTCCAAGGACGCAACAATGCAGACACAATGCGTTTCTGCCGCGGAGGCCAAGGTATGAACGGTTGTCAGCATCGATAAATATTTCAAGAAATACCGAAGAAGACAAAATACATTGCAATAAAAATGTGTTAACCAAAGCATTCAGCCAGTACAGCATGCATTTAGATAGGGGCGAGAGGCAGAAGTCTCTCGGGGCAGGTTGGCCTAAATCGCATGCAAAAAATTGATAATACAAATATATTACGAGAGGGCCAAAACGTGATGCGCTTACACGTGGAGGCGTTTGGGTGTTGAGAGGTCTGTCGTGTTCGTGGGAGGTGTGTGGTGTTTATGGGAGCTGTGGTGTATATCGGATGAGGTTTGGGGTGGAGATGATTGTGACGAACTTGTGTGGGCGAGTTGGATGGGGTAGTTGGTTGGGTTGTCTGCTTTTCGTATCACACACACACACACACAATGTAATTCGAGCAACAACAACCTATTCATATGTACAGTGAGGGAAAAAAATATTTAATCCCCTGCTGATTTTGTACGTTTGCCCACTGACAAAGAAATGATCAGTCTATAATTTTAATGGTAGGTTTATTTGAACAGTGATAGACAGAATAACAATAAAAAAATCCAGAAAAACGCATGTCAAAAATTGAATACATTGATTTGCATTTTAATGGGGGAAGTATGTATTTGACCCCTCTGCAAAACATGACTTAGTACTTGGTGGCAAAACCTTTGTTGGCAATCAGAGGTCAGACGTTTCTTGTAGTTGGCCACCAGGTTTGCACACATCTCAGTCTTTGCAGATCTTCTCCAAGTCATTAAGGTCTCGAGGCTGACGTTTGGCAACTCGAACTTTCAGCTCCCTCCACAGATTTTCTATGGGATTAAGGTCTGGAGGCTGGCTAGGCCATTCCAGGAACTTAATGTGCTTCTTCTTGAGCCACTCCTTTGTTGCCTTGGCTGTGTGTTTTGGGTCATTGCCATGCTGGAATACCCATCCACGACCCATTTTCAATGCTCTGGCTGAGGGAAGGAGGTTCTCACCCAAGATTTGACGGTACATGGCCCCGTCAATCGTATCTTTGATGCGGTGAAGTTGTCCTGTCCCCATAGCAGAAAAACACCCCCAAAGCATAATGTTTCCACCTCCATGTTTGACGGTGGGGATGGTGTTCTTGGGGTCATAGGCAGCATTCCTCCTCCTCCAATCACAGCGAGTTGATGCCAAAGAGCTCCATTTTGGTCTCATCTGACCACAACACTTTAACCCAGTTGCCCTCTGAATCATTCAGATGTCCATTGGCAAACTTCTGACGGGCATGTATATGTGCTTTCTTGAGCAGGGGGACCTTGCGGGCGCTGCAGGATTTCAGTCCTTCACGGCGTAGTGTGTTACCAATTGTTTTCTTGGTGACTATGGTCCCAGCTGCCTTGAGATCATTGACAAGATCCTCCCGTGTAGTTCTGGGCTGATTCCTCACCGTTCTGATTCCTCACCGTTCTCATGATCATTGTAATTCCACGAGGTGAGATCTTGCATGGAGCCCCAGGCCGAGGGAGATTGACAGTTCTTTTGTGTTTCTTCCATTTGCGAATAATCGCACCAACTGTTGTCACCTTCTCACTAAGCTGCTTGGCAATGGTCTTGTAGCCCATTCCAGCCTTGTGTAGGTCTACAATCTTGTCCCTGACATCCTTGGAGAGCTCTTTGGTCTTGGCCATGGTGGAGAGTTTGGAATCTGACTGATTGATTGCTTCTGTGGACAGGTGTCTTTTATACAGGTAACAAGCTGAGATTAGGAGCACTCCCTTTAAGAGTGTGCTCCTAATCTCAGCTCGTTACCTGTATAAAAGACACCTGGGAGCCAGAAATCTTTCTGATTGAGAGGGGGTCAAATACTTATTTCCCTCATTAAAATGCCAATCAATTTATAACATTTTTGACATGCGTTTTTCTGGATTTCTTGTTGTTATTCTGTCTCTCACTGGTTAAATAAACCTACCATTAAAATTATAGACTGATCATTTCTTTGTCAGTGGGCAAAAGTACAAAATCAGCAGGGGATCAAATACTTTTTTCCCTCACTGTATATACACATATACTGCACTCACTTTAGGTGAAGATGTTTTAACATGGAGATGTATAGTTCATGCCAAAACTGACTTAACCACCATACCCAGAAGTGTTTGTTTATGGATGAAATAATGGACTTCTATTCAAGGGTTTCTAACTTATCTTTGAATTGCTTGCCAACACTGTGGGCGAAGCCCAAATGTTTTAAGGTGTGTATTGTGCTTGCTGCCATCCAGCTTAAACACAAATACTTTAATATGAACACCATACAATTGTTAATTTTCGTCCATAGACCTGTAGGTCACACTATGACCATTAACTAACCTGATCAATTGTTATTTTGAAACTTACTAATGATATATTTACATGGATAGCTACATCCAATAAAAACAAAATATACACCTTTTATCAATCCACTGCCGGATGTAGGCTTCCCCAAGCTATATCGGCCATGGGGGGGTGGGGGTGTTTGACCATACACCTCCATACTGGTCAGTTTTCAGACATTGTTCACAAGTAAGGTTAGCCTTGTCCAGGAATTTAACTCTGGTTGTCAGGTTCACAACGTGGTGCACCAACCACTGTGCCACTGCTCCACCCATCACTTGTACAGGAATGTACAGCCCACCTCCTCAAATCGTTTCAATGCAGTCTCAGTGCACACAAATATTTGACGAAGTGACCTTCCCTAATGAACACAATAACTCAACCTTCTACTGCGGTTGTTGCTGCCCTATGCAATTTAACTGTCGTGTTGAGGCCACGTGTGTATACAACCTCAAAGAGGTGAAGTGCATGCACTGGCTTACAAAGACAATCTTGTGGTTAAAATGTCAAGGGACAACAGGGATGGAATAGACATGGAATGATCCTACGACTCAGAGTAAATGTCTGCACAACTGAATGACCAGCTACTTCCCAATTAGCATGTTCACAAGTTTATATTATAAGTTGTCCAAGTGTCTCAGAAGGGTTGATGCTACTGCCTGTCGTAAAAAAAATCCTGCCAGAAATGCTAAGACCCTAAGTTCAAACCTAGTTTCCAGCCACCCAAGAATAAATTTGGATCTCAATCGGTGAGTTTGATGGCTTCAGCCCAGTCAAGAAATACGTTTTGTTTTGTACTTCTTTAAGCCTTGACAATCTATGATGGCTTATTCAGCTAATAGATGGAAAGTGAACCACCTGTTATGGAGATGGTGAGACACTCGTAGGTTGGGGAGATGGTAGTGTTTGTAAGAATTGTGGTGAGAGACTGTCCGTGGTGAAAATGAACACGTGCTGTAATGTAACTTTGGCATTTACAAGGAGTGATGAATTAATTATAATGCCAGGTGTGGAGGGTATGTGTGCCTATAATTTGTAGCTATGGAAGTGTGGCTGATGCATTACACAGAGGGGGTTGCCTGCATTATATACCTACTTGCAGGGAAGTAAATTAGCAACCATCACAACATTGGTACCCCCCCCCCCTCCTGAAAATGGGTCTTAATATCAGGGTAAAAATATATATTTATATAAAAGCCATCTGGGCAAGCGGCATCAAAGCATAAAGTAGTTAAATCCCTAGAGGAACAGCTTCATCATACTGATGAACGAATCAAGGCACCGCCCAGAACGACATTATTTGATATCTCTTCAAAAGGAATCTTACAGCAGCCACAAGACAATGCCTTTGATTGTTTTTTTTTTATCGTTTAATTACGTGTCAGCGCATGTCAATAATCAACTATATAAGTTAATAAAGAAGAAGAATTAACATCCCTTTTTGTCAGAATATTTATCCGATGAGCTATGAAGCTCTTTTTCACAGATGTTACTTCACTACCGGATGAAGCCCTCCACACACCACGTCGGAGATGTGGGTTGTATGACCATACTTCATCACAGTGGTCAGTGCAGCTTGGTGAAACGAGCGGACCAGGAACCGCTTCAAATATTACTTCCAAGCAATGTCAGCCGTGGCTGGGAATAAAATTTAGTTCATAGAGCACTAAGCATTGCTCCAACTTTACACCCCGAGACACTCACCACAGTACATATCTGTGTGTGTATATAGGTGTGTACATTGACGATTATCTGAACTGGTCCTGGGCCTCCCCTAGGTCGACTCAGCCTCAAATGAGTACCTGGTGTGGTGCGTAAACATCACCGCTGGGGAGACAAAGGTGGCCGGGAGTGGTGTTGGCCACCCACCCCCTCGGGTGTCATGCCAGCCTTCATTAGGTGCTCGCTAACAGCACTTTCCCCAGCAGTCTATCTTTATGCTGTGTCGACACAAATGTACCCTGAAATAATAGGCGATGTCAAACTGACAAACTGAGGGAAAACTACATTTCATTGATGACTGGGCTGAGATCATTAAACTCTACACCTTATTGCATTCAAATCAGGAGTAGATGGTTGTATAAATGACAAACTATAGAAATATGTGGCTTCACTTGCGTTATACAGCCAGCCATGAGGCTCAAACTAGAATGTTAGCAATGCTGGGCAAAGTGCTTTGACAGGAACTTCAGCCCATGATCACCAGGTCAATAAACTTCACTAAATTTGATAAGGAAAAAAAATGTGTTCAGTGTCTATCAGGTACTTTGATATTTTTAGTTTGTATAAAAAGGTGAAGACGGTTACCAAACCCATTCCGTAACCATCCGAGCTATACAATCCTTCCTTCATTACACCCCCCCCCCCCGCTAATTCCATAATCTTACACAAATGAGGTTTATGATGGCTTTGGTTCTGTATACCAACTACAGTACTAATAAGTTAACTACTTAGAGGTGGGGTTTGTGGATTACATAAGGATGAGAGCCATGATATGCTCAAAGCCCATCTCCTGGAAGAGGTGTTGAACATAACTGGAAGTTTCTGCCTGACGTATAGCAGTATTTGATTGATGTTATCTTACATGTGTAATGACAATAGAGCCTGCATGAGGTGTGAGGGGACTAGTGGCCACGGGAGGTAATGGCAGGGGAGTCAACCTACAGTACGAATGCACCAGTGGCCACGGGAGGTAATTGACTGGGGTATCAGTTGTGTGTGCGAAGGGACTGGTGGCTACGGGAATGTTCGAGAAGGGGGGCGTGGTCAGGTGACGGAAGAGGACGGTGGAGTCTGCATGGTGGAGCGGGCGTCCAGAGTCAGCGAGAAGGTTTGAGGAGGGGGGCGTGGCCTCGTGTTGCTATATAAGGGGGAGATGCGCGGGTGACTCGGGGCTGTTGCAGTGGGGGTCTCCGCCTGATGTCAAGTGAACGTGCCTTCAATGAAGTGCCATCTCAAGAGAAGTGTGTCAAGATGGTCATTACACATGTAAAGTATCTCTACTTATCCATGATTTGTCAATTCCAAAGAAAAATACGTCAAAAAGGAATTTGCCGAATATACAAATTTTGGATTCTCCTAAAGTGTGTCTTGTGTTCACAGTGGAGTTTCTCTGGGTAACAATTTCAAACTGTAATCATCACTTTCATTGGTGTTACATATTGGCAGTTAAAACACGAGACGTTAGGGGACCATTGACCCAATGTAGCCAAAGTGGCGATGATCATAAGGATATGGATAACAATGATGATGGTGCTGTCTGTCACTGGAGTGCCATGAACGGGAAGGTGATAAGGCGACGCATCCAAGCACGGGAATGGCAGACAGGTGAGCGGGCAAGCGAGCAAGCAGCCGGGTATAATGGCAGACAGATGTACAAGGGGCATTTATGGATGCGAAGGGTGAGGTTTTGATAGCCAACACGATACCTGACGCGAAACTATTCCAGTCAAGCAGTTTGTGAGAGCGGGTGTTACCCATAATCCCGACAAAGGCTGAGTTTGGAAGAGCAACCAGCAAAGGCGTTAGAAACCATCAACGTGTAAGAGCGAAAACACGCATACACAAACACATACACACAAACACACACGCATTAAACACATGCATGCATACATGAAAGCCGAACAAATGAAATTAACGTACAGTCTTGGTTTTAGTGTTACGTTTTCTTTGGGCTTTTTAAATTCAGCAATAACAATTATCTTTAGTCACGGTGGTAGATCACTCAACCTCACAATCTTTGTCAGAGGTCAACTCATCATGGCCCTCAGAGTTCACTAAAAGGGCACTAATTTGCGAGACTTTAACAGTGGCTGTACTTGGGAGACTGGACCTTACCACAATAACGTGGAATTTCCACCAAATCACCCTCAATATGCCCAATCTTAGATGTGAGAAGCTAAACAGATTAAGTCTGCTTAGTACTTGGATTAAGACACTGCCTGGAATCCCAGGTATTATAAGCTTGGGCTGTATAGTGGCCATGTGATGGCAATATAGCTTTATACAATGTTAAATCTATCTATGCGGAGACTTAATCCCCTTGTATCTATGGATTCTACCATGTTACTTGGTTTCCTCCCACATGCCAATGGAATTGCCCAGCCATCCCCAATGCAGGACACTCTTGAAAAAGGTGTATCCAGATTCGGTGAGACTTTTATGGTTATATAAAGGGACATTATTACAGCACATCATGGCATCATTATTTCAAGAGCCCAGGAGGATGACCAATTCTTCTGAAGACACAGCGGCTTCTACAAACTAATCTCACAAGACTCCTTACTGCTCCACAAATAGAGGCTCACCACATGTGAATAATATAATGTGCCTACGCTCTCTCTCTGAAATAGTTGTGTTTGGCCAACTTACGTGACAAAGCAAATAATCTATACATTATTTATCAACCAAGCTCAAAGCATTTTACTGACTACACTTGAGGAGTTTGGGTACTAAAAAGAGAGCCATATTTTCACATACAGCAGAAAGTGGCAATGACTCCCAAAGCATGAACTGGATTTTCATTATTTGAATAGCATTTGCTCAGTGAAAAAAAAACATTTTAGTGAGGGCTACATGAACTATACTATTTGTTTAGTTTTAGACTAAAAATTCCCGTACCAATATTTGTTTCAAATATTATATTCCATTGCTAATGTGTGCACAGACACACTATTACAAATAAGCATTAAGTATGCAATCTCACAATCATGCACTAAGCGCACACACACATATCTCATGCATGCATACATACAAAATTATCAAAGGCACTCATAATATTAAAACCAAAGATCGTATTACGTATATTGAAACCCTTTGAAAATCCACTGCTGGATGAAGATCTAACCACGCCCTGTCAGCCATGGTGGTTGAGTCCAAGCAACAACGAACATCAGTGAGGAGTAACACCTGAACCGGCCCTGGCTACCCCATTCCCCCTTCACTGACCCACACTGACCGTCATTGTGAAGCATGATCAAACGACCCCTAGGGCTGAAAGTGTGTGGGGGCCCTGCATCCAGCGGTGTGTATTGCCAAAGGGATGTCAATTATTGATTATTTTGTATTTCACGAGCTCTGATTTTGACCTTTAGGAGACCACGTGCATACTGTCTGTCATAAAATGCCACTTTCAGAGTCTGCCAAGGCTGCCTAGACACTGTACACGAGACTTCTCATCGCAATAGGACAAGCATGGATATGCCACCACCCACATGTTTAGATTTGCATGTGTAACAACAATAAAAATGTGCGTGAAAAGCATCTAGGTGCACGGCAAGATATTTTAAATCCATTCTTGATAAGTATACGTTCTCAAGCCGGGTGACAATAATTATATGCTACAGCCCTTTGCCAATGCACTGCTGGATGAAGGTGTCCCCATACACTCTCTGTTGGAAGGGCTGTTTAACCATTCTTCATCATGCTGGTTCAGTGCGGGTTAGTGAAGGAGGAACCAGGACCGGTTCAGATATCACCCGCAGTAAGCTTACCGCTGTGCCATTGCTCCACCCATAAAACTGCTTAAGGACCCAACAATGGAATCATAGGTCTCCCATTGCATTCACCAAGGGCCCATCTTACCCGTGTAGACTGATTTTATCATCTGGAAAACAAGTGAGCAGTTTGCACCCGTACCTGCCTCAACGATTACAGATGTAGGTCTAATGGCTGGAATACATCAATTAATTTGCAAAATCAGATGGGGTTTTTGTGTGCAATCACAGGTGACTGGGCTGAGACCATCAGGGTTGCTACACGTTGAAATCTCTAATAATCCTGGGTGGGAGTAAAATAATAAAAACCAAGATATCCGCAGCTCATTGCTCAAACACCGGCATTGAGGACCTTGAGCCAAATAACCACTTCAGAGTCTACGGCATTTTCATTCACATTCAAGCCTAGTCTGGATTGAGGTCATGGATAATAAAACATGTTTTATGATATAATTAGTTCACAACACGCATTTTAACTCCAGTTCTCACAGCACCTATAATGTTATCCACAGATGTGACCCATTGACAACAACCACATCAAGACTTGCGTCAATTGTTGGAGATTTTGCCATTCGATAAAAAAAAACATGACGAAGAGTTTTACTGCCAAAAAATTCACTGATACTTACCAATTTATGATGAAATTAATTTGCGACTGACTTCATCAGACATTGGGTGTTTATCAAATGGTACAGATTTTCAGTGCTACAGATGGAAGTGTTGCGATTCGATTCAATACATTTATTTTTTATTTCTAGCATCTCATTTGTATTGGTTTTAAAATGTCATTTCAAAGTTGTGTTTTGAGCATCAGAGAAATAGAACACATAATTCGAATAAATTGTGTGTAAATAATACTTTCTCCTGCATATTATTCGATGCATGTGCCCAATATATTTTGCTCAAAACAATAAGTAAATGTAACTCCGATTGCGCAAATGGAGTCATCAGTCAAACACAAGTTATTCTGGAATTTCGTCAGTCAAGAGATGATCGCATCATGCTTTTGAAGAGCCGTTAAACGATAACGCCACGTGAATTCCGTTGTTATGATTTAAAATCGGCTTTTCTGACCCAAAAAAACGGAAGGTTGTCCTTGATGCCCAGTAAAGAGTGGTTCGCTGGATGTGATCTATCCAACATATCTGAAGTGTTTAAGTTTCATAGATATATAAAACAAATTCAGTGAACAACACATTTCTCGCAAACATTATTTTACAGTCATAAGCCATGAGGCTGAGACTATGTATGAGGAACTGGTTTAAACGTGGATGACTGGCGCCCAAAATAAAATCCTGGCTCAATATTCTGACATCGCCATTATAACCCAGCCAGCTTTAAAACATTTTTTTTTATCTAAAAATACATTTTGAAAATGTCTGCACAAAAAAAACCCCACATTTTCAGCCCGAGTGGAAAACTGAAGACTGGAGCGAACATAACTTTACGCAACTATGAGACAGAGCCATGCAAAACACTTCAACTGCAGTGGCAATGGTTTAGGCAGGAGAGGTGTGTGTGTGTGCAGAAATGTTTGGATGGAATCCACAGCACTCACCAGGGTTGTGAATTCGGTCGAGCAGTTTGACTGAGCGGGCGCTCACTACGCCGGCAACGTGGATGAGGAACCCAGGCGGGAAGGAGGTCAGGGTGAAGAAAGGGAACTCCTAGACGGGACATGGGGAGGGGGGGGGTTAGTAGAAAAATATGATTGGTGGCGAGGGTTCGCTTAAAATGTCAAGGTGACTAGAGAATGTTAGAAAATAAGATTAAGGAGAGTACGTAAAGTGAGAAGATTATAATTGAAAGGAGACAGTTTTTGGGAGAGAAGAGATGATCATGGTTAATAGAGGGAAGAGAGCTTGGAAAGAGAGAGAGAGCAGTCTAAGCACGCAAGGATCTAAAGACATGAACAGATCAAGAGTTGCAGCGCATGCCTATAATCCAGTACTTTGGAGGCAGGGTTGAGAAATCATGGGTAACTTATCTTTTGCATAGACCTCCAACCTGAGGCGTTGTGAGGCGGACAGGCAACGGCATTTCAGAAAAAATGTTCCGGACCTGGCTACGTGGATTATAATTTCAGAATTTCAACGCGCATGGCAATCACGCGCACAGGATGAGAGATTGCTCATTTGTGAGGAAAACGTTGAACGCAGGAAAAACCCCACACACACACACAGACACAAAAAGGGGTAACACTTTGCATTGCCATCACCTGGCCACCTCACAGCCACTCAACTACTTTACAATACCAGGCTTCCGAGGTCTGACAAGATCAGACACATTTTGGGTAATTGGGACATCGGCAAAATCAGGGCACCTTCGTGGTGTCTCTCTCAGAAAGGAGACAGCAGGGAAGAAGGATGGTTCGTGTCTCACCAGTTGGTCCATGGTAGCGGTCGTGTGCTGCCGACTCAACATCTTCATGGAGTTTCCATCCCGGCCACCGCTGCCACTGCCGACACCCGCTGGGTGGAGGGGGGGAGATGGGGACAAGGGGTACGCGGAGGCACTGGCGGACGGGAAAGAGCAAACGTGCTACGATGTGGGTGGCAGAGGGCAGTGCAGCTTGCACTGTGCTATGCTCCCACGTCTATGCTCGCCGCCTTCACTAACCCGCACTGACCAGCGTGGTAAAGTATCGCTAAATAACAAAAGGGCTGATGAGCAGTTCCGGTTTCGCTTCGCATGCAGATGCATGGTTCAGCGTTTGGATTGTCTCACCGGAATCATTATATTTGTAAGCCGTTCTCTTTTCTTGATTTGTACAACAAAACAACATCCGTATTGACCATGAGCGGATAACGGGTTGAGTCAAACCCCTCATCCTGAAAATGCACTTCAATCCTTAAAATTGACAGTTCAATGCTATTGCCAAGTTGCTACCCCGCATAATACAATTGCAATAAATAATTTAATAATTATTGCGCTTTTCATTTTATAATTTAACAACTACCCTTACCCTGGAAATTATTCTCAACTAAGACAGCAGCAACTGGTGTTTCATCTCAGCTTGGACCGTTATTTGCCTGAAAACCATGGTAACAAAGTGCAACGATTTCCTCAGGCAAATACGAGCTGAGATTATAATTACCCAGCCTGAGCAACAGAAAGTAAATGGAATTGAACTGAAAAAACATAGTTGAACTCGTACTTTATTGTCTCAATAGCACAGCTGGCGTAACAGCAAGACAGTTCTGTAACAAATTGGTGGCTGAAGCCAAATTTGGTGCGACTGAAATTGATCATTTCAACCCTTTCTCACTTTAAACTGCATTCTCAACCACAAAGGATGTGTCACCTAAGTTTTAAAGTCAACTTCAACTAATTGTCATTATGGTGGTCGTAACTTCTGTTCATGGAAACATTCCTACAACTGGGTCTCAGACTAAGGATTCATGTTTTATTTCCAGGATATCGTGAGGTGGCCGGTTAGGTAGTTAAGTTTCATATTATGATGAGCTCCGAGCCAGCACCTCATATAAATAATGGGCTTAAGACCTGGGACACCAATCGAGGCAAAAGAAAACTTCTCATGTATAGCAAGTTTTACAATATCAATAAATTGCCAATTAATGCATAACACTCCCTAATTGCTAAAAAAAGAGAACAAGAAAAACAGTTAAGTTTACCATAAATCGACCAAAAAACTGGTGAATTATCATCTGGATAATTAAAATAGGTGAATTTAATAAGAAACAATAGAAGTTGTGCAATATCGATCTCTGGTGCATTTTCAGGTTGTACAGCGCGTTGTTCAGCACAATATCTGACGTTTCACTTCACATTCTGGGAGCTTCTTCGGGAACTGAATTGATGAGCACACTTTCTCCCTCGAGTACAAAGCCTGTGATGAAATGGCACTTCCAGTACATGGCACGAAATTTTAGAAACAATGCCGAACAAGACGGCAGTATCACCTTAAAAAAACTCATCGGAGAGTGTTTACATTTGTTGGTCTTTAAATTATCTGAAGCCTCTGGATAGATTAGTCCTGTCCCTGTCTAAGCGATCTCCAGGTGGTCCGGTTTTCCCCTCCACATTTAGCGACGTGTGTTTACGAGTATTTGACTGATTTAAATTCCACATAAGCCAGTTCGTTGAGCCATCATTTGTGGCCAGGTCGCTTCTGAAAAAGCGTTAAATAGCTCAGTGGGCCTTACCTGGTAAAATAAAAATCTGTAAAAATGCTCTTTAACTATTTAAGACCGTACATGTTTTATCATTTGCAAAATGTATATTTTCAACCATAGTTCTATAGGAATAGATATGAATTTAAGAATGAAGCCAGACTCATTATTTTCAATTATAATTGTGGCTCAAGACACCAACACATTAGTCTGTGTGGTGTTACCGATAATAAACAGGTAATCTTAGAACAAAAGAGGACTTATCCAATCACAAAACTAATGCTCCATCGAAATGCATGGTGAGGTGGATGCAGGATAAATAAAATTGCTCAATCTACACAACTTTGACTGTCAGGCATAATTATCACTTTGCTATACATGAGGAGTGTAAGAATGCACTGATTCATTGATACCAATTCTTCGAGCCCAAAATACGCACATTTACTGAGTGTGTAAGAATCAATGGTTTTTTCAATTCACATACGTTGCATGTTATGTGTTTACACAACCGTTTAACACACTAAAAGCCACTACATTCACGACAGTGTCAAAAAAGAATCGATTCATGATTCGCAACCATTAATCGTCACAATTCATTGTTAGTGGCTACGTATACAGTAGGGACGAATAGTTACACCCCTACTAAATACATAGCCACCGTTATCACAATGTAGAACATGGGGAGACAAATAGGGCAGGATAATGCAACTAAAATAATAAGACAGACAAGGGGAGCGAGTCACACGCAAGATTAGTGATATGGTGACAATAAGGGCTGGACAAGACATGCCATTGGCAGTGAACGGGGTCTTACCCATCTTGGGGGTCAGACTCAGCTCAGTGTCGGAGGAGGAGGACTGTCGGCTGAAGGACTTGATAGGAGAAAACGAGTTGGTGGTTTGTGCTTTTTGAGGACTCGATAATGGCGGTGACTGACTCAGGAGCGCTGCCTCATCCAGAAATGGGGCCCTGTTAGCAGAGGCAGCACAGAGATTTTGGGCTTATAGGAAAATCTTCAACCCCACTCCCCCCGCCCCATATCTAAAGAAACAAGTTTAAATAATAATATATCTCAAGAACTGTCCCTCAGGTAGCTATTAAACAATTATAGTTGTAATGTAACTTCAAAATAACTTAACTAAATTACAAATGTTCTTTTAGGTTTCATTTAACAAAACACACAACCATCTTTTTACATGCCAATAATTGGGTGACACAAGGTGTACATTTAAATTTCATGTGACCAGTTGTGGGCAGGAATTTTAGCGTCAAGGTCAGTGTCTGCCTTTGCTAACATTGTGACCCTCCTTGTCAAACATCAAGCTTCGTAAAGGGATGACCTTTTGTCTGTCTGCCCTGCAGACACATGCAGGGGCTGCATCCGTGCATGCTGGGGAATGGGATTAAACTTAAAAAACAATCTTTTAAAAATAACTTGTCATCACAGCATCGAGCAGTTCAGGGGTCAGTTGGTGTTAAACGAGCACACACTTTTTTCCGTATAAGGTTATAAAAAAGAAAAACAATCGAGCTAAAATACTGAAGGCCAGCTAGTCAGTCGATCAACAGTGGGCACATGCTCACAAAGTCAATCGTTACCAAAAAATGCACCGAGCAGTAGTTTTACCATGTGCTAGTGTTAGCACCTTTTTTGTAATTAACGTGACCTCTGGGTCAACAGCTTCTTTCTCGTGGAGCAGGTGAGCACCAACTGAAAACCACCACGCAAGGTACACTTGAGAAAATTCGTATGGCAAAGAGAGATTTAATTCTTTACGAATTAGTCGTGGTAAAGGACAAAGGCTCGCATGCGCATAAACTCGTGACGGGGGTTTTGCTCCACGCAGTGAGCGGTGTGGTTCCACTGTATGAGTCGAGTGCTGGCCAAATACCAGATCAGGTTCTTTAAAGCAACTTAACAGCACAGTAAAACAAAAGTCCTGAAAAGGCAACGGCAAGCTGTACCAAAGGGTGGGCTTTCACAAACCGGTGGCCTCTAGAAAAAAAGCAAAAAAAGAGAGAGCAACCCATTCACAAGGGAAAAGTCTTGACCACAAACTAATCACCAACATAACATTTACACCAGCCAATCAATCATTGACTTTGACCTTATCTACAGATACAATAATTGGTTTAAAAATATCAGGACGTCTCATTGCGCTGTTACTTTGCATTAGAGTACCACCTCTGATAAATCTCACACAATTCTGGCCTATACAAAGCAAGGTCCAGAATGGCAACAGAAGTTCATTTTTGATATTCAAACGCGCATACGCAACACATTTTCATTTGGCTACACACAGCTGATTTCTCAATGCATTTGTTACACAGACAGAAAGAGGACATAAAGATGTGATAGTAATAAACGCCTGTTTCAGAGATATGCAAGCAAGGACCAATCTATCCATAATAATAATAAAATGGTTTTACGTATTTCACTATTAAAGTGATATTTACGTGAAGTTTGGCACTTTTAATCGACAAAAAGCTACGCTTGATACCAAACACAAGCTGACAAAAACAGCATGTCGCCACATATTTCATCTATATTTTCCCTAAACATTTTTACATAGCAAGGGTCAGTTTACAGGGCTGATTATGATTGTACCTGCAGCCCAGCAAGGCTTCTATTCAAGCCAGGACCGCTGTTTTACGCCTTTCTCTGGAAGAAGTGCAAAGAACAATCCTCTTTATTCCGCATGGCTGAAAAGAGCGCAGTCTAGCGGGGTCGAGCATCACAGGCCTTTGCAAGGTATAGCGACAATAATCATTCCAAGAGATGACACATTCTTACTGTCTCTTAAGAAGATCTGGAAAGGATAATAAAATATACTCTTCATTCTCTGCACTTAAATATGCCAATATGATAGATGAGACACCGCAGTTATCATGGCAATGTGCAATGACATCTGGTGTCTCCCTCAATTTCTCTAACCCAGCCACCAGACCGTGCTCTTTTTTTGTGCTGTTTTCCAAGGGAGTTATTGGCATGCGACCATCAACCAAGTCATGCCTTCAGAGCCGATTTAAGTCTGATTATGGAAAGCTAGGCAAAGAAGCTGTTCATTTGTGCACTCATTGGTGACCGGGCTGAAACCGTAACACTCACGACATTTAAGAACCGTTTCATAACTGACGGCTGGATCTGAGGTTTGACACCCGGGATATATCGGTGGTGTCAGCTCAGTGCTCCGACACATGCATAACCCCCACGAGCCACAGAGTCACCTCAACCACTGCCATTTAGAGAAACCGCTCCCTCGCCAACGGGGAGGCTTGTGTGTGGGAAGTGGTTGGCAGTGGTGGCTCGAACGAAGGGGTGGGGGGGGGGGTTATAGGAGGGGAAACGTTAAGAGGGCATTAGGATCGGGTGCTTGCCGTACCGAAAGATAGGAGGGTGGGAACAGAAAGAGAGAGAGAATGTCCCAGGGCAGCGCTGCGAGCAGTTTGAACAGGGCTGCTCAGGGTGGAGTGGAAACCTTTCTGCATCAGCGTGCGCTTAGGCAGAAACCTACGGAGGAGAAAAGGGGGGAGCGGGCGAAGTGAAACGTTAAGGGGACATGAAAAACACTGGACGGTAAGGGGAGGATGGTGGGGACCCCTGTTGAAGGATCACAAAGTAGGACACGCTGATGAGCTGCAATACTCTCCACAGCCAACGCAAGGAGAAGAAACTGGAAAGAGAAGTTAGCAGGCCTAGGCCAAAACACACGACTTCACAAGAAGGGCACTTCAGTTCATGTAACGCCTGGGAATTTATAGGAATATATAGTGCGATCCATTTATAGCGATCCCACCAAAATAACGAGGGATAATATAGAGAAAACCACATTTTTATTCAATGTCTCTGACAAATCTCAATTAACTTAAGAGTTTCAACACGTTCTCTCCTTTTTAAGGTATGGAGCCATCGCTTTCACAAAATTAATTCACCTGTTAAGAAGACAGTCATGAGAAATTAATGGTGTATCTATAAAGGATCGCCCTATATATTTGATTTGTCTTCTGAGCTGATGTGGTCAAGTTACATACCAATCTTAGCATTTTCATATTCGGTAACATTCGAGACTCCCTTGCTTGGTCTATGGAACGTTATCTTACTGTATGCCATCATCACACAGCAAGAAGTCTGAACAAGACAATCAACCATTAATAGTTTCAGAACAGGAGCCTGTGAAATTCAATTAACTATGATCAAGGCTCCAAGATAACTGTGGCTCTCATGTCACAAGTGGTTTTACTTCGTCAGCCAATGGACTACTAATTCACTCATCGTATCTCTATGTTCCAATGTGAATCGTGAATGCCGCTTTTTGGTGCGTCCCAATGCATTTGATGAAGATCGCAGATAATCGCGGATAAGGGTATATAGAGTACTCGGCTGTTATCTGGAATAGCTATGGATAACAAAGATTAATGTATGTCACGTAGACTCTTGTGTAATGTACTGGAGTGTGCTGCATCTGCAGGCTGCAGAGGTGATTTGGATGGCACAGAAATTAACAATATCCTCTCCGAAATGGTTAAAACCCACATATCATGACCATCGGCTTTATCATCATAATCAATCATCTTCATCACCTTCATCTGTATAGCATTGTTGTCTTCACCTTCATCATACATTGCCACGGGTAATGGGATGGATTTACAACATGACACACGACGCACAGCCTATGCTGCCAACAGAGGGCAGTAAGGCAAAAATCGATCGTCTTACAGTCCTGTTCCCAACGTCTACGCTCGCTGTCTCCACCAACCTACACTGATCAGCATGGTGAAGTATGGTGAAATAACCCCCATTACCCACACACCGTGGGGAGGCTCTCATCCAGCGGTGTCTGGCAATAGAGATGTACATGTACACGTGCACGTGAATACATAAACATGTTTACAAGTACACACAAAGCATGACCGACTCCAAGGCAGATGGGATGCCAAGATTCAAAACTCAAGATCTGATGTAAAAAGGTGTTATTCAGTGGAACAAATTTGTACCCGCAGCTACCTTGAATGTATGGTTGCTATAACAACAGAGAAGAGGAGGGTTAAGGCAAAGGAGTTGTGAGCCAGCATAATAACAGACCTGAGCTTGTGGCTTCTTATTACCATGAGGTACTTAACATTCCTTCCTCATTAAATAAATAATCCAACAGCTAATGTGTTTAAAGTCTTGCTGTGGAATGCTTGTAATTAACATTTAAGGCCAGTGGCTCTCAATCGAAAGGTTTTAAGTTCAAATACAGGCCGAGGTTGACTCAGTCCATCATCCATCCGGAAGGTTGATAATATAAATACCACTATGTAGGCAAGTCAATATTGGTTGTTAAATGGATATGAATGTGGAATTTCAATCAGTCTCTGGGCTGTAAATAGGAGATTAGCATTTGAGCAAGAAATCACTTTGACTCGACATTATTGAAAATGTAATGCCCGAAATGTGGCTTGAATAACAGGAAATGTAAATTGTGATGCTGGTATCTACTCAGAGAGTGCAGTAGAGGACCCAGGTGAAGTTGTCAAAACAAAGGTATGAGATTTCAGACTGGTTAAGCAGAGGACAGATTATTGGTAAAAGCAGGTGATTTGGTCACCATATTGATGGTAACCACAATAGACAGCCTAAGAATCATAATACATAATTTATAGCGGGAAAGACTTGGGGGTATGAAGATGATCCAGGTTCACATTCTATGGTTCTTTCGGCAAAGTCACGTAGATAGAAAAATAAATAACAATGAAATAATAAAAATTTAAATTAAGTGATTAAAAATAATATAAATATCGTGACGTTTCGACCGCAACACAAGCGGTCGTCATCAGGAACAGGGAGGTTATCCTCTAAGGGCAAGCTGTTTATAAAGGTTTAGAGATGGGCGGGGCAGCTAATGTTAATGTAGGAGAGGGCTCTGACACCGGCAGTAGGTCTACACCAATCAGAGAGCTGTTTATAAAGGTTTAGAGATGGGCGGGGCAGCTAATGTTAATGTAGGAGAGGGCTCCGACACCGGCAGTAGGTCTACACCAATCAGGAGCTGTTTATAAAGGTTTAGAGATGGGCGGGGCAGCTAATGTTAATGTAGGAGAGGGCTCCGACACCGGCAGTAGGTCTACGCCAATCAGAGAGCTGTTTATAAAGGTTTAGAGATGGGCGGGGCAGCTAATGTTAATGTGGGAGAGGGCTCCGACACCGGCAGTAGGTCTACGCCAATCAGAGAGCTGTTTATAAAGGTTTATCTACGTGATAGAATATGAATTCCTGCAGTCACGAAAGTTTTAAGTCAAAATGACCCAGGTTATTAGGTTATTTAGCTATGACCTTGGTTAGGGCTTGTGCCCGTTGGCAGGTTTAGGGGACTGCCTGAGCATTGTGGCTCACAAGCTACGGATGGGCATAACACTACCTTCATTACACAGATGCCACTTAGTAGTAAACAGGGAGGCAATAAATAACTGTGTATTTCAGAAATAATTTGCACAAAATAGACAACTGTCAAAAGGCGGCTAAGGGACAGTTTGCAATGGCAGAAAAAGTTGTTTATGGGTTATATAATCACTTTGAAAGGGTAGAGTGGTCCAATTTGGTGTTAAAGGGACTGGTGTTTTAAGCAGGAGTAATGTATGTTACTGCATAGAACAGAGTGTGGGCCAGGAGAAAAAAAAAACCTATATATATAAAAAAAACATTCAATCTATGAATACAGCTGCTTGTGGAGTGCACGAGGAATTTTTTTTATAATGGGACGGGGTCAGTAACTTTGCAAGCTCAGAAAAGAACACGGCATGAAAGCATTATAATCAGGAAAAGGAGGGTCTCTGATGTGTGAAACATGTTCAGGATGGGGAAGGGCAGGCCAGGAAGACAGGAGGGGGGCTCGCCATCAGAGAGAAAGCGTTGCAATGTGCCTGGGATACAATACTTGCTGGACAACAATTTACCAAAAATCCCATGCACACCCCTCCAGAAATGTATATTTGAAACATTCAGTGGTAAGTCGACTTCCCTCATTCAAAGTAAAACCATACGTACGCTTTTGTTTCCATGACTCGGAGTGGAAGATTCTGTGTTGGAATTGAGTAAAATTTTCACCATTTTTTACTGTGGGCGATTCCTGCAGGTACCGTGATTCTCCCATGGGAGATTCCAAAATTTTAATCTCCATTCACTTGGATGGGATTCTCACAGGGCTGAGTGCGCTATCGACTGGGCATATGTGAAAAAGAGCTTCATAACTCATCGGATTTCTCCAGGAAAAACATGATTCTGATCTATTGGCGACTCATAATGGCATAATTGGAATCACCAGTATCTTCTGAAACTACCAAAGCCTGAAATTTTGTGGCGATCCATGTACCGTATTTTCCCGCATATAGCCCACATACGCATATAACCCACAGACGCATATACCCCGCAAAAAATAGCGTTTTGTGTAAAACAAATTCCATATACCCCGCATGCATTCATATATTTAACGTCGTTACCGCAGCTTAATTCCATCATATTAATACGAAGTTTACATTTGTAATACATTCCACTATAAATTGTTAACATTAAAAACATAACGTGCACAAAGAAAACAAACTAACCGGAAACGAGTGAACTTAAAACAGTAAATAAGTAATAAAAGTAAATATCCAATAAATAACAGCAACTGGTAGATGAGTACAGTTTTAGCACTGGTAGATTGCGCACTGCGCAGATAATAATAGCGGCACTACGGTGACGCCGTCGCCTCGCCCCCACCCCTCTCCCCCCCCGCTGCCCCACCCCCCACCTCTCTCCCCCCCCCGCTGCCCCACCCCCCACCCCCCACCTCTCTCTCCCCCCCCCCGCTGCCCCACCCCCCAACCCCCACCTCTCTCTCCCCACAGCTCTCCCGTCACCACCACAGACCTTGCTCTGCCCCACCCCCCACCTCTCTCTCCCCCCAGCTGCCCCACCCCCCAACCCCCACCTCTCTCTCCCCCGAGCTGCCCCACCCCCCAACCCCCACCTCTCTCTCCCCCCAGCTGCTCCACCCCCCAACCCCCACCTCTCTCTCCCCCCAGCTGCCCCACCCCCCAACCCCCACCTCTCTCTCCCCCCAGCTGCCCCACCCCCCAACCCCCACCTCTCTCTCCCCCCCGCTGCCCCAACCCCCACCTCTCTCTCCCCCCAGCTGCCCCACCCCCAATCCCACCTCTCTCTCACCCCGCTGCCCCACCCCCCAACCCCCACCTCTCTCCCCCCAGCTCTCCCGTCGCCGGTAAACAGTGCGCACACTTCAAACATTGTGGTTTAATTGTACAAACAATTAATTTAAAACGTGATAACGTGCAATTTTAGTGCTAGTGGTTTATTCAGCAGTGCTTTAGTCAAAGGTAAGTGTTGCATAGTGGATAGTCCTACCATGAAAAAATGTAACGAGTTATGACATGTCACACGTGTAAAATATTTTTGGGATAGCCCGCACCTCTATATACCCCGCAGGGTCTTGTTTTGTTTGTAAAAAGTGGTATACCCCGCGGGTTATATGCGGGAAAATACGGTAATTGTCACTAGGATGGAGATCCAAGGACTTTCATGATAATGCACAAAGATTATATGGACGATTCCAATGCTGTCAATCCCATTCAATAACATGTGGATTCTTGCAGCTTCATCATTCACAGAATCCCCATTAATTTCAATGAACACGCCAAAACCGTCATTCGCATGAACACCATTCCATTGGAAAATTCATTGGCTCTCAAAGAAAACCATTAGTTTTAAATGGATATTCCCCATCACTCCATTTAAGCAAATGGGATTCTCCGACAGCCTCTGCATTCCCATTCATTTCAATATGAATTCGTGGAGCTTCATTCATATGAACATATACATACTCTTTGGTTCTATTGGGTAAAGTCACGTACCTACGTGACTTTACCCAATAGAACCAAAGAGTATGGATCCTAGCAGTCACGAAAGCTTTAAATCTAGAATTGAACATATACAATTCGAGCAATTACACAATTCTATATTCCCATTTGGAATCACAATTCCAGGCTAGAGGCAGTGGGACTCACCCAGAACTGCACATAACGATAGTTAACCACGTCTCAGTTGCAAACAAAGATTTAAAGAGTCTTAAAGGTTAAGTCTGAAAGGATCTCACATCGTGTGGTTAAATTAGGAACACAAATCACAGGCAAGTCACTATTCCAACACACCGTGGCACTCATCATCATCTCATCAAACAACTTTAATGTTTTGATTTGTCCTTTAGTTATTAGTGGTCCTCTGTGCACGCGAGCTACTCACTCCTTTGTGTCGCGAGGAATGGGGGTCGGCTGGCTCTGCTGCTGCTGTTGCTGGTGATGCTGGTGCTGCTGCGGACCAGGGCTGGCTTCACCAACCAGAAACTGGACGCCGGTGCCAGCAGCATTGCTGTTGTTGGTGGCGCCAGCTGACAGGGGTGGAAATGGCGATTGAAGTTGGCTGACCCGTCGTTGGCCGAGCAGAGCAAGGACAGGTGGGCTGGGCTGGCCAGGAGCGGCGGTGGTTGTGGCGATTGCCAACTTCTCAAGGGTGCAGGCTGTGCCAATGGCTCGGACCACCAGGCCAGACTCGCCCTCCAAATCGAAGCATTGCAGGTAGCCCACAACGGCATTGCCAAACATCTCCAGCACCTTCAAGCCAATCTTACGCTGAAGCTCACCTGCTCACCCACACAGAAGCACGTACACAGAACAGCACTGGTCTTTTCCAACGGCTTTCCAGGTGCTACTGAGTGTCACTGCCGGTGACACTATGACTGCGTGTGTTGAGAAAAGATGAGAAGATTAAATTAGAAGGGTTATGGAGATGCCGGTGCAGGGTAGAAGTCCAGAGCAGATCTGGGGTCAATCATAATTAGTCACTGCCACCGATGTTCTCTGAAAAGTAAAAGCAAGCAGATGACTTTTCTTCTCTAGAATAATAATGTTTTTTTAAACTACTAAGGCGTCAACTGCGCGCTTCTACACACCGGACATTTGCGAGATGAGGCGCTGGCGAGCCTCGTTGGAGGCGCGGGGGGTTCGGATGCGATCGATCCACTGGTACTCAGGGTCCTCGTTCACCACCAGCTCCTCCACAAAGCCGTGCACGGCCAGCGCACGGTAGCACCGTGGTATGCACGTTGCTATGAGCGAGCACGCACACGCGCGCAGAATTATTGAATTGACACGCGCACCCAACTGCATAGTACGTAATAGTACAAGGAAAAAGTGACTTATAAACAACAAAAAGCGCAAATGTGATCACTGCATCGGTCTTCCCATCATGCCCTGTATGTCAAGTGACATCACCAAAACTGCGCGTTTAATGCACACAGCAAAAAATATTATGCATCCAGTTAAAGTGGAAAAAATACAACTGCAGTGGGAAAATAAAGCAATAAATAATGAAGGCATGAAAAAAATCACAAACCAACACTCACAGCTGAAAAACTTGACTCCGCACGAAGACTGGCGGAAGCGATTTATGTCGTTAAAAAGATCCACCTTGATGGTGACATTGATTTCGCCACGGATTCCTGAAAAACAAGAACAAAAACATAAATTCCAAAAATGTTCTAGTAATGACAGCATCAAATATGGGCAGAATGGATTTTTCCAGCTGTCCCCCAAGTTCAGCTCTCTGACGTATAAAGTAAAAATACATCTCCTTGACTGCAATATCCGACTTCATATATAACTAGGCACATAATGCTTGATTAACACCGACTGATACACGCATTTATTCGTGATGACGATCATTACAATCTCCTTGCTGGAGGTAAAAGGTCTTAGTTGTTAAATAAGGTGGTTTCCCAAATGTATTATGGTGAGTATTAATATTCCCAGCTACTCTACATGTAATCATGAGTTTAGTCAACTAAAGAATGAGCATTTTATCTTACAGACAAGTAAATGGTAAATTAAAAAAAAATAATGTTACATGCAAATTGCAGGTTACTTTGTATTCATTTAAGATGAGTCACATTGCATACTGTAGACTACTCTGCATATCCGATTATTGAAAAATTATTAACAGTCGAATATACAAATCGTTGATAATGCAAATGTACAGCCTCTGCATGCGTTTGCACATATTTACATCGTTTTACTGTTAAAGCAAAATGTAACATCTCAAAGTCGATGTGTACTTTATAAATATATTTTACTTTCTCTGACTTGGATGTACCTAAATATACAAATGCACATTCTGAATTCTTCTGGGCCAGATTATGTTGTCCCAAATTGCATTAATCATACAACACGTGAAAATGTAAACCAAGACAATAGTGGATCACAAGCACCGAAATTTGGTAAGCGTTAGACATTATTAACATTTGGCGGGGGGGGGGGGATGTGTAATGTTACTTCACTGTTGGTCAGTGTGGGTTGGTAAAGACAAACATACCGAATGAAAAACACCGAATTCTTACAAACAAATGCGATTTGAGGCATGTATAATGACGCTTAAGAATTAACATTCATTGATGAATCAATGCATCACAATAACACATAGAACAAAGGAACAAATGCACGTGACAGACATCATATTAACCGTTCAGCAAAGTAAGTGGCCTTAGTCAGGACACGTTGCAAGAAGGGTAGAGGGCCGATGGCGAAAGATGGGAACACATGCCCAAGATAATGACCACCGCGGAGATGGAGCAACAAGGTCAGCTCTTGTGCAGGAGTGAGTTGAACTGTTGCACATCACGAGACTGAGGGATAGCGACAACTTGGGCAGTCTTTCACCAAGCAGTAAATAATGGCTGATTGTGATACAGTATTAAAATACATTAATCACTCATGTGCATGACTTTCAAGTAACCTTTGTTCCATTTACTGAACCAAGCACAATCTTTATGCAAGGGCTGGCATTAAGCCCTCATTTCGGCATAGCATTAACTATTCTGTGACCCTTGCACAAACAACAGGAATAACAGCTGCATCACATGCACTGTAATGGTGCTGCAGGGTTGCTCTGTTAAGCAGAGAGTTAGTTCACTTGTAATCAGCCAGTGGTTACATATGCACTATAGTTGCGTGACGCACTGAAAGTTTCCAGCCATAGCCGTTATGGAAACTTGGGGCTTGATAAACTGTTGTGATACCTTTGATTACTGCTATGTTCAAGTCTCGTTGACTTGTAAGTTGATCGTTTTGGTTCTTGGATATGTATGTGTTAAGATGCCTCTGCAAACCACCCATAGTCAAATCAGCAAAACCACTTTTCAAATATTCATTCCGAGTGTGACAGTACCAATAGTCAGTCACCCTAAATAATTGCCAGGCGTGGTTCCAAATAAATTCTACAAGTTTCCAGAGTAAACAAATATTAGCGAGGAAAGCAATTTACTTGTGACAGTGAAACAGTGGTTTAGGGAGCAAGACAAATAAATCTTGAAAGCAGGAATCAGAACCTTGGAACATTGAGACAATATATTTACTACTATAATGAGCCGAGAATGTCTGTGTCCCGCGTGTGACGTCGATCCACGTCGACCAGCCCCCTCATCAATAATCATGAGCAGGTGACGTCCTCCAAATAGACACCCCCTCATTAACAATAATTAGCGGGTGACGTCACTCCAGATGGAGGGGTGAGGCGCCTCCTCCCCTCTCCTCAGCATCAACTTATAACCCTCACGACAAAGGCAGAACCCTCACGTCACGCCATCTGCGTAACGCTATTGAGACAAAGAAGTAAAAAGGATGTCAGAAATAAGTCTGTGTCACCGCGGCCTTACAAATTGCACACGAATGGATGCAATGAATATCACGTCGTGGTCTGATTTTCGCTTTCAAGTTTCAGATTTACTGCAATACACCCGTCCTTGGACGGGCAAAAGGCTAGTATGGCATATTAAGGGAAAAATGTAGAAAAATAACCGATTCATAAACAACAGTAAGTGCTTTCTACGTCAGGATATGGAATGTTGATCCCCCTTAAAACCTCACTTACAATGAAAAATGTCATGCTTAAGGTAAGCGAACTAGGTGTCAAAACCATCACGAGGCCCCTTGAGTAGCATGCCCATCATTTCACATTCCAAACAAAGCCAGAGGACAAACCTACAGATAAGAAGTGTTTTAATCCCTTAACATATGAAAATTACTCCATCAATCTGTGATAAAAATCACACATCACAAATGAGTGGTGGTGCAACGGCACGGTGGCACAGTGGTTTGTTGCACTGCGCTATGAATCCGATGACTTGAAATTGATTTCAGTCCATGGCGAGTGAGATCTGACCGAGAGACCACCCAAAAATGGCCATCCTCCCCACCGTATCTCACCTTCTATGAACAATCTGTGATGCAACGATTTGTGTAGTGTGCATTTCTGTATTAATACATCCCACCATTCATACCCGAAAAACGTGCAACTATCGCTCGAAGCAATTCAAAGAATTCTACGCTTTTCTGTTGGAAACCTTCGAAAAATCATCACAATACAGACCGTGTATGGTGTCGTAGATGGGGAACCATCCCGAGATGAGGGAGGCGGCCTCGGTGGACAGGAGGGGGTCGATGTCGATGTAAACCTTTCCGATGGCATCGTTGGCGCTGTACGTGTCGTGGTCGAGTACTGTTATTTGCAGAGGCTCGTCCTGCAGCTCCTCATCGTCCACCTAACTCACACGCACGTACGCATCTGTATACGTCTATATATATACAGCACGTATCCACTCACGGACCATGAGAGCACATATGCAAAAAATAAAGACGAGGATCCCCCATATTGCTGATAGCGAGAACCTATGAAAGCCGGCATGGCACACGAGGGGGTGGGTGGCTAGCAACCACGCCCGGCCACCTTTGTCTCCCAAGTGGCGATGCTTACACACCGCATCAGGTTCTCATTTGAGCCGGAGTCAACCAAGGAACGGTTCAGATAATTGTCACTGGTGCTGGCCATGAGCGGGAAGTCGAACTCGGAACGTCGGGTTCAAAGCGCAGCATGCTAACCGCGACACTACCTCGGGCACACACACACGTACCTGCATATACACAAATACGCACCCTTCAGGGCAGTCATGACCATCGTCATCATCCATAATATATCCACTGCTGGATGAAGGCATCTCCAAGCCACCGCCAGTCCCACAATTCAGCAATCCATCTAGCTCCCGCAAGCGAGCTGATCTCATTGCTCCATCTCTGCGGTGGACACACTCTGGCGCATGTTCTCTCCTTCGGCTGCTACGTCATCATGAGCCCCAACCACCGGCCATCATTCCTTCTAGTGGCGTGTCCTGTCCAAGCCAATTTTTCTAAACAGTCAATGTGTCTAACTTGCATTTGTTCACTGACCCGTGTTGCTCATTTTGTTTCTCAATGCACATTTCAAGTATACACCTCTCAATGCTTATTTAAGTTTTTGCTCGATTTTCTTTATAAAAGTGCCCATGCTTCTGAACATTGTCGTACCAGGTAATATATTCAATGATTGAAATATTTTTTTTAAGACATGTCGATTTTATGATTTTAATTAAGTTCAGTTTTACAAAAGCAATCGAATCTGCTCTTAGCTGCCTTTTTATTTCATCACTTTGATCCCGGTCTGCCTTAAATAGCTAACCTACATATACATGCTCTGAACACTCAGAACATAGGTATACTTACTAAATTGAAATAAACTGCAATAAATGGTGGAAAAAGCGAATAAAGAATGCTGCAACGCTGGGCTCATGATACATAGGAGAAAAAAAGTCAAGTACAACAAGTCTGCTAAACAACTGAAAATATCCATTGGTGGCACATAACTGAAAAACGCATCAGTGGTATACCATGCGCATTTCAGAAAGGTATTGGTGCGGTAGTTATCACTAGTTGTGTCTTAATGGGCATGACCTTCATTTGTTGTGATTAAATCAACTTAGCAGTACATTATTAATAATTACAGCTGTCAATACATTGCTGGATTGAGAAAGGGCAACTTCACCAGACCGGTCAGTGCAGTTTGGTAACGAGGGATTAGGCACGATATCATTGACGTGAGCTGTGGCTGGGAATCAACCTCAGGTAACCCGGGTTCACAGTTGCGGTGAACGAAGCACTGTACCACCACTCCAGTATAAAAAATTATAAATTCTATACATTTCCCAGTCCAAGACTATCAGGGTCAATAAACACAATGGAAAACTATAAACATGTAAAACATGCTGAGTTATTGCTGTTTGAAAAATTAAATAAACAAAAATGCCACGCACATAAACTCATATTATAGAACACTTCCAAAACATCATACAGCACTATGTAAACATACTTTGCTTGTGTGCTTTAAACACAAAAACATATAGGCAGTAAATACGTATTAAATCGTACGTGGAAGAATCGATTATTTACAAGACAATAATATATGCAAAGGTTACGTTTAGGATAATGGACAAAACGAGACTGAACCACTTAAACTGATATTAGATGGTGTGGACCTTCCTGCAAATAACTTTCTTACATTCCTCAAATGGTGAGCAACATCCTACGGTGAAAACAGTAACGCATTGTTGAGCCATTAAACGAAATTAAGGTACAGCTTGGAAGGCCGGGCAACTTGTGCCCTGCGATCATCTTGGTAGCATGGCCAAAGTAAACCCAGCAATGGGTCTAGGCAAAGGCACCTGCTTGGCGAATATAATACAAAAAACTATCCATTAATTTTAGACAAGCTGATTACAGGTGGAGCGGTGGAACAGTGGTTAGTATACTGACAAAGATGTGTGCATTGCTAAAGATTTCCTTTTGGGTCCCCAGGATTATAACTTGACACACAAACTACTATGTAGCTGCTTCAAACAGCACACCCACAAATGCACAATATAAAAAAATCAAATATAGCAGTGCTGATGGAATTACAAATATCATGATCTGTTTTCATTATGAGACCTCCTTTGCCAGTAACAAGATATAGTAATAGGTTTTACCCTTTTAACTGGCACAAAAACTGACACCTTTATTCAAGGCATCATGTTTGCAATAACCACAACACAAGCAGTCAAAATGCAAGCAAAAGAGACAACTGATAATAATATGCACTGTCCTTGAATTTGATTGGTCCACACCCGAGACAGCTTTTCTTAGAGCCTAGTCTCCACTGGTGTTGGACCAGAAGATGCCAAAAGGCGTACAACTTTTGTGCCAGTTAAAAGGGTAAAACCTATTACTATATCTTGTTACTGGCAAAGGAGGTCTCATAATGTAAATGCTCACCCCGAGCCCTCAATACTCTGATAGTGCGCTGTTTTTGAGTTGCACGCCTTTTGGTGTCTTCTGGTCCAACACCAGTGGAGACTAGGCTCTAAGAAAAGCTGTCTTGGGTATGGACCAATCAAATTCAAGGACAGTGCATATTATTATCAGAGTTGTCTCTTTTGTTTGCATTTTGACTGCTTGTGTTGTGGTTATTGCAAACATGATGCCTTGAATAAAGGTGTCAGTTTTTGTGCCAGTTAAAAGGGTAAAACCTATTACTATATCATGATCTGTCTTGGAAATAAATTGTGTATTTCAGTGGCTCCTCAACTAATGTAAAAGCATACAGTACCTCAACAAAGTTGTGTTTTTCATGCTGTGTCTGAAAGACATCTGTTTTTAAGACATAACCACAACAAAACGGCTCACCTCAAACTTGAACCACTCAGAGTTCCACTGCGGGTTCAGGGACTTGGGGTATACGTCCGTCTTAAAAGTGATGTTGCTAAATTTGACCTGTGAGAAAGCCAACACAAATACATAAAAAAACAAGTGAACAACTACACACAAGACTGTCTAAAATGTTAACGGATTACCAACTAAACAACGGAGCACGAATTTGCTGGGATCAGCACAGACTTGCTGATGCACAGCCCTATAAAGGACACCTGTGATGACGGTAAACTAAAAACCTTTCCTTGCAGTTGGAGTTAATACAGCACTTGTAATCCTGTATGCAGTTCTTCAGTTATGGGTCCTCACTTTCCCTTCAATTTTAACCAGTGTGCATATATAATTTGGACCTAAAAGTGTGTGTACTACTCAATGTCCGCTAACAGAAAATCCATTAATGTCAATTATACAGTTAATTTGCCAACTTTCTTCAAATGTATGAATTTTCACAGGACACCACAGTGATAAGTGCAATCTCTAACTATAAGTCAGCTAATCTCTCTACCCTCTGCTTAGAAGAGATATTTCCCAAAACATCCACCAGTTATCTACTTAAAGTTCAAATGCAATTAATTTATTTTATGTGCCTAACTAAATGCTTACATATCTCAAGACACTGTACAAATAGTGGGACATATGCACAGACATTTTTTTTTTAGGAAAAGAGACAATACAGCCAGCCATTGGCATACAAGAAGAGGCTATCTTAAGCATTAGATTGAATAGAGGGAGTCAACAAAAATACAAACTGGCAGGGGGAGGGAGTTCCAGAATAAGGGGAGCAGCAGTAGAATGCGTGACCTTCCACTGAGTGAAGGTTGCCTAGGAGCGTCAAAATAAGGCCTTGGTTACTGGAACGGAAGAGCCCATGAGGGGTATACAACGTTATTAGAGTGGAGATTCGGCAGGAGCAAGTTCATATAGGATCTTATAAAGGGTCAGATCCATTCTGCAGTCATTCCCAGGACTGGTTTAAGAACCAGTGAAGGGTTGGAGTAGTGGGTTGATTCACGATGGCTTATTAGTGCAGGTAAGGAATCTGTCAGCGGAAGTATTACTAACAGCATTAATATCGAATGTGGTGCGATTCTTATTTGATTTGTGCTCTGTGTTGTGTGCTCCAACACACTGCAGCATTTCCATAAATAGAGCTCGTGGCAGAGCCGTAAAGTTTATTTTAAAGGATTTTTTGGTTTAAGATCTCAATTAACTGCTGTCAATAATAGCATCTCACAAGTGTCAACTCTGAAACAAGGCTCCTGATGCACAGCGGTAGCTGTATAAGCAAGGGCTCTAGTTTCACCTCTGTGTAAGGATTGGATGGAACAGAAAGGCAGGGGTTTTTGCCTCGGAAACTCTATCTGGGGAGGGTAGGAGCAGCAGTGAAGTGGCGTGTACTACGTTATGGACCTGACCAGATGCATTTGATCCTGAGCACAGCTAACGCAAGTTATCTGAGCCGGTCCTGGACACTCCCATTTACACAATCCAGCACTGACCAGCATGGTGTAGTGTACTGCCGCTACAACATTAGGAGGCCATTTCTCGACAGCACCTTGAGATGCTATTCACTTTTAGAGGCTCCACAAATTCAAATTGTATTGTATCAAACTCCTCCCGTGCACAGCACAGCCACACGCAGAGACAACTGATGGGAAGCACACCTCCACAAAGGCATCTGTTAGGTCGCTGGCGCGGTCCATGACGGGCAGATGGCGCCCCGCCAAAATCTTAACCTTCAACTTCCCGGGCATGGCCGCGGGCACCCTGTAAATGAGACAGACACGCCCAATCAAAAACCTGGGCTGTATTGTACCTAGTTATGTGTCTTCATTGTCGAGATAGCAGAGCAATGGCAAAGGTGACACAGAACACGTGGCCACAGCAGACCAGAAGATGGGCTCTGCACACAGAGCAGAAATATGCATGACACACAAACCGATCAGACTGGGTGGTGCACAGCATAGGAAATTGGGACCCCCAGCAAACACATGCAGATGCAGTCTCAAAATAAAGAGTGAACTTGCAGCAAGAACCCAACTGCCTTGGTACAAAAATCTTGAGGTTGTTTATTTTGGCAGGCACGTGTAAAAATAAATCCATAATATTATAAATTAATGCCCTTTTCATTATTAATTATATTCAAATGGCCTCAGCAGGGTAGTACTGCTGTAATGCAAGCACATTAACAGCCATGTGTTTGTCCATACACTGCTGGACGAGGGCCTCCCCACGCCGTACAACTTGTGGGGGACCACAGCTGTGACAGCATGGTATAGTATATCAATTGATTTTGTCGCACTGCACACTGCTGCCCACAACCGACAAGCAATTGGCCAGATATTTTCATCAGAAATCACTTGACACTCCTCTTGAGACTCAAGCATTGCTGTGTAAACAATTCATCAAACCCCCAGCCATCATCCTTCAACCATATCGTCATTCAGACAGACACCACTGTGCACGTATTGCAATCCAAAACCCCCTTGCATAAGGCATTGTTAAAAAAAGGAAATTATGATACAAAAGTATCGTTTGTTTTCGTTGCACCGTCTGTAATAGCTACACTACAGAGCAGTCCGTTCTACGGACAGGGTTACAAGACCCTCACGTAGGTGAAAACAAAATAACAAAAAATCACAACGTTTCGGCCACAACACAAGCGGCCTTCATCAGGTGAAGGGACGAGACTGTCCTCCGCTTGTGTTGTGGCCGAAACGTCGTGATTTTTTGTTATTTTGTTTTCACCTACGTGACTTTACCCAATAGAACCAAAGAGTATGGATTCTAGCAGTCACGAAAGCTTTAAATCTAGAATTACAAGACCCTCATCTAAACTCTTAGCCAACCACACACATACTAGACACTCACTCGACACAATACGGCTTTCCTATGTAAACGAATGATATTATTCTACGAGCCGAATAAGCGGCCAGTTTCGAGTTTGGATATTGCTTGTATGAGTGACCACCATGTATGTATGTAGAACTTCTTTCGCACAATACCTAGCCAAACATACTAATCGTAGGTGCTATAGGCTGCTACGGTGCCACGTTGCCAGCAGAGTGCAGTGAAGCAAAATCAATTTCAGTACTTCGCAGTACAGTACAGTGTTCCAATTGCCCTGTACTGCTTCGTCTCCAGCGCAGTGAAGTATGTTAAAAAAACCCTCCTCCCAACCACAAACCACACAGCATGCAAGGCGAGCGGGCTCTCATACAGCAGTGGATTGACAAACAAACGCGCCGCACAAATGTTAGCACACTCCGGCGGTGTTCATGGGGGAGTCAATTGACATCCCGAGTCCACGCGTGACCGCCGTCAACCAGGCCCTCTGTGCAGCGCCCAAGCCTTATTAAAACACAAACACAGCACAGCGCGCACACCTTTACAATCACGACACTTTAACATAAAGGTAGCTAGGTCAATTCTGATGTTACGGCGGCATACATCGCCTGTCATTATATAACCACGCAGTGTGCTGTTAAAGGATTGTGCCACACACGCACACACGTGTCTGTGTGTGTGTGTGCGTACACTCGTAGCGCGAGTCAGGCCTGCCCCTCTCGCACTCGTTTAACCGCACCAGCGGAATGTTAACTTACGTGGCCAGTCACACGAACTTGGTCGATTAAAGGTTAAAAACACACACACACAAGCACGCAATTTAATCAACACGGTCGCGATATCGCACGGTCGGCCACGTGTTTGCGTTTGACTAAAACATCGCCACCTGGGCCTATAAACTGTACTGGTTGAACGCTCCACGTCAACACGCAGTTAACACGCCGTGTGTACACAAGTCCACACACACTGAAGGCTGTAGAAGTCGTAGCTTTAAGCGGTGCTCGTTTGAGGCTGAGTCGACCAAGGGGAGGATGCCCATGACCGGTTCAGATAATCGTCACTGGTGGTGGTGGCCGTGTGCGGGAATCGAACTCGGGTGGCCAGGTTCGTAGTATAGTATAGCACGCTGACCGCTACACTACCGCTCCCCATACACAGCCTGAACCACACACACAGCATGTACCACCTACAGCCTGTACCACACATACACAGCCTGTACCACACACACACACAGCGTGTACCACACACACACACACAGCCTGTACCACACACACACACACAGCCTGTACCACACACACACACAGCCTGTACCACACACACACACAGCCTGTACCCCACACACACACACACAGCCTGTACCACACACACAGCCTGTACCACACACACACACAGCCTGCACCACACACACAGCCTGTACCACACACACAGCCTGTACCACACACACAGCCTGTACCACACACACAGCCTGTACCACACACAGCCTGTACCACACACAGCCTGTACCACACACACACAGCCTGTACCACACACACACAGCCTGTACCACACACACATAGAGTCTGTACCACACACACAGCATGTACCACACACACACAGCATGTACCACCTACAGCCTGTACCACACACACACACAGCCTATACCACACACACACACACAGCCTGTACCACACACAGCCTGTACCACACACACAGCCTGTACCACACACACAGCCTGTACCACACACAGCTGTATCACACACACAGCTGTACCACACACACAGCTGTACCACACACACAGCTGTACCACACACAGCCTGTACCACAGAGACTATGATGCACGGTTGTTGAATAGAGAAGCCCGGCATGTGTTGCAGTGCAAGTGAGGCAGGCCTCTGCCGTGAAGCAATCTCCCCTTGTTAATCAACACACAGTACCGGAATCTTTGCATACAGAATGCTCATAAGCTCACCCCGTCACGTACAGCTCGTAGATTTTTGTTTTTGACCAACGGGTAAAGAAAAATATAGAATAAACAGCTAGCAGCTTTACCTGCAAGATGTCCATGTGCGCGTAACTTGTCATTACAAAAGCAATAAACACACGCTCACTCATACAGACCTGTGGGCGCAACCTTTGCTTGTTCAACCTCGACGTGCCTCGCCTGCTTCAAAGCAGCAGCTGCTGCTGCCTCCGCTGCTGCAACATCGTTTGGCCTCAAACGTAGCAACACACACACACGGTGTATTGTTGTCGCGATAACGAGATTAAGTAGTAGAAGAGAATGAGAGAAAAACAACCTCACTCAACCATCAACACGGCTCTGGCTGCACGAGCGATTCAACACGAGCGGGAGAGATTGAGGGCGACACAATCCCCCGCCCAGCACGGAGAAGAGAGCAGAGCCGCGCCAGAGTGACGCGGGATCATTGGGCCGGGCACTCCCCCTACCCCCACCCTTGATCCCCCCTTGCCCCCCACCCACCCTTGTTCTCCCCCCCCACCCTTGCCCCCCCCCCACCCTTGCCCCCCCTCACCCTTGCCCCCCCTCACCCTTTCTCTCCCCCCCCAACCTTGCTCTCCCCCCACCCTTTCCCCCCCCCACGCTTGCTCTCCCCCCCACCCTTGCTCTTCCCCCCCCCCTTGCTCTCCCCCCCCCACCCTTGCTCCCCCCCACCCTTGCTCTCCCCCCCCCACCCTTGCTCTCCCCCCCCACCCTTGCTCCCCCCCCCACCCTTGCTCTCCACCCCCCCCCCACCCTTGCTCCCCCCCCACCCTTGCTCTCCCCCCCCCCCCACCCTTGGTCTCCCCCCCACCCTTGCGCTCCCCCCACCCTTGCTGTCCCCCTTCTTGCTCCCCCCACCCTTGCTCCCCCCCTTGCTCCCCTTCGTGCTCGCCACCCCCCCCCCCCTTGCTCCCCCCCCTTGCTCCCCCCCTTGCTCCCCCCTTGCTCTCCCCCCCCCTTGCTTTACTCCCCCCCTTGCTCTCTCCATCCCTTGCTCTACCCCCCACCCCCTTGCTCTCTCCCCCCCCCCCTTGTTCTATGCCTCCCCCGCATTGCTCTACCCCCCCCCTTGCTCTACCCCCCCCCTTGCTCTACCCCCCCCCCTTGCTCTACCCCCCCCCTTGCTCTACCCCCCCCCCCCCTTGCTCTACCCCCCCCCTTGCTCTACCCCCCCCTCTTGCTCTATCCCCCCCACCTTGCTCTACCCCCCCCCCCCTTGCTCTACCCCCCCCCCTTGCTCTACCCCCCCCTCTTGCTCTATCCCCCCCACCTTGCTCTATCCCCCCCTTTGGGTCCCCCCCCCTTGCTCTCCTCCCCACCCCACCCCCTTGCTCCACTCGGCTCCTCCTCAATGGTCGCCGCCAATTGGTGGGTGGCTGATGAGGATTTGCAACGCCGCAGCATCCCTCCCTCCCCACGACTATTTAAAGCAACTCACTCACCGTGTCAACCCATACGGTTTATACTTACCCCCCTCCCCTATTATTGTACAAGGGAAATTGAGTTTTCAGGTCCATACGGGGTACAGCCGTTTCAATACGTTAAACAAAAGTGTGTCTATTTGTTTGTGTTTCTCCCTTGTGATGGCACTTTGTAGGAAGAACGTTGAGATTTGTAAGGGCACAGGGTGTTCAATGAGAGTCTGCATTTGGTCTGTCATCAGGTAGGCACTCATCAATTAATAATTATAATTCTGTACTGTATTGACGACGTTGCTGGCTACAGCGGGGGGTAATGAACAGAGTCACACATCATGTAGTACCTTTTGTTGGGGCGAGGTCATCCCGCTAGTAAATAAAGAACGTCGGGGGTCAACGTTGTAACCCTTTCCAAAAGGTGGCGGAGGCATCGTCAAGGGTTCGCAGGTTCAAATCCAACCGCCGTATTAATATATAAAAAAAAGTTTACTTAATAAACAATCATTATATTTAGTTAGTCATGTTTATCAGCATGGTAACATACAATAAAAAAAATTCGTAAAGTATTTAAACTAGTAGTGTTATTGTATAAACAAGTGTTTCAATGCATCAAGGGTATTACGGACAGGTTGAGCAGTTATATAATAGCCCAAACAAGCGGCTCTTGTTTACAACTGACGCTGTAGCTCACCGTGCTCAGGCACCTTTGCCCTGTTATTCGTGGGTCTAATGCCTGTCACGAGAGCCACGAGGGATCAATTACAAATTCATCCAATAGTTAGAGGTGAGAAGGTGTCGCTTGCCATAGCTTGAGTATCTACAAAAGGCCTTTTAGACCCACTCTTGAACGTTTTTAATTTGTAAATTATTTCGAAAAAAAATCAATTCCAACCTTCGCCACAAGGCGGCGGCAGTCAAAGAAGTAGCAGGTTCAAATCCAACCCCCATGATAATATTTATTTTTCACTTTATAAACAATCATTGCATGTACTTAATCATTTGCTGAAATGTTCATCAACGTGGTAATGTGCAATAAAAAATCTAAAAGTATTTAAACTAGTTGTGCTAATTTAAAGTTATTTATACAATAGATGTGCTGTGTATAAAAAAACAGTTTTTTAATGCATCAACGGAACAGGTAGCAAGTTACATAGCCCAGAAGCGCCTCCTGTTTCCAACGACGTCATAGCTCACCGTGCAAAGACCCTTTCGATTGAAATTTGTGATCAATTCCAAATTAATCCAATAGTTAAAGATGAGAAGGTGTCACTGCCATAGGTTAACCGAGTACCGTCAAAGCCTTTAGACCCCCTCTTTTTTTTCTTTTTAATACAATAATTTTGTTACAAATATATTGCAACCTTCGCTACCGTCATCGCTCGTAATACGGCAACTCAATATATGGAATTTCGCAATCACACGCAACTTATACATTAGGAAACGAATTCGATATACCTTACGTTAAAGTCGCATTTCAACATGTTTTTTGTGGACAAAATCCAACAATGCACGGTCCCTCATTCCTCGCGTTCATTCCAGGCACTTCCAATAACCTTTTCAACGTTTCTCAGTAAAAGTAAGTGAACATGTTCCTCGGTGTGCAACTCTCTTATCCCTTTGCACATCCGCAACATCAAATGCACGCTGACTTTCAAGAAACATCTAAAGGCCCTTCCATCTCTTGGGTCAGGCTTTCGAGTAACTCTGAGCTTGACTCCGCACCTCTGAGTTGTTGACTTGTTTGCAAAATCTGCCGCGTTTTAAATGGTTGGTGGGAGGGTTGGTGGGAGTGTGGGAAGGTTGGTGGGAGGGTGGGGGGGGTTGGTGGGGGGGTGGGGGGGGTTGGTGGGAGGGTGGGAACGTTGGTGGGAGGGTGGGAAGGTTGGTGGGAGGGTGGGGGGGTTGGTGGGAGGGTTGGATGGTTGGTGGGAGGGTGGGGAGGTTGGTGGGAGGGTGGGGGGGGTTGGTGGGAGGGAGGGGAGGTTGGTGGGAGGGTGGGGGGGGTTGGTGGGAGGGTGGGGGGGGTTGGTGGGAGGGTGGGAGGGTTGGTGGGAGGGTTGGTGGGAGGGTTGGTGGGATGGTTGGAGGGTTGGTGGGTGGGTTCGAGGGTTGGAGGGTTGGTGGGTAGGAGGGTTGGAAGGTTGGTGGGAGGGTGGGAAGGTTGGTGGGAGGGTGGGGGGGTTGGTGGGAGGGTTGGATGGTTGGTGGGAGGGTGGGGAGGTTGGTGGGAGGGTGGGGGGGGTTGGTGGGAGGGAGGGGAGGTTGGTGGGAGGGTGGGGGGGGTTGGTGGGAGGGTGGGGGGGGTTGGTGGGAGGGTGGGAGGGTTGGTGGGAGGGTTGGTGGGAGGGTTGGTGGGATGGTTGGAGGGTTGGTGGGTGGGTTCGAGGGTTGGAGGGTTGGTGGGTAGGAGGGTTGGAAGGTTGGTGGGAGGGTGGGAAGGTTGGTGGGAGGGTGGGGGGGTTGGTGGGAGGGTTGGATGGTTGGTGGGAGGGTGGGGAGGTTGGTGGGAGGGTGGGGGGGGTTGGTGGGAGGGAGGGGAGGTTGGTGGGAGGGTGGGGAGGTTGGTGGGAGGGTGGGGGGGGTTGGTGGGAGGGTGGGAGGGTTGGTGGGAGGGTTGGTGGGAGGGTTGGTGGGATGGTTGGAGGGTTGGTGGGTGGGTTCGAGGGTTGGAGGGTTGGTGGGTAGGAGGGTTGGAAGGTTGGTGGGAGAGTGGGATAGTTGGTGGGAGGGTGGGGAGGTTGGTGGGAGGGTGGGGGGGTTGGTGGGAGGGTGGGAAGGTTGGTGGGAGGGTGGGGAGGTTGGTGGGAGGGTGGGAGGGTTGGTGGGAGAGTTGGAGGGTTGGTGGGATGGTTGGAGGGTTGGTGGGTTCGAGGGTTGGTGGGTGGGAGGGTTGGAAGGTTGGTGGGTGGGTTGGAGGGTTGGTGGGTGAGTGGGGTGGGAGGGTTGGTGGGAGGGTTGGTGGGAGGGTTGGAGGGTTGGTGGGAGGGTTGGTGGGAGGGTGGGAGTGTTGGTGGGAGGGTTGGTGGGAGGGTGGGAGTGTTGGTGGGAGGGTTGGTGGGAGGGTTGGTGGGAGGATTGGAGGGTTGGTGGGAGGGTTGGTGGGATGGTGGGAGGGTTGGTGGGATGGTGGGAGGGTGGAAGGGTGGGAGTGTTGGTGGGAGTGTTGGTGGGAGGGTTGGTGGGAGGGTGGGAGTGTTGGTGGGAGGGTTGGTGGGAGGATTGGAGGGTTGGTGGGAGGGTGGGGGGGGTTGGTGGGAGGGTTGGTGGGAGGGTTGGTGGGAGGTGGGGGGTAGGAAGGTTGGTGGGAGGGTGGGGGGAAGGTTGGTGGGAGGGTTGGTGGGTGGGAGGGTGAGTTGGTGGGTTGGTTAGTGGGTGGGTGGGGTGGAAGGGTTGGTGAGAGGGTTGGAGGGTTGGTGGGAGGGTGGAAGGGTGGGAGTGTTGGTTGGAGGGTTGGTGGGAGGGTGGGGGGGGGGGGTTGGTGGGAGGGTGGGAAGGTTGGTGGGAGGGGGGGAAGGTTGGTGGGAGGGTTGGTGGGTGGGTTAGTGGGTGGGAGGGTTGGTGGGAGTGTTGGAGGGTTGGTGGGAGGGTGGAAGGGTGGGAGTGTTGGTGGGTGGGAGGGTGGGAGGGAGTGTTGGTGGGTGTGTTGGTGGGAGTGTTGGTGGGAGTGGTCTTACGGCCACTCAATCACCAATCCCATCGCCAATGGCCGGCTGCCTTGCACACGCGTGACCCCTCGCCCCGCTGCAGCCAATGGCACTGGGCGTCTCGGGCACCTGTACACTGACTGGGTTGGCCTCGCGGCGGCGGCGGCAAGTAGGGTGCGAGCGAGCCAAGGGAGCACACGCAAACAACACCGACACCACACGCACAGTGAACACCACGCACGCGACAACACGACGCGAAATCCCAGCGGCGCGCGGTTTTTGTTGTCGTTGCGGCGGTGGTGGTTACAAAGCAGCCGTCAGCATTCGAAGCGTGGGTTGAGAGAGTGGGGGGGTGGTGGTGGTGGTGGGAGAACGGGCGCCGTCGTTGAAACTGTTTCGAACGATCACAGGATAACAAGAAGAAGAAGAAGCAGCAGAAAACAAAATGTCGTACAATTACGTGGTGACGGCGCACAAGCCGACGGCTGTGAACGCGTGCGTCACGGGTAAGCGGGAAGGCGACCAGCACCACCAGCACCTCCATCATCATCCTCCTCCTGTGCGAGGCCGCAATGGGGCCCCGTTTCGACACGTGGGGGGCTGTGGGGGGGGGGGTGCTTCGTGGCGTGCGTGGGTCGAGGTGGTTAGCGACTCGTGCAATGTTCATTCATAGAGTGGCGATGTTATCGACTGCCTCCGTCTCCCATCAAGAGCCCCACTGTCGCTGTGTAAAAACCCCGCCTCGGTCAGGCCGTCCGAAGCCTCTGGCGGGCTCCTATGGCCGACGCGAGGTGGCGGCGGCGGCAGCGGCGGGGAGGAGGAGGAGGGCTCCTTCCTCTCTGAGACGTCCATCCCCCTCGTGGCATTCATCATCATCATCACCACCTCGTGTGCGTTCCAACGTTCACAAGTGCCGTAGTGTATTGCTCTACAAACAAAACAAACTCAACATTAGTCAATTTACATTGCAGCCAGCCCACCCCCCCCCCCCCCCGTACAGTTTTATCGACCATTGCAACTAAATTGTGAGCCAGACATCTCGATTGTAGCCTCCAATGCACGGCGTTTACGATTGCAAAACATCACGGTCACACTTTGCTCCCAGCAAAGTGTCTGGATTGAGGATAATGTCCACGGCACGCGTGTGCTTTGGCCCCTCGGAATGATTTTCAATCGTATCTTGACCGCTAGGATTGGTGCTGTGCGCCGTCTTATTAATCCTGATTGTCTCCTAAATTGAACTGTATTGTTATTGCTGTGGGAGGTTATTAGCCAGCAGCTTTAGGAAGTGTCCCGTGTATGCGGTGGCTAAATTGGCTGTGTAAATTTGGGGTTTAATGGAGACACCAAATGGAGAACAACACGCAGATATGTTATCCTCCATGAGACCCCAATGGCATTCATAACCTTGCAGTGAGTGGTGAGGCCCTGCGTAGTCCTAGCATGCATATCCAAAGACAGATGGGCATTCCGTGGGTTCCAATGGGACTATTTACCATTGTTGTGGGGCGCTGGGGTAAGCGCGGCATTACTCAATCGCAGATTAGTAACCATTAGGCCAATAGCATTCCACAAACCGTACAGGACTTAAGTAAAACACAAGACACCGCACTATTGTATCCTTTATTTAACCGGGAGATTAAATCGACACGGTATATTGTGCATCGTTCACAAGGGCGACCGAGGTAAATTCACAATATTAACATCTCTCTGGCTCATTGTTCCAAAAAAAAAAACATCGGTTCGCATTGAACCACGTAATTCAATCTAAAAACATGCTTTTTGAATCGTGCACTTTTTCCCTGATCTTCGCTGTTGGGAATTACTTTCTTCTGCGGATCTCTGCCAAAGCAGGGTTCCCGATTAAGAGGTACCCGGACATAACGTGGGTTGTTATTTGTAACTGATGCCACGGTGTGCAGGTCACTTCACGTCCGCAGAGGACCTGAACCTCCTCATTGCCAAGAACACCCGGTTAGAGATCTACGTGGTGACGCCAGAGGGCCTGCGGGCCGTCAAGGAGGTCGGCATGTACGGGAAGATTTCCGTCATGGAGCTCTTCCGGCCACAAGTGAGAAATCCTTGATGCATCGTAGATGCAAACGTTGGGTTGGACATCTGGGTTATGAGGGTCAATCGCTATGCCAACGAATGTGTTCTGATACAGTGCCGTATCATATCCATTATAGTTGCATGGAGGAGCTGCGGTAGAGTTGTAAATAAGATGAAACAGATATGTTCTTGTGGTGAAAAATTGCGATTAAAGTTTTAATGAAAGATGTTCAAACTACGGTATAGGGATTTATGGAAGATTTTTTTCATGATTTGCATGGGGACACCTGAATTCGTGCATTGCCAGAAAGTGTATCAAGTCAATCAAGAACTGTAAAAACTGACATTACTCATAAGCATGGTTCTTTCAATGCGCTGAACCAGATATGTGCAATGATATTATCTTAATGTTTGCGTCACAATGACGCAAGCGTGTTGCTCACTCTTGGGATGTACCTGAAGAAGTGACAGTGCTGTGGGTATAATGTTTCTTTTAGGTGCATGTCTACTGTCCACATGTAAAAAAACAAACTGATGCATACTTATGATGCATTACTCGTGAAGCTACATTTCGGAATTATTGCTGTAGGCTTTTCTTTTTTGAGGTGTACAAACCACTTTCCCCTTATTTTGCATCAACCTCAAATCATGAGGGTAAAGTGTAATCGCACTAATGTATCATGGTCACCCTGTAAAATGTGAAAACTTCGAACTTGGGGAATGTTCACCCACACGTTCCTTTTGAGTGTAATTTTATTTTACAGTAATAAAAAATTATTTTATTCATATTGCACCCATAATGTACTGAAACGTTTCAGGCCTCAATGTTCTAGCCTAGAGGACTGCCGAATGGTGGCTTGTGCAACACAAGGTGAACACAGCACTGGCCTGCATTTGTTTTCCAGTAGGGGGCGATGTTGCTATTGGTTATGAAGGAATTTTACATCACGATGAAGCATGTTGTGTGGTCTCCAGGGAGAAAAAAAAGACCTTCTCTTCATCTTGACTGCCAAGTACAACGCATGCATCCTGGAGTACAAACAGGATGGGGATAATGTGGATATCATCACGAGGGCACATGGTAACGTGCAGGTAATAGCACCGCTCCATTACATAAATGCTTGGGAAATCACCATGGAACAGACAGGTTCAGATAAACCACAATGTTACCAATATATACTTTTAAACACTTGTGGATATACAGACATCTACGTAAGTTTATGTATGCAATAGTCAAAGCTTTCAAAATGGCTTATTTTTACGGTGAAGTATGATGCCAATTCGGAATCTACGAATTACAATGACGTTTTATACAAGTGCGTAATGGGAATGATATTGACAATTTCGATGGTGAAGATTTGCGTTGGCATCATTTACATTGACAAGAATGATGATGGTAATCCGATGTGGAGGCAAAGATGGTGTTAATGGTAATGTTTGTCTCTGCAGGACCGTATTGGACGTCCATCAGAAACGGGCATCATTGGCATTGTAGACCCCGAGAGCCGCATGATTGGTCTGCGCCTCTATGATGGCCTATTCAAGGTCATCCCGCTTGACCGGGACAACAAGGAGCTGAAGGCCTTTAACATTCGCTTGGAGGAGCTCATGGTCATCGATGTCAAGTTCCTGTTTGGCTGTGCCGTGCCAACCATTTGCTTCGTATACCAGGCACGTAGGGCAGCAGGGATCACCTCTTAGCTCTGATCTACCAACTTTTTATTTATTTTGTGTGAGCTGGCTAGGTCGTTCAGAGGCTGCAAGCTGCCTGTGATTAACTAAATTATCATGTGATGTGAGTTAATGGGCTCAGCCCGGTCACAAATGAACACGATTCTGTGCTTAATTTAACTTAATTCCAGCTCTGAGAATGAAATATAAGTTTTTATTCATTTTAACTGTCATGCAATAAACATTACTGCTGGTGGCCAAGTGGTAGGGGAAGTTTTCCTCATAATTTGAATCGCACAACAGTCAGATATCATGCTGATGTCTCTGGAAACTCAAAAGAATACCTCGGCAACTGCACAAAATCGGATAATCTTAAAATTTTTAAATTGGATTTGTGTTTGGACACATTCACAGAGTTTTTACTAGGTTTAATAAAGTAAAATATGATTCTTTCATTGGGCGGTCTGGGAGGAACAGTCATATAGGATTAGAGAATAATACATTTATAATGAAACTATGTTAAAGCATATGGTTATGATTGTTCCATTTTTCCCAAGTGTCTCTTTAGGGTAGAGCCATGTTATAGGCTACCACAAAAATGCTGCAAGGTAAAATGGCTTTCATATAAGAGTGAGCAGGCATTGCCTGTGCCAGACCCTATCCCAGTGGGGTGGGGGGGGAGAGGGGATAGGTGAACAACGCTCAACAAAATCCTTAATTCCTTAAAGTAAATGCACTTTAACATCACACCCGTGAGTTGGTATGATCCAACAACTTGGTCATGTTATCGCCAGATCATGGAGCCGACTCCCAGTTTTATTAATAAAATTCCAAGTATTGTGGTGCTGATGGTGATGGTGATTAGGCATGCTTATGATATTTTCTTGTTGATGGTAGTGAGTGTCGTGTTTTTAGTGATGATCATTATTGTGGTGGTTGTGGTGGTGTCATGATAAAGGACCCCCAAGGTCGGCATGTGAAGACCTATGAGGTGTCTCTTCGAGATAAGGAGTTTAATAAGGGGCCTTGGAAACAGGACAATGTGGATGCCGAAGCTGGAATCGTCATTGCAGGTGAGCTTTGAGTTCCCTGCATCGCATTTATGAGCATGAACAAAAGTGACATCCGATGCAACATGACACCATTTTCATTATGAATGGTTGGAACTGGGATATAAACCCCCAGTACCTCATCATCATTGGCTCATTACGGCGTCACAGCCATTACGAGCTCATGACAGCCGTCTTTTTTTTGGTTTTTAATTTCTGACATGTACAGCAATATTCTGCACTGATGTTAATTTCTTATTAAGTATACATTAACTGGGGTGAAACATACTTCTAGGCACATTCGTCACATTTTTTTGTTATGCAACTAATCAAGAGTGTGTTGTGTGTGACAGTGCCCCAGCCAATGGGAGGAGCTCTTATTATTGGACAGGAAGCTATCACATACCACAATGGTGACCAGTATCTACCCATTGCTCCTCCTGCCATCAAGGTAAATGTGAATTGTTATAATAAGCTTATCTTAGTCTCAAGACTTCCTCAGGAGGGTCCTGCATTGGGATGTTTGACGAATTGCCATTAATTAGTTTGTGGAATTTTGGAGGAAACCAGGAATATTGGGAGAAAAAACCCACGTGTATGAGGAGGTGACACTCAGCACTGCCATCCCTTGACCACCTCAACCATATGCCTACAACATCTGAAAAGCCTGGTTTGAGACTCTTAAGATGTTGAAAGACCCGATTTTACAAATGCATCCAAACATTCAGAGGCTAAAGGCCTTCTTCCAACCTGACGATGTTTAGCCTTCATACGAGCCTGAAAGCAACGGAGCCCATGGCACATTTTGGATAAACGGCGCTGCTGCAAGCACCGTACAGCAAAATGGTTACACAACCCCCTTGATGAATTGATTTTGGTTTACCGTGATGGACTGCTGGCGCTAGTTCCAACCTGGGTTTCTGGCAGGCTGTTTGGTGGAGATTGAAAGTTTATATGTCATGTGTCTTGAGTTTTCATCTTTTAGTCTGGGCTCTATAAACCATAATCTCTCAAAAATCCATCTACCTTCGATGGAATGTTAGTGGGGCTTCATTGTCTGAAATCTCCTGACATGGATGGTGATGTGATAATATTACCACGTTTTTGCCCCTAATTTCAGAAAAACGAGGAAAATAAAAAATAAATCACTATCACGCTCCTGATAATCTGCTGAATTACTCACCCATGGTGTAATTCTGGATTTCTGCTTATGTGTTATCCTGAGAAGCAATTATGCTTTACCATCTCCACACCAATTTTCTCACCATTGCCTTGTCTGGTTCACTCCACCACCAGCAAAGCACCATCGTGTGCCAGAATCGCGTGGACGCCAACGGCTCCCGCTACCTCTTGGGCGACATGGAGGGGCGGCTGTTCATGCTGCTGCTGGAGAGGGATGAGCTCATGGACGGCACGGCCACCGTGCGGGATCTGCGAGTTGAGATGCTCGGGGAGGTGAGCCGGAGACCTCATGTGAAAGCTTTGTACTACTGGTTTTAAGAATCCTGGAGCCCGATTAGGGTCAAAGGAGAGCATTGCCTTAACAAGATATGTTGCTATGAGCAAAATTATCGTGTTGCTTTTATTTTACCTGCATACCAGTTCCTCCATACTACACTCTACCTCTCAAAAAATCTCTGACCCATGTATTGTAAGCTGGGTAATTGTTAGGTAAAGGCTATGTTTAAAAAATATTGTAAATTAATGTTCATGTAAGGAATGGTTACATATAAAACACAGTGTTCATCCATTGGCATCCCTGAGGTCGTTGTGAAAATTCCACGTTGTTATGGCAGGGCCCAGTCTTTCCACAGAACAATCATTAATTGTTCACACCCTATGAAGTAGGATGAGTAGATGGGTTTATCCTTGACAGGGTTTTGAACTCTCAACTCTGAAAAACTACAGAAGAGAATGTGACAAATAAAATACCACAAAAAACATAAGTATAGTTGATGGTTACAATTGTGTTAAAGTTGGCGTCATTGCGTCTTCTCCCTCAACAGACATCTATTGCCGAATGTCTGACTTACTTGGACAATGGTGTGGTCTACATCGGTTCAAGACTCGGAGACTCCCAACTGGTTAAGGTAATTGATAAATATTCACATAAGAATGGAGAATGATAGTAGTTTGAGTGCTTGAAAGAGTGATGTGATGGTAATGCTTATGCAACATGATAATGTAATTGTATGGATGTCCTAATCTTAAATGTAGCTCTAGCTATGTCGTTTATTTGTGACCATTGCCCTAATTTTTCATAGCCCCCGATCCATTGCATAACTAATCCTGACTACAACCATAACTTGAGCCACACATTTAACTCTTCAGAAAATGAATAAAGATATATTAAAGTAAACATGTTATGTTTAGCAATGGGCATTGTGCATCTTAGGGATGAGTTTTAGATTTAAACATTTCAGAGTTATTTTATATATATAAAAACCAGAACTCTGATGTCATGCTAACTCCGTAACGCTATCATTAATAATCATGAGTGGGTGACGTCACTCCACATAATAATGAGCGGGTGACGTCACTCCACATGGAGGACTCCCCCCCCCCCCCCCTCATTAATAATCATGAGCGGAACATATTTTGTTCGTTTGAATTTTTCAGATTTACTGCAATACACCCATCCTTGGACGGGCTTTTTAGGCTATTTCAGATTTACTGTAATACACCCGTCATCGGGACGGGCTATAGGCTGGTTATATAATAATGTGTCTTCCCACTAACTAAAGTGACATGACCTGATGCCACGTGACACTGCTTTAGCGGGAAAATCACGGAAGTTAACGATTATGCGACATAGTTTTCTGTGACGTCATACTTTCAGATCAATCTGAAACAAATCTTTTTGGGATCATACAAAATTTCGAATCTGAAAATCGGGAACACATCCCAAGTGATCTACCTTGAAAGTATCGAGCAGCCATTGGTGTGACTTGAATATTTTGCACAGCAACAACTTTTGACATGCCAAAATGTGGTGCGAACATTTTACTGAAATAATTCTGCAAAATCTAGAGGGATGACACGTTCAGCTGACCCTAATTTGGATTTGAACTTGTAGGGTTTGTTGGAGGAGAAAACCACTTCTCCAATGATTTTCATACGATTGAATGTGAGTATTATGAGCATAGGAATCAATTTAAATCAACGAATGAATGCCTAGTTACATGTTTACTGTATTGTGTCTGGCTACTGTGTGTTTTAGTTGAATGTTGACAGCAATGAGCAGGGCTCATACGTCACAACCATGGAGACCTTCACCAACCTGGGCCCCATTGTGGACATGTGCGTTGTGGACCTGGAGCGGCAGGGGCAGGGCCAGGTGAGTGCTCGTGTTCTTGCATATGGCATGCACATGTTGCAGCCCCTTTGTCAATACTTTTGCCCACTATATAGACCGCACAACCCCATTGACAAACGTGTACATGATGATCACCATCATGCTGTATTTTCTGTCGATTTCGACTAGATGTTTTGGTCAAAACACCTTCAATAATGTTATTAAGCAGTTCACAGCAAAGAGCACATTTCGTACTGCATCTCTAAACACTACCTAGTAGGGGCCACATTCCAGAGGAATGTGGTATATCTCCACATGCCAGAGGAATGTGGTATATCTCCACATGTCTGTGCATGTCGATGTGAATCAATGTGCATTTGCACATGGATCTTTTTTTCTGGCGCCACGGTGCCGAGGTGTTAACTACCTCACCTGGTATACGGGAGGTTGTGGGTTCGATCCCAACCTGCTGTCTATTTGGAGCTTGCATGTTCTGCTCGTGGTTTTGTGGATTTTGCTCTGGATCCTCCGGATTTCCCTCTCCATTTAGAACATGTGTTTAGAGTATTTGGTTGCTAAAAATGTCCACCTGATAAGCTACTTCTTTAAGCTATCATTTGTGGCGAGGTCACTTCTTACCTGGTAAAATATGTGCGTGATCGTGTGTGTTGTGCCTGTGTGGGTTTCGTGTGTGCGGAGCAGTTGGTGACATGCTCAGGTGCATTCAAGGAGGGCTCATTGCGAATAATCCGCAATGGCATTGGAATTCACGAGCACGCCAGCATTGACCTGCCGGGCATTAAGGGTACCGATCCACACCCACACACTCATACATGGCATGATCACACGCCACTTAACCAGACACGCATCTTGGCACACTTGTTCCAATTCAGGATGCTGCTCCACTCGATAGAGCATCTGTGATGTCAATGGTAATGTTCATATTCCGATCAGAATGAGCTATTGTCGTTGGTGCCAATGTCATCATCTCATTGGTGAATGAGCGACCTCCTATTCAGGGTTATCCGATTAGCACGGTTGGCTATGTACGGTGCAAAAGAAGATCAGCATACATACAGAGAGTAATAACAAGATCAGATCTGAAAAGTAAATGACGATGTCCTTTTATTTTCTCTCTCCATCTCTAATCTTTGGCCGTGGCAGGCTTGTGGCCTCTCCGCTCGGACCCCACACGTGACTTGGATGACATGCTTGTTCTCTCCTTTGTCGGCCAGACACGGTATGACAATTCTTTTAAGCAATGAAAGTCATTGTTTTATTGTCGCTTTATTTAGTTACCTTGATCCTCGTCCCATGATGTGAGTGCATTGAAACCTCATGAAGTGGCGAAAGCTCAATCAAGGATTACAGAAGACTCAAATTGCGCGTTGTAAAAGCTTAAATACTTATTTAATAATGTCATGACTTGATGCAGATGTCACACGTGGAACAGAATCGGAAAGAAAAAGGTTAAAAAATGATCGCAAAAAACAACCAATTGGAGATATGCGTCGTGTTTGACATAAGTTAGTGTGGAATGTGTAGTTTAATTTAATGGAAGCTGGTGCGAACACCGAGCCAAAAACAGCTTTGATGCAAGTAAAAGAACTCTGCTTGGAAACGTGTGTTTTGACGTGTTTGCAGAGTGCTCATGTTGAATGGTGAAGAGGTGGAGGAGACTGAGTTGCCCGGTTTCTGTGATGAGCAGCAGACCTTCTACTGCGGCAACGTGGCCAATGAACAGCTCATCCAGGTTTGAGGTTCCCCCACACACTCATTACCGACTCTTCTACACTTACATTACCCACACAATTGCAAACATTTTTCCCAAATTAAAAAAATACCTTTCCATACATTTCCTCACGCTTAACCGCTTTCGAATTTTGCATTTATTCCTGGAGGATTTGAAAGGGAACTTGAGAAAATGTATTTGAATGCTTGAACAGTATGAAACACTTCTGTTCAATTCCATACCAGCTACACACCCCACACACCATCCACGCACTCACATAAAACTACCAACCGATCCCACATTCCATACATTACATCTACCAACACACTTTCTGATGTCATCATAGGATTTGAACTGGTGCACTTTACATTTGTTCAATTTTGAAGTGAATCTTGTTCCAGCATTTTGCACATTGTACATGTGTGCTGCTTGCTTTGGCTGTTACTGTTGTTCTTCTTTACCAGGGCCACCGCCCCTTCAAGCGGTGTACCATGCCCAAGCCCGCTTGCATTTCTTAACGATCAATCTGATTGATGTCTTACTACTGATGTAATGTATTCTGCGGAGGTGGAGTGATTATATCAGCACATATGCAGGTGCTAGATGGATCGTTGCATGGCATTTACCTATGTGAGATATCGACATCTTGGTGAGACCTTCAACCATGAATAGATCATGACTGATGACATGTGCATGCTTGCTCTCTCCCCCCCCCCCTTACTGTGCTAGATAACCTGTGGATCCGTGAGACTGGTGGACCACAAGTCAAAGGCGCTGGTGAGCGAGTGGAAGGAGCCCAGTGGCAAGAACATCAGTGTGGCCTCCTGCAACGCGGCGCAGGTGGTGTGCGCCGTGGGCCGTATGCTCTTTTACCTGGACATCTCGGCAGGGCAACTCAAGCAAGTCAGGTGATCACAAACCTTGGAACGGCAGTGGCCCTGCTCCCCTTTTCTCACTTCGCTTTTCACCCTGGCCCCTGACCGGCCCCGCTGGACCAGGCGCCGGCAAACCTGCGGCTCCGGAGCCGCATGCGGCTCTTTAAAGACTCCTCCGTGACGTCGTTTATTCAGGTCCGCCGTCTCGTATTCACGTGCATTGCGGCTCTTGAAATGTTGAGGTTTTTTTTTTTTTAAACCGAATTCGAAAAAAAAATGCCTCCCTTTGTTATTTTGGTTGCCGACTCCCTGCACAGGACGCTCCGGGTGCTAACTGCTAATGCCATGTCAGGTCATTAAAGCCCACGTGAAGTATTTCACAATGTGATGACGTTGGCACCTTGGCGTCGTACTTCTATTTAGCCACTTAGCCTATGACCGAATAACCCACAATGTGCCCAATCTCATTATTTCTTGGACGATAAGCACAGCTGAGCCTTGATGGTGCTTGGATGATGCAGGCATCTATATGAGATCACACCATGAGCATGGAGACCCTTTTTCCAAGTGGATTACCTTTGAGACAACGTTATTTATGTACGAGGATAACAAAAGGGAACACACTAGCGAGCTTGAGGTAACTTCCTTAGAAATAATGGAGAGGTTTGATAGATTGTTTCAAAATTTGATGGAGTATTTTCTTCCCTCGCCACAGTTCCACCGAGATGGAGCATGAGGTGGCATGCCTCGACATCTCGCCGCTGGGCGATGGGGCCGGCAACTCGACCCTGTGTGCCGTGGGCCTGTGGACGGATATCTCTGCGCGCATCCTGCGTCTGCCCTCGTTCGACACACTGCACAAGGAGATGCTGGGTGGAGGTGGGGCACGGTTTGATCCTCGTTCGTTGTTGGACGCATTCTTGAGTGTACACCAGACTATCCCTGAAAGGCGGTGGGTGTCGGACATGCAACCCGCGGGTTGCGTAGCAGCTTTGGTACGGCAATACAGTGACTTGATTTTCGGGATGCTCCCATGCTGTCAGTGCACTTGCAATCTAGAGGTCGCCGCTTTGAACTCTTTCGGTCCTGCAGTTGAAGCAATGGGCAAGTTTCATAAATACCTCCCACCTCTGTCCACCCAGCAGTATAGATAAGCACACCACCGCCAATTACAGATCGTGTGTTGGTTAAATTGCAGGTACCTCTTGCAAGGCGGCAGGCCAGCGTTAGAACAGTAGGCCATATATCTTCTAGAGGGGGCTCTCTAGGGCTGCCCCTAGTGGAGGCACTTCCGCCAGCAGTGGTGTAAATAAGAAATTGCAGAGCTGCACCTTCACTGTTTAAAGTGACCTCTGTAGATTGTTGTTATAATGTTGTGACCCCCCCCATCAGATTCCTCCAGTATACATACATATTCTGATTCTGAACATGGACAGTTGTCTGGACTGTGCCATGTTTTGTTTACACGACCATCTACCTTGAATTACTGTATTGCACAATTGTTGATAATTATAAACGTGCCATTATCATTCTTTAATCTGTGCCACAGTTTTGTTATATAATTGGCTGCAGTCCCCTGTGGTTCACATTGCTTTTACACTGCTGCCTCTTAAGGTCAACAGAATATAGTGGTGCTCTGGCCCCAAGATACGCAATGTTTTCTAAATGATGCGCACTTGCTATATGGGTTTTCCCGTCATGATTAATTAACTTCCAAAGCAGGCAGTTTCATCCTTGTGTCATGAGTTGCGTCAGTGTGATGTGGGTGACTGATTTTTGTGAGGTTTGCTTTGCCATTCAATTCACTGTGTTGTGCTGTCCCATCAGAGATAATCCCACGCTCGATCCTGATGACAACGTTCGAGGGAGCCCATTACCTGTTGTGTGCACTTGGAGACGGAGCCCTCTTCTACTTCAATCTCAGTGTGGACAGCGGTGAGTGAAGGTCGACGGTTCTGGATCAGTTAGATTAATGTGGGTCTTTAACTCGCTATCTTTCCTCCCCCTTAATGTCCTTTATTCACTGGAATTCCTATGATGCTCTTCTATTCCTTTGCCCCCTTCCCTACCTACTCATTTGTTAGCACTCTGCAAACGTCTTTGCCCTTCTTTGCCACCCTTTGCTATTTATCGACCAGGTTGCCAGGCTCACAGCAAACCTCTGTGGCACGTATGTATGTTGAACTTCTTTTGCACAGTATGTAGCCAACCACGTCCCTTGCCTTTACTCCTGCTGACTTGTTCCCACTTGACCTTTGACCCCTGCCCCTCCATCCCCCCCCTGTCGTGTAGGCTACCTGAGCGACAAGAAGAAGGTGACACTGGGCACACAGCCGACAGTGCTGCGCACGTTTAAGTCTCTTTCCACAACCAACGTGTTTGCCTGCTCGGACCGCCCCACCGTCATCTACAGTAGCAACCACAAGCTGGTCTTCTCCAACGTGAACCTAAAGGAGGTCAACTACATGTGCCCCCTCAACTCACAAGGCTACCCTGACAGGTACCTCCTTACCAGCTGGAGTTTTCCCGTTTTAATTATTTACTAATCACAAACCACTGAGCAAGTTAGAATTGTTTGGTGACGCTGCCTTGGCAGGGGTGTACAAGCACAAAAACAAACAAAAAAACTCAACTCGTTCATCAATAACACTGCCTTCAAATAATAAGTGTATAATAGTTGATGTTTTGTGCAATGGCCTTTTAACACAATGCATAGAGAGGCCAGAAAGGTAAAGACCCTACCTCTCTGGTAACTACTTTACCTGTGACAAAATGTGTTATTGACAATGTGTTGAGTTTTATTTTTAACAAGTTTCCCGGTCAATTCATTAATTTGGGAAATTAATTTTGTTAAGTCGATTGCTTACGTTTCATAAGGTATTAAGCAATATATACAGCTTATTTTCTGGTCGCTTTCTTGGAATTGCACATCAGAAAAATATCCTTAGCTGTGCTCATATTTTTCACCTGGAATGTTTTGTACACCTGCTCCAGATTTAAGTACGCACACTTAAAAACAAACCTTGTATAGCATGTAAACGAACAGTTGGACTTGATACAAATGCCATCTTCACACGGGGAGGGGCGAGAGGGGGAAGTATTTCTTTCTCGGACATTTTGTTGGATCAAAGGTAGCGCTGTGTGTGCGTGTGTGTTTAACACTTGTGATATGTGGTTGTCTCACGTACAGCTTGGCGCTGGCGAACAACAGCACTCTTACCATTGGCACCATCGATGAGATTCAGAAACTGCACATCCGAACAGTGCCACTCAACGAATCTCCCAAGTGAGTCCGTAACCACAGGCTATTAACTCTTGTAACTTGAAAGCTGTACGCTTTAGAGACACCACTGAGTCTACAAACACACCTCCGTCAATGGGATTGCGCGCACGCATCCATTGTCTGTGCTTGCACCGATGGGTCTCTGTCGAAACTGAAAACTGTGCACCTTTGTCTTCTGTTCGAACACAGGCGCATTTGCTATCAGGAGTCATCGCAATGCTTTGGTATTCTCAGCAGCCGCGTGGAGTTACTCGACCAAAACGGGGGCACCAGCCTCGTGCGACCGAGTGCCAGCACGCAGGTGAGGGCCTCTCCTAGCTCCCTTCCCCAATGTCTGGAAAGCGCAGCTACAAGCTGGGCATGCATACAAGATGAAGAGGTCATCAAGGCCAATTCCTGATGGTATTGCATCTCTGGTTAGCACGGTTGGCTACGTATGGTGCGAAAGAAGTTCAACATACATATAAATACATAAATGCTTCTTTCTCCCGCCCGCATTCAACATTGCAGACCATGCAAGGTTCCTTGGAAACATTTTAGAACAAAGAAAACTATTGAAATGTCTAAGATTTAGTTTAGCTTTTCATTGCAATTTAATTTTTAGATTTTTTTTCCATTACTTGTACCTTTTTTTTCTTACAATTTAAATTATTTTTCTATCAGTCCTGACTGTCTGTCAACAGAGACCGTGTTTAAGTATGTCGAACAAGCTAGGATAAATCAGCGGTGAATTGTAACGGTAATGTATACGATCTTCCCCAGGCGCTCTCCAACAGCGTAAGCAACAGCAAGCTGTTCTCGAGCAACAGCGCGCAGCACGAGAGTTCGTACGGCGAAGAGACAGAGGTGCACAGCCTGCTAGTCATCGACCAACACACCTTTGAAGGTACCCTGAAGTTTACCTCTCGGTCCATCCTCATCTCCTTTCTCTGCCCCACTTATACATTGAAACCCCTCTTGTTGTTTGCATTGGTGCGCCATGAGCGTATCCTTATCATTTGAAACCCCTCTGAGAAAATAGCTCTTCATATTTGCCAAATTAAGTTGGGATTAATCTTAATGGGATACATTTTCCACTTGGCTCCTTTTTGTTTTTAAAAACACAATCGGTTAAGTCATGAATGTAGTCATGAACGTGAGTATAAATGAGTGAGTATAATCGTAGAGTTTTTTTTTTACTTGGGTACAGTAACAAATTAGAACCATAAGTCAGATCGAAATCAACATTTTGAGAAAGAATCATAAAATGTCATGCTGTCGGATGTACTCGGACTCACTTTTTCATCCATGCTAGGATGGTGGTGGTGCATTCAATTTTGTGAATGCATTAGACCATTGACTAACTTCGTAAACATACCATATTTTCAAAAACAATAGGTAAATGCCCTCAAAATTACACCCTGCTATATTTTGATATTGACCTTGCTTGAGTTTTGGTACTGCCTACCCGTAATGCATTTGCCCTTGGCGCTTGCGCAGTGCTGCATGCGCACCAGTTCCTCCCGAGCGAGTACGCTCTGAGCATCGTGTCGTGCCGTCTGGGGAAGGACCCCACGACGTACTTCGTGGTGGGCACAGCCATGGTGTACCCCGAGGAGGCGGAACCCAAGCAAGGCCGTATTGCCATATTCCACTACACGGACGGTGAGCGAGCGAGCGAGCGGTCGTCCGAGCGAGCGCTCCCGGCCACCCCTTGTCGGCTGTGCACAAGTGTGAAGATGTTAACAGTGTTTTCACCTTGAAAATGTTTCCACATGCCCAAAATGGTCTTGAGTTGCCCTGCAATGGTCTTGAGCAAGCTTTGAGCCGGCACCGTTGAAATTAGTTTTTTTTAAACGAGTGCCCGGAACAGAGCACGAGTGGCAAGGGGGGGTGGGTACAGACGTTCCGCGGGCAACAAGCCTGATGCCAGGTGCTCATGAGGCAGGAGAAAGGGAAGCGGTGGCTGTGGGGACTGCCCTACTCACATAGGGGCAGCGATTGGGAATATCGGGTCATTCATTTTAGGATCCCACCACGTCCAGATTAATCTATTTCTAAGGTGCATTTATAGCATCTGTCCAGTCGGCAATTGCTGCAAAATGTTAAAATAATTTTCAAAGGTACGAGTTGCCTTGTGACCATATGTTGTACAATGCTGGCATGCGTGACGCATGTACAGTGAAGGAAAAAAGTATTTGATCCCCTGCTGATTTTGTACGTTTGCCCACTGACAAAGAAATGATCAGTCTATAATTTTAATGGTAGGTTTATTTAAAGAGTGAGAGACAGAATAACAAATAAATCCAGAAAAACGCATGTCAAAAATGTTATAAATTGATTTGCATTTTAATGAGGGAAATAAGTATTTGACCCCCTCTCAATCAGAAAGATTTCTGGCTCCCAGGTGTCTTTTATACAGGTAACGAGCTGAGATTAGGAGCACACTCTTAAAGGGAGTGCTCCTAATCTCAGCTTGTTACCTGTATAAAGACACCTGTCCACAAGCAATCAGTCAATCAGATTCCAAACGCTCCACCATGGCCAAGACCAAAGAGCTCTCCAAGGATGTCAGGGACAAGATTGTAGACCTACACAAGGCTGGAATGGGCTACAAGACCATTGGCAAGCAGCTTGGTGTGAAGGTGACAACAGTTGGTGCGATTTTTCGCAAATGGAATAAACACGAAAGAACTCTCTCAGTCTCCCTCGGCCTGGGGCTCCATGCAAGATCTCACCTCGTGGAGTTGCAATGATCATGAGAACAGTGAGGAATCAGCCCAGAACTACACGGGGGGGATCTTGTCAATGATCTCAAGGCAGCTGGGACCAAAGTCACTAAGAAAACAATTGGTAACACACTACGCCGTGAAGGACTGAAATCCTGCAGTACCCGCAAGGTCCCCCTGCTCAAGAAAGCACATATACATGCCCGTCTGACGTTTGTCAATTATCATCTGAATGATTCAGAGGACAACTGGGTGAAAGTGTTGTGGTCAGATGAGATCAAAATGTAGCTCTTTGGCATCAACTCAACTCGCCGTGTTTGGAGGAGGAGGAATGCTGCCTATGACCCCAAGAACACCATCCCCACCGTCAAACATGGAGGTGGAAACATTATGCTTTGGGGGTGTTTTTCTGCTAAGGGGACAGGACAACTTCACCGCATCAAAGGGACCATGGACGGGGCCATGTACCGTCAAATCTTGGGTGAGAACCTCCTTCCCTCAGCCAGGGCATTGAAAATGAGTCGTGGATGGGTATTCCAGCGTGACAGTGACCCAAAACACACGGCCAAGGCAACAAAGGAGTGGCTCAAGAAGAAGCACATTAAGGTCCTGGAGTGGCCTAGCCAGTCTCCAGACCTTAATCCCATAGAAAATCTGTGGAGGGAGCTGAAGGTTCGAGTTGCCAAACGTCAGCCTCCAAACCTTAATGACTTGGAGAAGGTCTGCAAAGAGGAGTGGGACAAAATCCCTCCTGAGATGTGTGCAAACCTGGTGGCCAACTACAAGAAACGTCTGACCTCTGTGATTGCCAACAAGGGTTTTGCCACCAAGTACTAAGTCATGTTTTGCAGAGGGGTCAAATACTTATTTCCCTCATTAAAATGCAAATCAATGCATAACATTTTTGACATGTTTTTCCGGTTTGTTTTGTTATTCTGTCTCTCACTGTTCAAATAAACCTACCATTAAAATTGTAGACTGGTCATTTCTTTATCAGTGGGCAAACGTACAAAATCAGCAGGGGATCAAATAATTTTTTCCTTCACTGTATGTGTTTCAAATATGTATCGTGTTTATTTACATTTTGTGTGGTGTGCGATTTGATTGGTCGAATCGTGCGTTTTCAAGTGCCGTACGTGTTCACATGTTGCGAGGTGTAATTTGATTTTCTTTGTTGTGTCGATATGTTGCGTGCCGTTTTCTTCTCATGTTGTGTGGCATGTGTTTCTCCTGTGTCGCGTGCTGTGCTCTTTCTTGTGGTGCGTTTATGGGCACCACCGTATGCTTGAGCACGCTACTAGTGCCTGCTGCATGTTTATGCGTTGCTTTTGCATCGCTGTGCAGGGAAATTGCAGACGGTGGCAGAGAAGGAGGTGAAGGGTGCAGTGTACTCAATGGTTGAGTTCAACGGCAAACTCTTGGCCAGCATCAACAGCACGGTGAGTCCACATCCATACATATCCATTATCCAAAGAGTTTTGACGATGATTTCAATGCCATAGCTCTTATTCTATGAATCGTAGCCATGAAGCATGTTTATATTAAACTGTTCTTCAGATCACTCTGGTTATTGCCTACATATGGGTTGTTAGGTTTATGCATGCGTTGGGATTGTTAAACCTGTGTTGTTGGGGTTGACACGTGTGTAGTTTTGGATACACGTGTCTAGCTAGGGGTCAGGTTTGCCCTTCGTCGCGATGCTCACGTACGCCGCTGTGCCCGTGTGTGCGTGTTCGAGTGTGCGTGCTTCCCATGCGCTTGATTGCATCTCGCGATTATTCAATGTTGATGTGTCATTTTATTAAGGGACTTGCGTCATATCTTGGTGTTGGCTGGGACTGTTTTGTTGTTATTTCGGCCTTGCCCAAGCTTCATAAATCGAACTTATGCAATGAAATGATTTATTACGTATTTGTATTTAGTGACTTGCTTACCTTTTTCTCTATTTTGCACTCCTTTCGTTTTTTTGTAATTGTTTGCCGTTGGAACTTGCTGACATCCGCCCAAAATGGACATCTGTGAAAAAGAGCTTCATATGTTTAATCGGATTCCTCCTCCTCCAGTCTAAATAAAGATTCTGATGATTCACGTTGGCGCGCGATGGACATGCCCGCGCTCTCGTGTGCCGCTCGCCCAGGTGCGCCTTTACGAGTGGACGGCGGAGAAGGAGCTGCGCACCGAATGCAACCACTACAACAACATCATGGCCCTTTACCTCAAGACCAAGGGCGACTTCATCCTCGTGGGCGACCTCATGCGCTCCATGCTGCTGCTTGCTTACAAGCCCATGGAGGGTAGCTTCGAGGAAGTGCGTCATCCTACCGGTTCCCCTCCTCCGCACGCATCCACAACACGATTCGTGAATCACTTTGATAACGCTGGTCTACAATTTTTTAGACATCGTCTGCTTCAGAGATAAAATGTTCTGTTTTTTTATGGATTTTGATGTGCTGAATTCAAATATGACAATTAAAACAACTGATTGGCTACTGTTCCCAAGATGTTACATTTTACATCTATTTATATTGTGTAGATAGTAGAGTTTTACTCATACATTGTAAATCTAGGTCTTCTCATTTGTTTATGGTTTAAAAATCAGCAAAAGGGTTGTATAAATACAATTTATTATGAAACAAAAGGCAAAAACCTATTGTGTGGCTATAAGTACGTAGTTTAGTCCTTATTCATTGTCTACTCGGCGCTTCTTGGCTTGTCTCTTGTATTCATAAAATGGAGCATCTCTTGTCACTGTCCAGCAATAGTCTGCAAGCATTGGTGGGCTCCACTTTCCCTGACAGCGTTTCTCCATTGTCGCAATGCCCTGGTGACATCGCTCGCCATGCTCGTCGCTCGCTGCTCCTCAGTTCGGTGGGACAAAAATCGAGATGAGAGTGCAACAAATGTATCTTTAGTGACATGTTGCAACCAAGGCTTTTGTATGCCTTGAGGAGGTTTTCCACCACCACCAACTCCCTGTAGTTGTCTGCCTTGTTGTTTCTGAGAAAATTTGTTGCCACTAACTGGAAGGCTTTCCATGCCGTCTTTTCCTTGCCACGAAGTGCACCGTCAAATGCATCATCTCGAAGAAGTTCATGAATCTGAGGACCAACAAAGACACCTTCCTTTATCTTAGCTTCACTTAACCTTGGACATTTTTCACGGAGGTACTTGAAAGCTGATTGTGTTTTGCCCATGGCTTTGACAAAGTTCTTCATCAGACCCAGCTTATTGTGTAAGGGTGGTAACAAAATCTTCCTTGATTCAACAAGTGGTGAATGCTGAACACTTTTCCTCCCAGGCTCCAATGACTGTCGGAGTGGCCAATCTATCTTGATGTAGTGGGAATCTCTCACGCGACTATCCCATTCGCAGAGGAAACAGCAGTACTTTGTGTATCCAGTCTGCAGACCAAGCAAAGAGCAACAACCTTCAAATCGCCACAAAGCTGCCACTGATGTTGGTCATAGTTTATGCACCTCAAAAGTTGTTTCATGTCATAGGTTTCTGTCATATGGACTGCATAACCAACTGGAATTGATGCCAAAATATTTCCATTATGCAGCAAAACAGCTTTAAGACTCATCTTCGATAAATCAATGAACAGGCTCCACTCATCTGGATCATGAACGATGTTGAGGGCTGCCATCGCACCATCGATGTTGCAGGCTACAAGATCACCTTCCATGAAGAAGAATGGGACAAGATCCTTTTGACGGTCCTGGAACATGGATATCCTAACATCACCTGCCAAGAGATGTTCCACTCCTGCAGTCTGGGGCCCAACAGCTCTGCCTTATTCTTGGGTAGTTAAAAATCCCTGACAAGGTTTTTTAGTTCACCTTGTGTTATGAGGTGTGGTTCAGAGGAGGAGGATGGGAGAAAATCTGGGTCATGTGACATTGATGGTTCAGGACCAGAAGTTTCATCCTCTTCCTCATCTGACTCAAGTGAAAATGATTCTGGTGCATCATGAACTGGCAGTCCTCCGTGGGGTACTGGGCGAATAGCTGATGGAATGTTTGCATAATGCACAGTCCACTTTTTCTTCTTTGACACACCTTTCCCAACTGGAGGCGCCATGCAGAAGTAACAATTGCCGATATGATCTGTTGGCTCTCTCCAAATTATTGGCACTGCAAAAGGCATAGATTTCCTTTTCCTGTTCAACCAGTGGCAAAGATTTGTTGCACAAGTGTTGCAGCATATGCGTGGGACCCACATCTTGTCCTGATCTCCAATTTTGCAGCCAAAATAAATGTGATAGGCTTTCTTAACCGTAGTGGTTATACTGCGCTTTTGTGATGCAAAAGTCACTTCACCACAAACATAGCAGAAGTTATCTGCTTTGTTCACACAAGTACGAGGCATCTCTGCTCACTTTGGCTAAACAGAAATGTCCCTTTGCAAAACCAAACAGAGACAAATAAGAGAGCGCGACACTATGATTTCTGGAGCTGATATAGGGTAATTTGTTCAGCAGAGGGATGTCAGCCTCGTTATAATTGCATCATCCATGACTTATAGGAATAACATGATGCAATTCATATGTATGATGCAATACCAGGTTCAGATTGCATCATTCACTGTTTTGCTCAAAATCCCAGTCATATTTTTTCATAGATCCAGTCAAAGATGTATTACAAATACTCACTTATCCTCCATTCCCAAGTCAAGGGTCGTATATACTGACCCAGTAGCATATCTTGAAGACTAGAGCCAATCAACAATTTTAAGCATAATTTTCATTCTCAGTGACCCAGAATTAGTAAAGTTGGACTACATTTATTTCGGAAGCATTTTGGCTGTAGACCAATTCTCGTTAATGTGCTGTGAAGAAGGGACATTGCCCGAAAAAATGCCGGAAATATTTTTCCTTTTAATGCAGTGTTAAGGACGAATGTGTTACACTGTGAAACTGGAACATACGGATTGGAAAACATACAAAAGTTAAATGCGTATTTTGTTTAGCAGTATTTTGACAGGAAACTCTTTCTAAACTTTTGTGGCCCCAGTCAAATCATAGATTAATTTAAGCAGGCAGGGTATTGACCCCCTTGATACTAAATTTTTTTTACACGAATGGACAAGTGAATGAGTGCTGATCGGGGAGGTGAGTGCATAGAATGTAGTTTAGAAAAACGTGTCAAACTGTGAGGGAAAATGTTGTATTTTGCTTTTTCACAGATTGCCCGTGACTTCAACCCCAACTGGATGAGTGCGATAGAGGTGCTTGACGATGACAATTTCCTGGGGGCAGAGAATTCCTACAACCTGTTCGTTTGCCAGAAGGACAGGTATGCCCTCGACCAACCCTCTGATTTTTTATGTCATTATTCCTGGGAGAACCTGATGAGGTTCCTGATTCAACAGTGTTGAGCACAATATTAATATTTTCATCAGAGTTTCCGGTCCAGAATTTCATTTCCAATAATCAGTGAAACTGCGCAATGTTTTGTATGGGCATTGAACTAAAAAAGTGTGCAATGTAACCACCGGCTGTCATGGTCGACTTCGAAATATTTCGTGTTACGTAGCTTTAAAGGTGTTCATGTTAGTGTTAACGGTCCGCTGCTTGTTAGTTCTGATTTTTTTATCCTTTTTTTGATGTGTAAGTTAGAGCCGCTGCAAATTAACCGTGATGTTACTGCATGTAATCACATAGATGTGACCAGAATTCAACTGCTGGCTTCCATTCATTCACATCCGTATCTCGGTGTGCGCGTGTGCGTGTATGTGTCGCGTGCGTGCATTTACCTATGCGCACGTGTGCCTTGCGTACGCCTGCGCGTTTGTTTCTGCCTGTACGCGCGCACGCGTTCCTGTGCGCGCGTATACCTGCACATTTTCGCCTGTGCGCGTGCGTGCATTCAGCGCGGCCACGTCGGACGAGGAGAGGCAGCACCTGCAGGAGGTGGGGCAGCTGCACCTGGGCGAATTCGTAAACGTGTTTTGCCACGGCTCGCTCGTCATGCAGAACCTCGGTGAGAGCTCCACGCCAACGCAGGGCTCCGTGCTCTTCGGCACCGTCAACGGCATGATCGGTGAGATGCCCCCCCTCCTCCTCTTCCCTCCCTCGCTCGCTCGTTCGCTCGCCCGTCCTCAATCACAGTCTAGGGTAGTGTGTGATAACTTTGTAATGTAAGTGACCTTTACTGAGTTGAGCGTCAACAGTCTGCGGCTTGTTTGTACTGATCCTGAATCCTTTCTTTTTTACATAAAACATAACAAATGCCCCTTTGTCAATGCACTACTAGATGAAGGCCAACCGACGCCGTGTTGGCCTTGGTGATTGTTTGGCCATACTTCACTACGCCGGTCAGTGCAGGTTGGTGAACGGAGGGAGCTGGACCCCATTCACCGGGTTCAGAGCGCGTTGTGCCAACTGCTGCGCCATCATTTAAACTGTCACGTGACACCAGAATCAGCTGTGAATAAGTCATTGTTATTCAAACGAGGGTATTTTTTCTGAAAAGTTTAACTTTTTTTCTCTTCATATTTCTCTTTCAAACAGCAGTTGACCAGTGAATCTTACATATTAAAAAGTTACTTAGTGTAGGTGTGCTATAACCACATATAGCAGTGATGACTGTTGCACTGTTTGCTACCCAATCAGCGGGAGTCGAAGGTGGAAGTTTACATTGCTCCGACCTACCAAAGGCCCTTCATTTTGCAGTTCTGCTAATTCTCATGTGGACTTATCCCTACATTTTTCCAAGCACTCTCCAGTATTTCGATTTAAAGCTTTCGTGACTGCAAGGATTCATCTTCTTTGGTTCTTTCGGTAAAGTCACGTAGAATGAGAATAAAATAATAAATTGATAAAATAAAATAACACAATAATATTCTCACGACGTTTCGGCCACAACACAAGCGGCCTTCATCAGGTGAAGGGACGAGACTGTCTGGAGGACAGCGCTGGAGCGTGGCTTTTTCACTCCAGCGCTGTCCTCCAGACAGTCTCGTCCCTTCACCTGATGAAGGCCGCTTGTGTTGTGGCCGAAACGTCGTGAGAATATTATTGTGTTATTTTATTTTATCAATTTATTATTTTATTCTCATTCTACGTGACTTTACCGAAAGAACCAAAGAAGACTCTCCAGTATCTTGGTGTTACCCTTGAACGAATTTGCTAACTCTGCTCAAAACCTCTGCCATAAGAAACGTCTGGGCATACTCTAAATTTAAAATGCAGTGTCATGTGGAACACCCGAGTGAGCGAACAGGCACGCTTGTGTGTGTGTGCATGTCTGCCTGCGTGGCTGATGGCTGTTTGTTTAAATGCTGTGTGTGTAGCAAGTTGTGGAAATGTTTGCCGACCTGCGCTTGTTTGCACAGGGCTGGTGACGTCACTGTCGGAGGGCTTGTTCACGTTGCTGCAGGACATGCAGGGCCGCCTCACCAAGGTCATCAAGAGCGTGGGCAAAATCGAGCACTCCTTATATCCTTGAGAGGTTGACGTATGCGTAACCGCTGTGCACCTTACTATACAACTTGGAAGTTCCTTTTTTTTTAGCACTTTTCAACAAAGGTTGAAAGCGTCAATGCATTACCTCTCTCTGCCTGGCGGTCTGTAGCGAGGTGTCACGATATAACTCTCGTAACGATGATCCAATATATATCAAACTTTGGTATAACGTTCTGTTGCTAATGTGGACTTGCCCAATTGAAAAGTGACTAAATTTTTCAAAGGGTTGCCCAGAACGTGTAGATGCAAACCAGAGCCAAATGGACTTTACAAACATGCAAGTACATTTTGCCCTGACCACTATCCATTTCCATTGGTTTTCGTACCATTATTTAAATACTTATCAGGACAAATGTATGTTGGAGAGCTTTAAATCATGCATAACATGATTTTCAGTTTTTATCTTTTTATCCTTGTTTCAATATTACATTGACTTGGTCAGGTAGTGGACATGCATTATTACCACAAGTGTTTAAAGAAGCTGGCTGACAGATACTGGAGAAACTCCATGAGAAGTCAGGCATATAATAGAGAAGAACTGGATATATAAGGACATTTGCAGCATGCATTGCAATGATTTTTTTTTTATATTATGACATTCTTAGGCGGATAAAGCCAACCAACTAATTTTGAAACTGTGATAGTTATCATCAACTTCATAATGTATAATTAACAACATAGGACTCAATGCGGTATCCACCAAGAGAAGGGAGGGAGTTGCGTCATTGCCACTGTGAAGTCTTAACATGCCGAGGCTCGAGAAGATGCCTGAATGCCGGTTGTCTCGAATTTGTTCTCGTCCTTAATGCCTGCCCTGCACCTGGAGATCGTTCCACAACGAGCGAAAGACAGAAGCAGCAACGGGTTTCGTGGATGGGGACCTCATCGAGAGTTTCCTGGACCTTAGCCGCCCCAAGATGCAAGAAGTGGTGGCTGGGCTGCAGGTGAGAGGAGGGCCGGTGGCAATGGAGATGTATAGAGCCTGTTTTGGGCCAGAGCCAGAAATACCGCGGCCACCGATGATGTCATTTTAATTCGTAAGCACGAGTGAGAGAATAGTGTTAGGTTAGTGAGCGAGTTGGCGTAAGGAACCGCGAGTGGTGTGCGCGATGTATCGGCGTTTGTGTTTCAGATGTGGAGAATCTTGGGAGTTTTGGTGGGGGGTGGGGGGTGTGAGAGAGCGCGTTGGCGAGCTATTTTCATTTTTCGTGCGTTGTCAGATTGACGATGGGAGCGGCATGAAGAGGGAAGCGACAGTGGACGACCTGATCAAGACTGTGGAGGAGCTCACGCGAATCCACTGAGCAGCGGGCATCTTCCACTGCACATGCTGTCCCAAACATCAGTAGCCCTTCATTGACACGAGTGAGACATAGGATTTACCTTATTTTGCCTGAAAGTTTTTCCTTTGTTCATTTTACCCACTGCTGCCCTGCATTGTTTCGCTTTACCTTCCCTTTCCCCAACTTGTGTTCCGTTGTCGACAATTTACTTTCACTCACCACACACACACAGGTAATGCTCTTTCAACCACCTCCCTTTTCTGAATAATCCGTGTTATCGAGACGGTGATGATGAACACTGTCGTGCTTGTACTGTGCCACACCCCCGCCTCACTCATCTGTACATTTGGACAACAGGAAGCATGGCCCTTGTTTCAGAGGAAGTGGTTTCTTTGTTATTTAACTGCTCAGGAGGGGCTGCCCTTCCGCATGGGCACCCACTTATAATAAAATAACTGTCTAGTTGCCCCAAAAAAGTGTTTTTGTTGCCCAGCTGCCTCGTTTTATCAAAAGCCCAGCTACACCACGACCCAATCATGTCTACATTTATCCAAAACTCCAGCCACCAATTTAGCCAATTTATCAGTTATATCAAACACACAGCTTTCCGCTTACTCGAATGCCTCATCCTGTCGCTCAAACATCCAACTATTCCAGTTTAACAGCTTTTCAATCACCAGAACATCCAGCGACACATTTATCTTAACAGGCAGATATTCGGTTATAAAGCTGCATCGTTCCCAAGACTTATATTCTCAGCAAGCAACCCTGTTACCTGATATCCAGCTGCCCAAACTGTAAAAAGTAAAATTCATGACCATCTTCCAAACGCCTCTTGGGCCATTGTTTCCCCAGCAGCTCTTGTTCGCAAAAAAAATAGTTCTACAAATGTCGATTTTTATTTGCTGATGACACACAGTTGATATTGATGCAGCTGCTGCAGAAACAGATTAATCCAGATATATGTTTGGATGATGGATCTGATGTTATTTTGTTGTGATGGGTATACATTTTACGTTAACTTGTTACTGAAATACAATCCACCTTTGCATGTAATGTACAGTTTTGCTATACTGCCCTGAATACCCCAATGTTGCTGAGTTGCCTTTACATTTTACAAGAGCAATTTTATCAGAATTTAAGAGGCCATTCCATGCTGTTGAGACACAAAAAGTCAAAACTTGTCCAGTTGACTGCTGTAAACAAAATTCTGATGGATATCATCAGTCCTGCGATCCTAAAGTTGATTTAACTTTATGGCAATTAAATAACCCCTCTGTGTATTTATTTTCCACGATCTGCCAATACGGTGCAACAAATCTACCCGTTCTTCCAACAAATACCTTGCTACCAGTTGCTGCCTGAGAAAACACCTTGCCACCGTTAAACCGTGCTTCATGACGGTGAAACGTTGAAAGTGGGATTCGGGTTTTCCAGTTACCCTTCAGGACACGGCCCAGCCATTATCCATTTCCCCTGGTCTATGTAGCAGTTGCAAAACTTTAAAGAGCCAGCAAGCCATCATATACGTTTTCACTTTTATAAATATGACGTGCAGCTTCCCAAACATCTACGTGCGGTCTGCTTGTCTGATCAGACAGCTTGCCTGTACGCTCACCCGGCACAAGCCAAGGCTGCCGACGGGTGCAGAGAGCGCTCACCTCCACACACGCCGTTTTTCTCATTGGCATAGTACAACACAGGACGCTGCATTCTCCCAACACAAGAGGCCAGTCTTTTCTCCCATTTTACAATAATGCCGCGCACAAACAAGTGGCGAGTGACATTTTATTTTGACCAAGGAGTTGTATAAGAATGACGCTACCTTGGTCTGCGGTCTGCTTATCTGAAATCGTGTACCTCATGTTTGCCAACACTATTGTGGGTTTTGCTGACTACGGGGGTTCTTTAAGGATCGTTTATTTGCTTCGTCGTATGAAATGCAGCACAATTGGGACACTGGCATTTTAAAAAAATCACTCCCTTTAAATTCGCCATTCCCCCCCCTTCCTTTGCTCATTACCTGTAAATATTTAGAACAGTAAACCAATGCTGTTACTAGCATTGACCCAGATCATCGCCATCACGCCGGATCCTTAAAAATGTGCACCACCTTTTTGGTCATTTGTGTTTAAGGAACTCGCCGGTCTCCACCATCGGAATGTGGAATTGCAACCACTGACTCAGGATCATTCATGGGGATGAGTTCCAAGACATTAGTCCTATGTTAGATGTAGCTGTATTAACTCATTGTACACTTCATACCATTCATGAAAGTAATATGTACGAAACATTCACGAATGATATGTGCAAATATTTGAGTTGATTACAAAACAGTTTTTTGGAAAGGGACTTCACAATGCATCTAAAACTTTTATCGTGTCAATAAAGTTATGTAAATCTGATTAAACGCGCGCACGCGCACACCTACCAGATTCTAAGACGCGTCCCCCAATGCTTGCTTTAAAATACAGGGAAGTAAAATGCCCTCTAATCGCAAGTATGATACATCCCGACACTAACTGTCACGCACACAGTAACCAAAATTTAAGACTGAATCCCACACCTGTTCGGGCCCCAATATTCTATTGTGTATACTCTTTCGGTAAAGTCACGTATGTAGAAAAAAATAATAGAACACGCCGTTTCGATCGCCTGATGACGATTGCTTGCGTTGCGATCAAAACGTGATCTATTATTTTTTCTACCTACGTGACTTACCGAAAGAACCAGAGTGTAGTCACGAAAGCTTCATATCAAGATTGTGTTGTGTAGTTGTGCAATCTTAATATCAAGTCCATTCCAGTCTCGTGTCCACCTGAAACCTACGATAGTTCTCGTACGAGTTTGAAACACCCTTACTCCAAATCTCACAGTATTCAGCGCACACCCGCGTCCACAATCTCTCGTCACGAGTCAAAATCCTATAATATTTGGGCAGTCTTATTTTCGTCCGTTTTTTTTGTATCGTAGGACAACTTTAAGCTTTACACGTAATGTTTTTAAGGTCCTAATACCCTCCCACTGCCATTTCCAAAACATACAAAACATGATCAATATCAATGTAAATATGAAAACAAAAATACCCAGTGTTTTATAGTTTTTGCTTGCATTAATCTTGAATAAATTGCAGTTTATCTTTACTGTCTATGCTGTGATCTGTTGGTGTCATGCATTGTAAATCCCGGTGGCGCACACTCGTACATCCAACTCGCACGATGGTCGTGCTATAGGCGAATATGAGAAATGGTTGGATACGTAAACATCTATGGAAACTGATTTGCGTTGGAGACAACAGTCTCGCCGCAGGATCGAAGCCTCGGGACTGTCCTCCAGGATCAAGCCATGGGTGTTGGCTAGACATGTCAAAACGTCCTCGTCTGTAGAAAGTCTTATCGTGGGGGAAAAACTGACTCAACGTTAGCGGAAAATTACTCATTGGTTTTTTCGGTAAGTCACGTATGTAGAAATACTTTACCGAAAAAAACAAAGTAATTTTATGCAGTCACGAAAGCTTTAATTCTTTGTTAGCGGAAAAGTTCATTCCCTTTTCTTGCTTCATCTGGTCTTGGATGTGTACATGGTGTTCGTGCGTCATAAGGCCGTTGCACTTCTTGAGCAGGGGTGTAAGGAATTGCAGTGTGCACTCCCGGGATGTGGAACAGCGTGGAAGTCACGGAGCAATCCTCTCAGTTCATTCTAATCAGCTTCCTCCATCGTTGGGCCCTCCCCTGTCCCTGCTGCTTCCAAGTTCAGCCTCAATAACTTTTTTAATGCACTTTTATTTAACTTTCCCTGTTTATAGCCTTTCAAATGTTGGACGCTTAACACATTCCTGCGGAGGGAGCTGGTAGGAACGTTGGGTTGCTCGGTCAATTGGCCAGGGTCAACGGCGGCGTGGTGTATTCCGCAAATATGCCCGACTGTGAGGGTGGGCACAAGCCGGCGTGAGTAGGTTAAACGTTGAGTTTTATAAGGGCACCACGGGGTGACCATCCCCTCCCCACCCAGCCCCACCCCTCCCACGTGGACATCCACAGACATACACAATTAATCCCCTGCCTCCTGTGAATTTATCCCGGTTGGGCTTCCAGTCCACTACGTTTCCTACCAGTAATATCTTCGGATCTACGAAGCCTAACGAGCTGAATTTTTGTACACGGGCTCCCCTCAAGTGAAAATCGAAGATCCCGCCGATCCTGGGCACTTTAAAACAGAATTATCCGGACAATAATGAACTATTGTCATTTTCTGGATTGAGATCTTAGAATGTATATGCACATATACAAATAATGTTTACAAGAGTAATGTAACAATAGGTCAAAAACAAGTTTATCAATGCACACTTTTACTTGCACTCAAAAGTACAAAATACGTTGTTTTGACGTCAGAATTAATCAAATTTGATATGCTTAATAAAAGTAGGTGGTTTCCTTTCGACATGTTTAATTTGCTTGGGTCTTTCGGTAAAATCACGTAGATAGGTTCAAAGAAAATAAAAAAAACTACGACGTTTCGATCGTAACACAAGCGTTCCTGATGACGAACGCTTGTGTTGCGATCGAAACGTATTTTTTAGTAATTTTTGTTATATTCTTTTAACCTATCTACGTGACTTTACCGAAAGACCCAAAGAATATGAATTCCTGCAGTCACGAAAGCTTTAAGTCAAGATGTTTAATTTTATACTCTTTGGTTCTATTCGGTAAAGTCACGTATGTAAAAAATAAAACAACAAAAAATCACGACGTTTCGGCCACAACACAAGCGGCCTTCATCAGGTGAAGGGATCAGGCTGTCTCGAGGACAGCGCTGGAGTGGAACACAGCCACGCTCAGACCGCGACCTTTAAGCTGTGTGCGAGGAAACAAGGTGCCTTGAGAAAGGAATTAGCATAAAAAATTAGCATTTGATTGGCCGACTAAGCATAGAGGTGGTGTACATGCAAGTGCACATGCCGGTTGGCGCGGGGGGGGGGGGGGAGTTTCCCTATTGATGGTGTGAAAAGGGAATTTAAGAGCTGCGAAAGTTTGGGGTACCACTGCTTGAAAAATATACTGTACCATTGAAAATTAGTTTAATGTTTGGTTCGATTTAGAACATCTTTCCAATGGTTGCTTAATTTGAAACCATCTTCTCGGTTAAAATTGTGTCTGTGCTTGTAGATCTGAATTGCCTCGTGAACAAATCTCTGATAAAAAAAACCCCGTGGGTTTGCAAAGAACCTTGGTATCGGAGAAAATTATATCGTGATCACCCACAGCGTTGTAACAATGATCAGCTACGGCGGAAGAATTCGTTTTACCGTGTTTCAAATCTGATTTGTGCTCGCGAATTCGGTCAGAGACATGCCGCTTTGTCTCCCCGATATAGCAATCACCGCAGGTACAACTCAATTTGTAAACCCCGGGGTACTGTAAGTCAGGAATGACATCCTTCACGGATGGGATCAGATCACGAATTTTGTGTACTGTATTGAACCGGACCTGGATCTTGTGTTTGTTTAGAATTTTGGAAATCATTTTAGTAACGCCTGCTATATATGGTAGTGTGATGGTTTTGACCGGAGTATCAAGTGGTTGATACGCTGTCCTCGAGACAGCCTGATCCCTTCACCTGATGAAGGCCGCTTGTGTTGTGGCCGAAACGTCGTGATTTTTTGTTGTTTTATTTTTTACCTACGTGACTTTACCTAATAGAACCAAAGAGTATGGATCCTTGCAGTCACGAAAGCTTTAAATCTAGAATGTTTAATTTTCTTTATGCAAGCCACCCACTTTTATTCAGCACATCAACTTTGATTAATTCTGGGGTCAAAATTATTAATTTTGTACTTTTGAGTGCAAATAAAAGTGTGTGCATTGAAAAGCGAGTTTCTTTTTTGCTTATGCATATGCCCGACTGCCTTGCCTTTCTCTATAAAATGCACCCATTGTTTACAGCGCCTTGGGATGTGGCCGCAATTGGACGCTGTGCACACCCACTCACATTTGTGTTGTTTGCAGATGGCATGTGTGTAAAGCGTTGCACAAGGGAGGCATTTTATGTCGATGGCAGTGCCCATCGATGAGTGGATTTCTGTCCACTTGACAGGCTCCAAATTCATGTTTAGCGATAATGCTCCTCTGCACATAATAATGTACAGGCCAGCACTTTTAGATTGCCACCTTCTTTCAGGTTTAACCAAAAACGAGGGCATATTATGGGAAGAAGAATGTCTAAATACTTCAAGAGAGGAGAACTACATGTGTAAATGCATTGTCTAGTGGTGTAATTTTTTAATGCAACTCACCAAAATAAAACCCCGGGTCTTTTTTAACGTTGCAAATTGGTTCTGATGACCTTTTGTGACGTGTTCACATTTTTCCCTCGGTCGGGGGAAGTCCTAACGCTTGATGTGCGCAAAGAACAGCAGCACTTGCACTAGCGGCAGGCAGCCGCTGCACCACCACCATCACCTCCACCACAGTATTTACATGTAAGTGTTGTCTCATAGCGACTCCCTTCACTTCATTCCCCACCCACCACTTTTTTTTTAAACAAATCAGCACAACACATTACCCATCCCTCCCACATCCGTCTCTACATGCAAATATATAACACCAATTTGTTTTTGTTTTACACATCCCATTGCCAACATTTGACCTTTCGCGATGACCAAAGCAAGGCACGCAGTCAGTCTCATCTCAGCTGAAGCCGCTCACGGCAAGTGCAGCTGGACTCGCGGACTCGTCAGGGCCTGGGGTCAGGGTTAAAACCTCCGCAGTTCCGAAGCAACTCGAGCAGCTCCTCCGATGTGGTGCTTCGAGAGCTCTGGAACGTTTCGTGGCTTGTATTTGGAGATAACTGTACTGTCGTTTCAACGAACGATGTTGGGCAGCAAATTGTGAAATGATTCGCAGGCCTTTTTTTTGTGAATCCACTGCTGGATGAAGGCCGCCTCATGCCATTGAAGGCAGTTTCTCGGCCATGCTTAAGCCACGCTGGTCAGTGGAGGTTGTTGAAGGCGGGAGTCAAGGACCGGTTCAGATATCACTCGCCACTGTCGTTAGCCAGAGTTATTGATTTAAAATGTAACTCAGGTTACTGGGTTCGCAGCACAGCGCACTCATCACTACGATGCCACCGCTCTATCCCATCGATCATCATCGTCGTCGGACATATAACCACTGATCGTGTAGTTCAAAATAATCATTAGCTTAGTTGTGGAAAATATAATTAAGAACATAAATAAACAATGTCTCCGACATATTAGTCTCTCCATATTATTACATTGAAAGACTGATATAATATAGGGGTCTTTACACCTGTTTTGGCAATCATGCACAGGTGCAATGCCACGCAAATATTTGCTTATTTTGTCATTATCACCACAAATGAACGATAAAACACTCAAATGGCATGCATGTTTCTGTCACAGTACGTTTTCAACTCATAAAAATTAAAAGACATTCTCTTGACAAATATCATAACTTCTAATTTATGCGTTTGCTTTTGTAAGCTTTCTCAATGTAATTGTATACGTTTAAGCCGAATGTTTGTAAAGGGATATGGCATTTCAAAATTAAACATTTGTTTTGTCACGTGAAACCGCGTGCTGCATTGTCTTGTCCTATAAAATATTTCCCCCCCCCCTGAAATTTCATCCGCATTTATTATAATAAACACTATTGCGGTTTGGTGACAGATTTGTGGTCGGAGGGGGGGGGGGTGGAACCTCCACGGGAAATACAGTACGATGTCCAAAGCAGTGGCTCATAACTTCATCAGCGATGGGCCAAGAACATCATCGGCCGTGCCGTCCCTAAGGTATGGCAAATTTGGGCGACCGCCCCGGCCCCCGCGCTTTGGGGGGGGGGGGGGCGCTTAGACGTCATGGTGTCAGATGTTAAATTTGCCCCGTGCCCCGCACCCTCTTAGAGACGACCCCGATCATCGGTGTTAGATTATAAATCCATACAATGTGTCGCTTGGAACCCTGGTGAGGACTACCTGATCAATTGCCTCATGTTAAGATGGGCACTTTCACCACTGTGCAGTGGTGAAAGAATGTCTCCCGTTAGTCTAAAAATACATTAATATAAACTCCAGTGTAAAACTACTCATTCATATGTACCAAAATAGATCATGGCTGCATTGTGACCGTACAACCTCCAAATTTTGTCAAATTCTAAAATGCTGCACAAATTACTCAATTGGAATTATACATCGCATCCATCACCCCCTGCTGGCAGACGAATGCCCCAGGTCACCCTTACTACCAATGAGACTTAACCTGGTTGCAAACAGGGCGAGTCACAACATCCACTTGAAAATGTAACCTTATTACGTGACCCTATACAACCATGCAGAATATGGCTGTGCAACGTTGTTAAATTACAGAATCGTTGCATAGTAAATAAAGACCGATGTTTTCAAACTATATACGAATAAATTTTTATTTAAAGCTTTCGTGACTGCAGTAATTCATATTCTTAGTTTTTTCGGTAAAGTCACGTTGTTGTTTCCCTTCAACGTGACTTTACCGAAAAAACTAAGAATATATATACGAATAGGTGGCATGCATGCCTGCACGTGTCACTGTTTTTTGCTACTCTTTTCCATAACTCCCTGTATTCGGATGTTGTATTCTTTAGAATCTGGGAGGCTTCGCCCAACATTGGCCTGATAAGTGCGATGTACACACACACACACGTACAATATACCACACGTGCGTTGTCCTCCGTGCATTTGCTTACGCGAGACGTATGCGCTTTAGTCCGTGTAAGGCACACGTGTGTACAAAGTCATGCATTATTTATGTACATCGTGCAAAAAACAGGCGGCGATGTCCTCAGGGGACAGTGAAGATAGGAGAACAATGAACGGCACAGGTGTGGGTCTCCCTTTGTTTATAGAACAAAGACGCCCTGCTGCTGCTGCTGATGCTGCTGCTGCTCCTGCTGGCCGCTGTGGCTCTGTGGAGAGTGAGGGAGGTCAGGGGGTGCGTGTGTGCGCGCGTGTGTGTGCGCGCGCGTGTGTGTGCGCGTGTGTGTGTGCGCGCGTGCGTGTGTGCATGTGTGTGCGTGTGTGTGTGCGCGCGTGCGTGTGTGTGCGTGTGTGCGCGTGTGTGTGTGCGCGTGTGCGCGCGTGCGTGTGCGCGCGTGCGTGTGTGTGCGTATGTGCATGTGTGTGCGTGCGTGTGCGTGCGTGTGTGTGCGTGTGTGCGTATGTGTGCGTGCGTGTGCGTGGGATGAGGCAGAGCAAGGAGTTTTGTTACAATGGGGGTGGCTGGGCAAGCTGAAAGGGGGGGGGGGCATTGCTGAAGGCAGATGAGTGCGTGCGAGAGGGAGGAAAGGTGATGATGGAGCTAGGAGTGCGTGAATGATGACTGGGAGGGGGTCTGTGTGAGTGTGCGTGTGGGGAGCGGTATCGCAGCGGTTAGCGCGCTGCGCTACGAACCCGGCGACCCGAGTTGGATTCCCGCTCATGGCCAACACCGGTGACGATTATCTGAACCGGTCCTGGGCCTCCCCGAGGGTCGACTCAGCCTCAAATGAGTATGTTGGGGCTGCTGCCCCTCGACTCCTCGTTCTCCTGTGCCCCCCCGCTCTCCTCTTCTCCCCCCCTCGCTACTGCTCCTCGTGGCATGATTTAAATAGCTGTACTAACCACCTCGCAAATACACCGCGGTGCCCTTCTCGTACACGCCAACCACGAGCTGTGCAGTGGTGAGAGTACCCACGCGGGCAGAATACGCAGGACACCACAACGCACAGGCTCACAACACTAAGCACCCCCCTCCGTACTCACAGAGTCAGCACGACAAAGTTTAATGTCTACTGGAAATGTATTCCTCGATTAATGTAGCCAACCTATCTGTGTCAGTGTGGACCAGCAGGGCAGATCTAACCTATCTCTCTACGGTCTAAGACTCGATTAGTCTGACCTCTCCCTACTCACTTTCTCTATTAGATATTCCCCTTTGCCTTACCTCTCCTCTTCGTACCTACGATCCGACCTCGTGGTGTTGGAAGTCGCTGAAAGACGAGGCTGCACGCGGCTTTTGCTGGGAACTGGATCTGGCTGCTCTGCGACCCGTCTCACGGACGTTCGAGTAGCAGGGGACGATCACTCCTCGGTCCCTCACTCCAAAAGACTCCGGGCAAAAGAGAGCTTGCTTCTGATTTTCGTCCCTTATTATCCCTCTACTTCAAAGCCCACGTGCCGCCGATCCGCTGGCCTCTCATCCCATCAGGAGCCTCGGATTTCCCACTCTCTGCCAATCAGATCAGCCCCCTACTCCGACGCCCGCCCTCTATTGTTTCACCGAGTGCATGACATACTAAAGGTGAGCCTGTGCCGCCCCGCTCCCCACCTGCCTGCCGGTCCGCGTGTGCCTTGGCTGTTTCCTCACTGCGGTTCTCAGTCAGTTCGCCGTGGCCATACAATTTGAAGTTAATCCACGGCGCTGCAGTGTCATTCGGCCTGGGGGGGGGGGGGGGGGGGGCCTGCCAATTCTCTGGCCCTGAGAAACCGTGGAGCACCCCCACGAGGGGGGCCCTCGGGTAAAAACTCCGGGGCAGGTGACCCCCCACGAGGCCCTACGTGAGTGCGTGTGTGTGTTCATGTGGAGGGTGGTGGGAGAAGCGCTGTGACGGAAGCCGGGTGGCTTCTCTGCTGCAGCACCCCCGCCGCAGGCACGGCCACCACGGAGCGGCCTCGCTGTCGAGGCACCACAAGTACCCTGGTGCTGCGTGTAAACATCGCCACTAGGGAGACAAAGGCGGCCGGGCGTGGTGTTGGCCATCCACCCTATCGTGTGCCGTTCCGGCCTTCATACTGTAGGTGCTCGCTAACAGCACTTGTTCCTCCAGTCTGTTAAACGCTATACGGGGGATCTTTGGCTGTGTTTGTGGGGAGCGGTAGTGTGGTGGTTAGCGCGTGGCCAACACCAATGGCGCAACTCTTACGTCGACTCAGCCTCAAACGAGTGCCTGGTGCGGTGTGTAAACATCGCCACTCGGAAGACAAAGGCGGCCGGGCGTGGTGCTGGCAACCCACCCCCTCGTGTGCCGTGCCGACCTTCAATAGGTGCTCGCTAACAGCACTTTCCACCAACAAGTCTGTTAAGTCTCTTTGTGTAAACTTAACGTTCCTCTTTCATCTCCCGAATTGCAAGTGTTTGGCATTCTCTCTGTCGACGTGAAGTGAGCTGTTTTTGATCGACGTGTGCGTGCGCGAGTGAGTGAGGAGTGAGCGGGGAGTGGTGGCCTCACTCTGGTCACTGCGTCACGCAAAACCCAAGTTTGAGTCCCATTCCCGGCCACTGCCGACATCGGTGGCGAGTGGCGATTAAAAGTCATCTTGAGTCTTCCCCTAGGTCGACTCAGCCTCCCAGGTGAGTACGCCGCGGTGTATAAACATCAGCGCTGGGAAGACAAATGCGGCTGGGCGTGGTGCTGGCCTCAGACCAAATAGGTGCTCGCTAACAGCACTTTGTCCCAAAGGTCTGACAACAAGATTATTATATGAGAATACGTTTCTGGCAACAAAACAGGTGTTGAGATGTTAAACACCAAATTGAAACCTTTTACAAGGAATCATGTCTGCATTAACCACAATACTTGTGGTCAGAATGCAAACAAAAATACACTCTGATAATGTATGGCATTGTCCTTGAAACTGATTGGTCCACACCAGAGACAGCTTTCTTTTGAGCCTCGTCTCAATAAGGTGTTAGACCAGAGGACGCCAAAAGGCGTTATTGTACTGGCGCTCGTTGGGTTTTTGGTCGACTGCAGGATAAGTGTGTGTGTGTACGTGCCGTGTGGAAGCTGTGGGAAGAGGCTCGCTAAGAGAGACATTACAGACAGAAGTGGCGTGGAGAGAGCCTCGGGGAGCGTGCTTGCGTGTGAGGGTTGGCCGAGGCGTGGTGCTGCCCACCCACCTCCTCGTGTACCGTGCCGGCCTTCATGGGTGCTACTCGCTAAAAGCACTTGCCCCAACAATCTGTTAGAGGCTACACGGGGGGGGGGGGGGGGGGGGGGTGGGATCTTTGTCTTTGTGAGGGTTGGGGAGCGGTAGCGCGTTCGGGTTAGCGTGCTGCGCTGCGAACCCGGCGATCCGAGTTCAATTCCCACTCCGCGGCCAACGCCGGTGGCGCCACCCCTAGGTCGACTCAGCCTCAAATGAGTACCTGGTGCGGTGTGTAAACACCCCCACTCGGGAGACAAAGGCGTCCGTGCGTGGTTGCTGGCCACCCACCCCCGCCTGAGCCGTGCCGGCCTAGATAGGTGCTCGCTAACAGCACTTGCCCCAACAGTCTGTTAAGGCTACACGGGGGATCTTTTGTTGTTGTTGTTGTTGGTGTCTTTGTGAGGGGGTGACATAGTCCTGTGTGTGAGTGAGCGAATGAGCAGGGAACCTGATCTTCATGTCTCCCACCCTTCCTCCTCCCACCTCTCTGCCTGCAGCTGCGTGAAGACACAAATGCGCCTCCCTGCCCTGTGCGATCCGCACATCAAAGGCGGACCCACCTCCTTGTGCCACGCACCTTTTACCGTGGATATTACAACATTTCGACCGTGGGAAACATTTATTTACCTCATCTAACGTCGGAAAAAGTAAGGACTGCGCGGTGCTATAATGTGTAACGATCTGTTGGATGCATTGGACGAATGTGGACTGGCTTCACAGTGGTTCATCACCGTTACCATCGCTGGTATCATCATTATTATTATTATTGTTATTCGTGTCGTATATTGTAGCTGGGAAATATACGAGCTAACGTTTAGCTAAGTTATTCCTTCCGAGCACCGGAGAGAAAGGCTACTTTACTGCAGTTTCAAGTGACAATTGTACACAGATACATTAGTTACTAAAGTGGTGCACTGACACAGCGATGCTATTCGAGGACCGTTGGCACAATGTTTGCAGTCGTTCGTTGTGAAACGTGCATTTTCTTGGATGTGGTGTAAATACGGTTAGTGGAATAGGTGAAACAGTGGTCGTGGCTACCGCAGTTGTAAATAAAAACCAAAAAGTCACGTGCACATTATATTTGGATGTAAAGAGAGAGCCAGAGGAGAGAGCGGACGTTCGAGAGGACGCCTCATAGGGATACGGAACGAGGCAATCTGTTCGCGTGTGAAGGCGCTAGATGGGTTGCATGCATGTATGTATGTTGGACTTCTTTCGCGCCGTACATAGCCAACCGTGCTCATCGGAGTTGCCCGCGTCGTGAGACTAGCAACGGCTTTAGGAGGCTTTTATCGAGCAGTGGATTTATCGTGGCGAATGACGGTGATGATACTCGTTTATGCGATACACTGGCACCCACTGTAGGAATGTGGAATTTCCACCATTGTCTCGGGGCTACCAACTGAGGTGAGCACCACCCCACGCTCATTTGAGCCGAGAGACTTTTTGAATTTCAGAGAGTAAATATGGACCGCGCCAAACGAATGAGATTTAGATCTTTAAAATTGTTTCTCTCTCTCTCTCCACATTTTGAGAAACGTTCGAGTGTCAATTGGGTTTCGTGTGAGATGGAGTAAACATTTCTCTGAAAACAAGACAACGTGCTGTATACACATTTGCCGGTGTAAGCGCATTTGTCGTCACGTACATTTGTGTGTTGCACGCGTGTGGCGCGTGACCCGCACAAATCTGCCACTCAAAGCGCCATCGTCACATTAATACTCAACGTAAAAGTAGACATTCCTGAACGATGAGAATAAAATTATCAGAAGAAAAGTGTTTGGCTACTTATAGTTTGAGATGATACAATGAACTTGACGGTTATTGACTGGAACATCTTATCTTGGAATCCACACTTGTTTTGTTGTTTGAGATTATCCTACCTGGGATAGCAAAAAAAAACACACTCTCCTACTTTCTTTTCAATGTATTCCTCTGTTGATATTTTGTGAAAACAAAGTGCCTGGAATGTGGCCATGCTTTTATCACCATAGTTTCATTTCATCCCAGCAGTCTCCTTGGCTCCTCCATATTAAAGGTTTTTTTTGCGTTAGACCACGTTAATATAAATGTGTCGTTAACCCACCACCACCCGACACAGCCAATTAGTAAGCGCTGCCACGTCAACAAAACGTGCTAATTTGCTATTGCTTCAGCAAACATTAAAAATTTGAGTACGACGTTTCGCTGGTGATTACAACCAGCTTCATCAGGTGATTTGCCAAATCTAACCCACAAACCTTCTGTACTATGAATAATATTGGTCGCGCTGAGCCTTCGTGTTTCCTGGCCCATCTGTGTACATTGCAGTTGAAATGCTTCATTCACGTGTTGTCTAACATAAGCTGTGTCATCAGCAAAGTCGAAGTCAAACAATTGCTTCCCCTCCCTTCCCGGAGTCATTCAATACGTGATGTAATCGATCCACGTGTTTCTCGTTTCGCGACATAGTCTATTACTGTAGCAAACAAGAGGGGGAGGGGGTGGGGACATACATCCTCTGATGTATTCCAGCTATGATGTTGAACCAAATATCATTTACCCTTTCCTCAGTCGTCATAGCACGCAGTATTTACACCAGCTATACTCGGGGTCGGAAACCAAACATAACAAGAAGAGCCATTGTTTTCGAATTCAGTAAAAAAAAACAATATTTCTAAATCCGGAATGCACGTGACTACGAGACGGTGGTTCTTTAATAAATAACCTCATGAAGCAGTCGTTGATGAGCCGCATGCCGCTCCTGAGCCACAGGTTGCCGACCCCTGCCCATGGTAAACTCGACTCCCAGGGTAAACTGGACTCCCACGGTGGACTGGACTCCCACGGAGGACTGGACTCCCATGGTAAACTGGACTTCCATGGAAAACTGGACGTCCATAGTCAACTGGACTCCCATGGTAAACTGGACTTCCATGGTAAACTGGACTCCCATGGTAAACTGGACTTCCATGGTAATCTGGACGTCCATAGTCAACTGGACTCCCACGGTGGACTGGACTCCCATGGTAAACTGGACTTCCATGGTAAACTGGACGTCCATAGTCAACTGGACTCCCACGGTGAACTGGACGTCCATAGTCAACTGAACTCCCACGGTGGACTGGACTCCCATGGTAAACTGGACGTCCATGGTAAACTGGACTTCCACGGTGATATATGCTGTGTCGGGTGGTCAGGGGTGGGCAACCAACATAACAAGAACAGCTTTTTTTTTTCGAATTTCAAGAGCCGCACTGCTGTCCTTAAGGAGCCACCGCACGCGTGCTCCCGAGCCGCAGGTAGCCGAGACCCGCAACGATAGCCGCTCCGCGTGATGTTGATCGTATTTACAGATTTGTCACGCACGTTGAGGGCTTTCCCAACATTCACCCTGTCAGCGTGCAGCATCATTGGCAAAGGCTTATTGAGGCGGGCGAGCTTGTTCGTGATGATCTGCGCGTGGAATTTAGTGCGTCATATTAAATGCGTAGACTTACCCTTACAAGCAACGTGTAAGCACACATACACACCTACAAATAGTGTCGCAAAAAATATCCCCTCTTTGAAGCAGGTGTAATTAGCCAGCACCTGTGAAGGTCGCCAGGGCATGCGATGTGGCCGGCGATGTTTAAACATCGTACCAGATACTCATTTGAGGCCGAGTCGACTTAAGGGAGGCCCGGGACCCGGTTCGGATAATCATTGCAGGTGATGGTCGTGAGTGGGAATCGAACTCGGGTCACCGCGTTCACAGCGCAGCCCGTTAACCGGTTACGTTACACAGTATACACAGAGTTACCCCCGATAGCTTTCACAAACTTTTTGGTCAAGTGCTGTTAACGAGCACCTACTGTATGAAGGCAGGAACGATACACGAGGGGGGTGGGGGGCCAGCGCCACGCCCGACCGCCTTTGTCTCCCCACACTCAGACACATCCGCCTGCTGCAGTCGTGCAGGTATCACCACTGCCCCTTCCTCCCCTTCGCTCTCCTTATGTCCTCCCCACCTCTCGTGTCCCATCACCGCCTGCCCCACTCGCTTGTTCCTACTGACCCCCCCCCCACCGCTCCGACAGCAGCTGGGGGGAGGTTCTTAAATTGGTGGCACCGTCGGCGAAATGTGACCCGCGAAGCCTTAAACACGACCAACAAGCTACTGCCAATATCTACGGGAACCTTTTTGCCAGCATCAAAGATGATGAAAAACCCATTGCCTGCAGTCCGTCGCCTATGGGGGTCATCCCAAAGGTCGGCCGCCTATGGGAGTCATCCCAAAGGTCGGCCGCCTATGGGGGTCATCCCAAAGGTCGGCCGCCTATGGGGGTCATCCCAAAGGTCGGCCGCCTATGGGGGTCATCCCAAAGGGGTGGGTGGGTGGATGGAGGCTCAAGGTGTCACTCCCCGCCTCCCGCCTCTCACTACGACGCCTGCACCGCCCCACCAAAATATTTGAGCCACCAGCCCCGCCGCTGTTTCTTCGGGCGTCACGGTGTCGATATGTTAACTACCCCCGCCGAGGGTGCAGGAGGTCGTGGGTTCGAGCCCGACCCTGACGCCTGTATATTTGGAGTTTTGCGTGTTCACTCCGTGGTCGCGTGGATTTTTCTCCCTTCCACATTTTAGAATCAACACGCGTTAAGAGTACTTGACCGCTCTAAATTTCCACGTGATGAGCCCACTTTGTCGAGCTATCATTGACGATGGCCAGGTTCGCTTCTTAAAAAAAAACAAAGCTACATAGCTCTGTGGGTCTTCCTTACCTGGTAAAGTACAAAAATAGTTTTTAGTTTATTTCGTCCCCAAACAATGTCGACTCAATCCCATTCAGGCGTGGCCCACGTCGCTGCAGCGAGCTGCCCGGGGCTGGCGGCACGCCCCTACCGCACCCGTGTGCACGTCACTCAGTAAATAAGCGCTCTCTAAGTAGAATATGTAACGATCACAGTACATGGAATGAATTGTTGTGATTCGAATCAAACTTTTTTTTATTATCCATAATAGAGGGGTTTTTTTTGGAGGGAGAGGGGGGAGGGGTTAGATCGCGTAAATATCAATGTGTCGTTAAACCCGCCACCACCCGAGACAGCCTATTAGTTTAGGTTCGTCACGTAAACAAAACGTGCCAATTCGCTACTAGTTCAGCACACCGGTTGTGTGTTGGAGATTGAATCCACGACATTTACAATTCGAGTACGACGTTTTGCCGGTATAATTAAAACCAGCCTCATCAGGCGACAGCCAGAATTGTAGAGAAATCCTCCCGTTTCGGTCTTAAATAGGGGGTTCAATGTGCCTTTGTGTATATATTGTGACCTCTAGTGGCTGGAGGGTTCATTGCATGAAGCATATACTCACATCGAACTACCAATGAGTCTTACGCACGTGATTCGATGTATGTAGAATGAACTTAAGCCAATATTGATCGATAACCGCACGCATCGTTACAACACCACCGTGCAGTATAGCACAAGGGTACTGTGTGACGTAACACGCCCACGTGGTATGCCGTGTAGTCTAATAGTGCTGCGTGTTTGTGTGTCCATACGGTTGTGTAGTGTAGCCGTAGTGCTGTCTATGATGAGTATTACAGTGCGCGGTGTGTGTGTGTGTGTGTTGGGCGGGGAGTGGTGGCGTAGTAGTTAGCGCCCTGCGCTTCGAACGCAGCGTCCTGGGAGTGATTTTCGGCCAACGCTGATATCGGCGACCTCCCCCACCCCCTCCGCCTAGCTCGACTCAGCCATAAATTATTGCTTGATGAGGAACGTAAGCATCGGTACTACTGGGGAGACAAAGGCGGCCGTGCGTGGCGTTGGCCACCCACCCCCGTCGGTGGAGCGCTCGCTAACGCCACTCGCTCCAACAGTCTATGGGGTGGGGGGGGGGGGTTGGGGAGGCATCTTTATTCCTACGTGTTGACCTCTTCCCCACGTTTCCCCCGTGCCCTGACCTCATCGTCCAACGACCGTCCACTCTCCGCAGTCGGCCGGTGCGGTGTGGACCCCCCCCCCCACCCCCCACTGCCGCTGTGGAGTGTCTCGACACGAGAGGTTGGATTTAGACGTCGCCGCAGCCGCACACTCACTGACATCGATGTCCCTCCCGTCGTGTGTTTTGCGCTCCGTCTCCGCTCTCGCGTAGAGGCGTGCGCAGGTGACAACGGACGCAGATCGACGCAGGTAATTGTGAAACGCGAGAACATGGATGACGTCACCAATCACCGCGTCGAGGTCAGTGTCGCCACGTGCTGGGGTTTTGTTTTAATCCTCTCTGTGTCTGTTTTGTTTCAGTCGGGTGAACAATGCTCTGAACGCGTTTCTTGTGCTTGACTTAAAGCTTTCGTGGCTGCAGAAATTCATATTCTAGGGTCTTTCGGTAAAGCCACGTAGATAGATAGGTTCAAGGAAAATATCATAATCATGAAATATATTTGTTATTTTTTTAAAAAATTTTTTTATTTGAACCGTTCTGCGTGACTTTACCGAAAGACCCAATAATACGCTCTTGTGCGTTTTTGTTATTGTTGTTATAAGTTGTTTGCGAATCGTTTTAATCTCGTGGAAGGTTATGAATAGTTAAAGAGAGGCCTAACGCAACACAACCAATACGGTCCTCTAAATAATGCAGGCTCTCATCAATCTCACGCGGTCACGTCATGCGGCAGTTCAGTAAATACGACATCCAAATCACCCCCTTAAAAACTTCCTTGCCCGCGGCCACACACGCTCAAACGGTGTGCTGCCACGAGGCGATGACGTCTCCTGTCGAGAGCGTGTCACGTGACGTCGCCTGTGGAGACAGCGAGAGAGGCGGCCGCTTTGTGACGACACACGGCGGGAGGGGGGCGGGGGTAGAGAGAGGCGGCCGCTTTGTGACGACACACGGTGGGCGGGGGGGGGGTAGAGAGAGGCGGCCGCTTTGTGACGACACACGGCGGGGAGGGGGCGGGGGGTAGAGGGGGGCGGGCCCTGGCACGCGTGCGCGTCTCCACTCGCTCCTGTACGAATGACCAACCAACAATGGCTTTGTGACTTACGCCTATCTGTACATTTTTTTTCTCGGCGGAGGGAGTTGGTTGGGGTTGGGGGGCGGGGGGAGCGGGGGGGGGGGGGTGGGCGAAATTTAAGAAACGTTTCCATCCTTTCGACTGCCACGTCGGGAAATCGAACCGGCAAGCAGCAGCAGCAGCAGCGTCCCCAGATTCAGGATGCGCTCAGATGCTAATTTGTTCGCGCTCATTCTTCCCGACTGCTCGGGACCGCCTGGCGTGTCGCCCCCCCCCCCCCCCGCGGGATGGATTGGTTGTGGGGTGCTGCAGCACCTCGCCATGTTCTCCGTGGACCAGCGAGCGGTGCATCGGGCGGTGCCCGTGGGAGTGCGCAAGCTGCACGTGCTGCGGCACAAGGGGAAGGTGTGGAGCCAGGAGATGATGCTGCAGGTCAATGGCCACTCCGTCTCCCTCATCAGCAAAGACACGCAGGTGAACCAATCTGCCCCCCCCCCCCCCCCCCCCCCCCCCCCCCCCCCCCCCCCCCCCCGCCAGCTTCTCTACTTACGTTTTTGTTTTCCCCGCTGACGATCGTGGCCGGTTCTATAGCACCTCGGAAGCCAAGCAAGGGTTGGGCCTGCGCGGTGTTTCGGATGGGTGACCACCGCGAATAAACTGATAACTAAACAACGTTTTATTTTTACCAGGTGAAGGCCACTGAGCTATTCGCTTCTTTTTCAGACGCGACCTGGCCACAAATGATAACCCAGTGAAGTCGCACATTTCTATCAGGCCGAGCACTCGAGATAATATACACGCATGTTTTTTAAGTGTGGAGGGAAAAACCTGGATGTCCCAGAGAAAAATAAATCCATTCATTCCTAGCACTGGCACCCATGCCAACCGCGCTATACCTCCGAGTTACCGGCACGACACACAGCGCTGCACGTGGAGATAAGACAAGATTCAAGTGTGTACATGACGACAACCCCCATCACAAGATAAACGTTTATGAAAGTTGGCTTCCAGAGACGTGCGGCAGCAGTGTGCCTTCAAGACTGTACGCTACTGATGAGTCCTAATGTGGACAAAAGCGGTCTATGGTTGTGTCTTTGAGTCACCGCTGCCTATTGGCATGGCCGCATTTTCTCAGCTCTCTGAGTTGGTGGTTCCAAACGACAAAACGGATCACACATTCAGTTCTTTTGAGACGGTGGTCTGGACAAGGCCGAGAGGCATTAGCACGCGTCAGTGCCGCCAACACTTTGTGCCCTGCTCAATCAACAGGACACGAACCGAAAGCTGCAGATTCACATTCAGTTCTTTTGAGACGGTGGTCTGGACAAGGCCGAGAGGCATTAGCACGCGTCAGTGCCGCCAGCACGTTGTGCCCTGCTCAATCAACAGGACACGAACCGAAAGCTGCAGAGGGCCACAGGCGGTCGTTCCGTGCCAACGTGGCCGGCGGTGAATTGCGATCTACGCCACACTCTTGCAGGACGTGCTGGAGAACTTCCCGCTGGCATCTGTGCAGCGCGTGGAGGCCGTGCCGTTCGAGCTGGAGAGCGGGACGTCGCGGGAGGATGGCCTCCTTGCCATCCTGTGCCAGGATGACACGCAGAGACGACCCGATATTCACCTCTTTAGCTGTCGCGAAATTCCGGTGAGCCTTCTTCGGGTTGTGCGCGTCAAGTGGAGCGCGCGGCCGATGAGCGGTTTCCCGGTCCCGTGTCAGGGGCAAAATTATACTCGCGATGAGCGGGGGAAAATGAAATAAATAAATGCATCGCATTCGTCAATAACGCTGCCTTCTAAAGAAAGAGGTACGGCGTTTAATAGCCGACGTTGCGGGCAATGGCTCTTCTTCACGTGTGAAGGAGGTGCTTTTCGAGCAGCACTTGCCCAGACAGTCTGTTAAGGCTGTACAGGGGATCTTTGTTCGAAGTGCATCGTCAAGAATAGCCAATGGATGGCACTGTGGGGAGCGCAGTCGGTGCATCAGCCACTCATCTCAGTCAGCCACCAGGGTCTATGACCTACTCCCAGCGTGCGTTCGGCACTCCACGCGGCCTCACAGCGCACTTAGCCTGGCACAACAGCTGCGATGACTTCACTGCCACTTGGTGACAAATTGCGGCTGTTTGTTGGTGTGTGTCGTTGGTGTTGTGTGCATTGTGCTTCCCGTTAGGTGGACCTCGTCTGCCAGGACATAACGAGCGCGCTTGCGGACGCTCAGGCGGGGAAGGGCCGCACGAAGGAGCGTCCTGCAGTCGTGGAGTAATAAGACGCTAAACCCGAACGCGGCACCGACACACCGGGCACACTGCGCGCGCGTCACAACTGTTGCGGGTGTTTCGTGACGTGGCTGGGCGAACGGGAAGGCTGCCGTGGCGAGCGCTGGCTCCTTTCAAGACGTCCCGCCACGGCCACCGCGAAAGAGCAGCTCTTGAGAATATTCCCTCGCGCAGACAACACGACAGCAACGCACAACGCGACACGCAGCGCGATCGACACCAACGCAGCAGCGGCAACCGCACCGGCAGTGAACGACAAACACTCACGCATAACAGCGGACACGAACTCAACGCGACACCACTGGCACAACAAACACACGCAACACTATACCCGCTCTCAACACAGCAGCAACAACAATGACAACGACAACAACAATAACAGGATATGCAATGACACCCCGATGTACGTCTCCCCAGGCGTTTCCCAAATACGTCGTCACGTGATTAGCACCGCCACCCGATTTGCGTCGCTGGAGAGCTTCGTCCGCACTGTCTAGTATCCGTCCCCTCTCAGCCTTTGCCCCCACCTACCACCCCTCCGATTAGCACGGTTGGCTACGTGGCGGTGCGAAAGAAGTTAAACGTACAAATTTTTGATTTAAAGCTTTCGTGACTGCAATAATTCATATTCTTAGCTCTTTCGGTAAAGTTATAAAATAATAAAATATATATAAAACAATAAAAAAATTCACGACGTTTCGACCATAACACAAACGGTCGTCATCAGGTGTGTCGGTTTGCATAAATTTACCGAAAGAGCTAAGAATATGAATTATTGCAGTCACGAAAGCTTTAAATCAAAAATTTGTACGTTTATGCATACATTTATGCAAACCGACACACCTGATGACGACCGTTTGTGTTATGGTCGAAACGTCGTGAGAATTTTTTTTATTGTTTTATATATATTTATTGTTTTATTGTTTCCCTTCAACGTGACTTTACCGAAAGAGCTAAGAATATAAGTTAAACGTACGTTGAACGCATCCCCGATGGTAGCGCAGTGCCGGCTCAACGTCCAACAAACCAACGCCGCCGACAACAACTCCGCTAAGACCGCACGCAGCGCCAATGCAGCAGCGTCCACCGGCAGTGCGCTGACCACCCACAATCACCAGCGAAACGTCGCAGTACTCGAACTGTGAATGTTGTCGCGTTTACTCTCCAACACGTGGGTGTGCTGAAGCAGTCCACTCGTTGGCACGTTCTGTTTGCGTGACAAAAGTTACGAATTGACCGTGACTGGTGGTGGTGGGTTAACGATATATTTATATTTACGTGATCTAACCCCCCCCCCCCCCCCAAAAAAAAATATTTGTTATGAATAATATTGGTCGCGAAAGCCTACGTGTTAAACTACATTTATTAGGATTATGTAAACAATTACGTATGAAATGTTTTTGATTCCACGATTGTATACTTAGGTGTCATGTGATGCTATACACAGGGCAAACTAATGACTCAAAAGAGCCAAGGTAGAGGACATATCAAATGTGCTTCAGCGCAAGCCAGGGCGATGTAACATTTTCTCAGTCAGTGTCAGAACGGTGGGAGAACTCTCCTGCGCCGAACCTGTGTGGCTGCTCTGATCTTTGTTTTTGTCGAGTGTTGTTTGTTTCAGCTGAGAGCGTATCGAGAGATGCCTTCGTGCGTGTGACCCAGTGGCAAGAAGCATCGCACACGCGGGCTGCAAGTAGACAGGCAGATGTTCTGGAGAGGCGCTTTCTGAAGTGGACTCACAGGGGAGGGAGAGAAATCAGCCTCCTAACATCGCTCTTGGTGTCAGTCAAGTGTGCATTTGTTTGAGCTCAGCTTTGCTCATCGGGTTGTCAGGCATGTTGGGAATGGTCTGAATCTGCCTTCGTTGGCATCAGGAATATGATTAGCTCCGTCACGCTGCCTCTCTGTGTCACGCGTCAATGAACATACTTTTTATTAATCCGGCGCTGGATGGGGCCCTCGCCGTGCCTGCGCAGGTCATGGGGGTGATTTGACCATATTTCACCACGCTGGTCAGTGTGGGTTGGTGAAGGTGGTGAGCATGGATGTGAGGGCAAAGAAGTACAGTACAACAATGGAATTTTCTGCACTGTGGCCCTCTACTCTTCACCATGTAGACACATAGCCTTTAACACCTATGATGCATTGTGGGCGCCCATCCAAGCAAGCACTGTCCAGTCTCAGGCCTGCTTAGCTTTCGAAATCTGATGAGGCAAATTCCTGGTGATTTGGTCGTAGGCTCATGCTTGCCCAGGCTGTAGCAGTGGCAGTAAAGTGTGATTGCATGTCTCTCAGTCTTCCTCTGTCTAGTCTGGCAGTGGTATTGTGTCTATTGCGTTATACGATGTGTTTTACAGCTCTTGTCCCAATCTACTTTTGCACGAAGGCCTTCCCATGCCGCGTTGGTCATGTGGATTTGGTTGGTGGTGTCGCTTGGTGTGGTCTGGGTTGGTCTGGAATCAGATTTGTGGTTTCCAGGTGTACTTCTAGGACAATGCTAACCAGCGTTCCACCGCTCCGCCCTTTGTGCCCACATTTGTCCCTTATTCTCTGCCTGTCAGAAGTGCCAGTTCATTAGTCGGTCTATCAACGTGTTTGCCTGTGCCACATCTCCATTACCGGGTCGCCCTCCATTACAAACAAAGTGCTCGCCACGAATGCACCACAATCCCCTTGCAGATCTCGTCAAGGGGCATAAACCACCACGCCAACTCCGGCCATCCTCGCAGCAGCAGCAGCAGCGACTTTTGGTTAGCCATCGAACAAAGACGTTCACCGCGCTTCTGCGGCCGTCTGGAACGCTCTTCCTTCCGATATTAAGAATCCGCTGGAGCTATGCACTTTTAAATCATCTCGATTGACAAACTCATTTCTTTAGAACTCCTCTTTGTGTTCAGTTTGTTGTCCGTCACCCCCACCCCCTCGCCGCACCTCCGATTCGCGCGGATCGGCTACGCGCACGGGTGCGAAAGACGTCCAACGTACGTACGCGCACCGCCCGCAGAAAAATCCGAAAGTTGCAACAACAGCGAGAGGACCGGAGTGCCGCCAAGCAGCGACCCGCCGATGTGCCCGGCACCTACACGTACACACCTCTCCCGGCCGCCGCCGCCGCCGCCGCCGCGCCCATCCCGCGGCCGGAGTCGGTGACCCAGCAGCCGCCTGAGGCTGCGGCGCTCCCCAAGGGCGTGCGGAGCAAGGAGGGGGCTGAGAGGGCGAAGCCGGCGGCCGCTGTGGACCGCGCGACCCCCAGGCTCGCCGGGGATGAGCAAGGAGGGCACGGTGCTAGAGGTAAAGGTGCAGCCCCGACAGTGCTCGCTCGCGGCACTGCTGGTGGAAGGGGGGGGGGGAGCCCTACAGTAGAAAGGGCGCGACTCCTGTTTCATGCTGTCCACGTGCCCACGGCGCTACCCATTGACCTCGCAGTGCCCTTTTGCAGAGACGGTAGTGGCCGTTTGCGACGTTTGGAAGTGGATGACAGCTGATGGCTCATGCGCTTGCAATGATCATAAGTCGTAACATACAAGAATACTTCTCCTTTTAAGGGAGTGCTGTTGATGAGCGTGTTGAGGTTTTTGTAATCTCAATTT